CTCTACAAAATGGGTTCTAACCCTCTACAAAATTATGGTGGGTGGGTGCACATGCTCGAGTCAACGGAAAGATATGTAAGAACATGACGTTTCTATAAAATCAATCCCCCCAAGTAAATTATGTTTTTGCTAAAAATCTCAAAAACTGCCCTGATCACTCGACAGTTTTGACCACCCAGGTGGTTCATTTTGTAGAAACCCAATTTTTTCTCTACAAAATGGTCATTTTGGGTACCTGGGTGTCTTGAATCTGTAGAGGGAATTTTGCAGGGGATGTAGTAGTAGTAGTAGTAGTAGTAGTAGTCGTAGTAGTCGTAGTAGTCGTAGTAGTCGTCGTCGTCGTCATCGTCATAGTCGCAGTTGCTGCAGTATGTAGAAGTGGTTTTGCGATATGACATTCATGGTATGGCCATGTATGGCCCAAACATCTTCAGATCAACAAGCAGTTGGGAAAAGAACAACTTCTAAACAACTCATGCATGGAGTAACGGCATTCACTCAAATGTTTGGGATTGGCAAACTCTCGACATCAAGTGGGTGCTTTGTATTTCTCTAACGACCTGTCTTTGGTTCAACAAAAGCCCAGCGATAGTTCAAGCGGCTCATAGCGGATGGCCAACAACCAAGGCCCCTCCACATCCTGCCACAGCGATGGTTGAAGGAACCGGGCAAAGAATTGCAACAGCTGAAGAAGCAAAAGCCAATAGCGAAGGGTTAGCGGTTAGAAAGAGAAGGTTCTGGCCAACCCAAAAGAGGTTCATGGCAATTGGCACGAAAGAAGAACAATTGAAGACTCACATGACTAATTTTCTTGCTCTTGACAACCCAAGGAGCTCAGAATACTGGAGCCTGTAGTCAATCCCGATGAACATTTGAAGAATCTTGAGATCAAGCTAGGAAGATCTAGCTTTTTGGCCAACCTGTAGTTAAATAATTACCCAAAGACTATCCAAGGTTGAACTCCTGAACTGGCATACGACATTTGCTTCTTCCCGTCCTGGGGCGGGAAGGACATGCGTACACGTGTTCCTTAGACGGGCCAGCAAAGCTGGATGACAACTCTACGAGAAGGTTTGACGGTGATATGGAAGGGTTGGGAGAGTTTAAGATTCAGTAGTTTAAGTTCTTTCAAGAATCTGGATAAGGCTATGCAGATTTGTTAAAAAGAGATCGACTGCATATGCAAGCTGAATGGTAGGTGTCCAGGTCTGGGAAAAGTACAACTATAACAGTGTCTGTAATACCCTCCCTCCAACTGCCCATGCAAGTGGACAACCCCTTTTTGGAATTATAAAATAATGATATACTCGGAAAAAGGGTCTTTCCAGGCGGACCGTGCTCCACTTTTACGAAGGGAGCGTATATCATGCATTGGGTATATCCGCCAGGGCCCAGCGGATGATGATTGTAAGTAAAGCTCTTTTCCCAACACAGTGATCATCTTTTACCAACTGTTAGTGGTCATGGAATACACCCAGCCAGCCGCAGCATACGTACATGCTTCATCATTCGGCCAGCTGCAGCTGATCCCACTAAGCCCCCAGCCGGCCGTGTGGTATGTCCCATTCGCTAGGCTGATGACCGGTGCCTACACACGACGGCCCGGATGGGCCGTGTGGAGGCCGTGTGGAGGTTTATGGAGAACAAACAGGGCGCATGTGTGTTGTCTTTGGCGCTGCTACAGGAGGATGAACTCCATATCTTTCAATAAACAGTTCCACTCAAAACCCAGGTTGGATGAAATCCTCATACTTCCCCGTGGTTTTAGCTTGTAAAGCAGCCACCCTCTCCAATCGCTGGCACAAACAGCTGATCGTCCTGTCCAAGCACTGTACACTTCTGAACGCACTGTACTCACCACTTCTGAAGCCTGCAACGGTCCACCGGCAGGTACGCACTTGCCCAAGAGGTTTGCGCCATAGCCAGAGGCACATCGGCAACTCATCGTATCCTCGGGTCACACGTGGCGACAGCGGCGCAGTCGAAGCCTGCGGTCGGCTCGGGTTTGGAAGTGTTTAAAGATCAGCCTGACTAACTCAAAGCAAGACAATCCTGATTTGGGGACATTGAACGGTAGGCCTGCTGCGTTGAGTCAGTGACATGATACAAAATTGTGTTTTACCAGGTATATGAACTGAAGAAGGTACTCCACAAAAACTTATTCCGCTCGAGAATTTCTAGCATGTCATGAGGTTCACTTTGAGTCATCCAAACAAAGCAAGACTCATTTGGAAAGACATGGAAAGACTCTGTTCAGTACAAACGTGACGTTCCACTTTCAACTTTCATGTGTTTAAGTGAGCGTTCTTGCCTCAGCGCCTCATAGATCTACAAGACTATCCAAATAGATCCAAATATGATATGTCTACAGTAGGACGTAACACTGGTGTGTCTGTGTGTGTGTCACTGCCTTGTGAGCAAAACTACCTCGACCTGCATGGGGGACGGTCAAAGGTACTTTCGAGGACCATTGCATGGTTCAATCTTCCCCCAAGAAAAATCAGGCTCGTAAAGCCATATGTATATTCATTCCTGTCACATCCAAGAACAGGATATAACCTTTGCCTCCAAAGATTTTCCCGTTATCTTCGCTGGTCTGTCTGTCATGTTTTTTGCCCAAGGACTCAGGAGTGCTCTTCCACCGTCCTCCAATCTCCATCACCTACTGCCCAGATACCGCCCACCGTCACAGTTTGCACTAATCACTCGCTGTGCCATGAGTGACCTGGCTGTCTCTTTCTTGCTGTGCCTCCTGGACCTGGCGTGATGCGGCACCCCGCTCCACCCGTCTCATCGTCTCAGCCTGCTCCCACGCGGTCCGTTCGCTCGCCGTCCGAGCGTCACTCCGTGGCAACACGGAGCGTGGGGCCTCCCCCGGGCATCGTGCGCAGGAGAGCGTGGGGTCGTCGTAGTCGAGAGCTAAGCGGTGATGCAACAAGGCGGGGCGGTCAGCCTGGAGTAGCAAGACAAGTCGTAGACTGCTCAGAAGATCGAATCGATGGGGAGGTTAGAGCATTTCAGGAGTTTGTCTTGGCAGTTGTTGATGCTTGTAAATTTAGTTGTAGTTCTATTCAAACATTATAATGCGGGTTTGGTTAGGGAGTTAAACATGTTCCGCTCATCCAATACTCTTGCAAAGCAATCCTTTTTCCAAGCATACCGTGTCGAGAAGTTTTGTTTGGGGATGTACCCTTAGTTTATATACCTGGAAGAATTCACGTTGGCCATGAATGGCAGATACAGAGTCTGAGTGGATAGGACTCAGACCACAAATGTTGCACATCTTGGGCTAAGACTTCCTGGCGTTGGGGGAGGCGAATCAACCAGGTTGAAAGGCTAGGCCACTAGGCGAATGGATGCGGATACAATCAAAGTTTGCAGACGAGGCTTCCAAACTTAAGAGTGCAAGGGTTGGTTTGATAAGACATACATTCGCATGCACATTCAACAAATCGACTGTTCCCTGGCAGTTGTGTGTTCTTTTCAGGAAAGCATCCAGCTTCTCCCCATCTTGCTTGCTGTTTGCCTGGCTAAGGGAACATCAAATCAGCCGAACTGGCATTCCACGCCTGAAGCAGGACGCTTCTCAACCTCAGTCAGTTGATCCAATGGTCAAACCTGGTGAAACATCTCATCCACCAGTGTTGACTCACCTTCTTTTTGACCTATTCCAAGGATCCTGCTTCCGTTCTACAACAGGTGATCAACAATCCGGACTTCATCAGGGTGACTCAACTGAATCAAGAAGAGTCATGAACACTTTTCCAACGTTATCAGTGTTCATCCCGGCCATGATCCATTGGGATGTGTAGCTAAATAAGACCACCTCCCAGGCGACGACCCCCTGGAAGAAAGGAAAGGGCCAACCAGTCTACCCATTGGCCAGGAGGTTTTGAGGTTGGTGAAGTCTTCCCGGCCGTGAAAACAAGGCTTTGGGCGCCGAGCAGCGGAGTCTCCCGTCTCCCGTCTTTTGAGGGGGGGAACTCATCGGAGCAAGGAATTAAATCTTGACCTTGATCCTTCATGCCATATGGCACATCGCTTGACGTTGCTTGCACATTTCCTCACCCTACCCACCAATCCGTCCAGATACTCCGGCACCGCCAGGCGCAAGCTCTCAGGAGCCGGAGTCTCCACCTGCGACGGAGATAGTCTGGAGCCAAACAGCTCTAGTAACGTGCCCAATGGAGACCTGTAAGTAGGGTCGGGTACTCTATTGGACACCCATTGGATGATCCTGGTACCTATTCACAATGCCGCAGGCCGCAAGAACACCGTACGTATCAAGTGGCAAGCTCCTTAGAAGGAGGGCTCCAGAATCGGCAGCGTAGAGGTACTCTTGAGGTCTGTTGTCGGATCCCAATTTGATACACCATGATACACCTATTCGCCATTCGCCCCTATTCTTGATACGGAGACATGATTGAAATACACATGGAAAAAAGTGGAAGGGACATATAATATGGACAAAATATCAGGGTCTTGTGGTGATGGTTTCACAGCTCTCGTGACCTTTCCTTTACGAACAAAACATGTCGCCTCTTTGGATCTCTCCCTTCGTCCCTCGCCTCCAAAGAGACACTGGTCGCTGAGGCGCCGCCCCAAACCTCGACCACTGCAACCTGCGCGTTCTCGCATGCGCTCGAACGAAGCTTTCGAATCAACATGGAAAGCGTGAACAAGCTGGAACTAGTGGGAAACCACTTAGACTATCTAAGTGGTTTGTGGGAACTTGTGATCGAACTAGCTGGTGGGAACTTGTTTGTTGGGTTCAGAGCACTGTTTCGCGAATTCAATCATGTCTGAGCTACTCCTTGCATTGAGTCTCAGTCTCAGAAATATATTCTTCTATAGTGCACTTTAGCGCATAACGCTACATACTATGTAAATCGGCATGTAAATCGGCACTCCTCCGTTCTTGAGAACCTTCAAACAATGGTATCAAAACCCTTGTGCTGTCTGTGTTTGATATGGGAGAATATGGGAAGAACTATACTTATTATGTAAAACATTGTAAAACCACCCCTGTGGAATTACCGGTGTAGCTGGTCATATTGAGCTCAAGCTCCCAGATTCTATAGACTCAGATTCTATAGAGGATATTCGGCAGGGGATTGTAAAACCACCATGAGGAATTGTGACTTCATCCTACCCACTTAGGTGTCTTAGTCTCAGCTCATCTCCTCAACTCCTCGTGTCTCACTGAAAAAAGCCACGGGCCAACCGGCCAACCGTGGGTGGAAAAACCAATTCATGGCACCCGAAAGGATGGAACCCCATGGCAGCCGAGTGCCAAACAGGTGGGGCAAACTCCACCATTCATGATTATGTCCAAGGAGGTTCATACGCAGTCATATAACTAGTTGTCTTGTTTTTCTTGCAAACCTATCAGAGGTCGGCGCCCGATCAGGTCGGTGCTTTTTGTCACACCTTTCCGAGTGTCTGACCCCGACTTTGGCCGCTGGGCCCTCGCGGAAGCGGCGCGCCGCCTGCGCCGCTTCCGCCAAGGCGATCCTCCGGGGCAGCGTGACGTAGCCCAGCTGCCCCAGGATGTGATGATCTGCGTCGTAGACCGTGGCGTTCCTCGGGGGAGCTATATACCCCACAAATGACAAACAGGCCAAAGAAAGCTTAGTTCGAAGTACCAAAGGGTCACGGTGGGTAAAGCACAATAGAGAAATGAAAGACCAATATGACCTTTGACGTTCATTCCAGGATTGATTCAGGATTTCGGTTCGGCACTGACTTCAGGTTCCTCAATATGTCTCGGCCCTTCAACCCTCGGCCCTCACATCGCGGATGTGGTCGTGCACCGTGCACCCGGAGGAACCAACGAAAGAAAAGCCCATCGAGGCGCTTCACGTCGCCCGAGCCAGTGAGATGCACCGCACTTATCAGCCAGGTCCTGAAGCGTCTGCTTCGCACGGAAAAACACACAGAATATAAAAATAATACATTATTATACATTATTATGTCTTAAATTGCAAAAGCATACAAAGCAGTTTACCTTTAGAGTATCCGTCTAAGAGTGTTGGCTGTTGGTTGGATATTTTGGCGAACATGTTATATACGTCCAATCACGATGTTCTTCTTCATCTTTGGGTGTGCGCTGAGAAGCTTCATTCCTCCACATCCCACTGGGCCGTACTCCAGCCGCCAGGATGACCACTTGGAAAAAGTAGTGGATTCATTGAGGACACTTAGCTAACATCACATCCTTTCTGGAGGCTTAGACAGTCCTACAAAAAGCTATGAATTTGCTGCTCAACAGCTAACTTGAATTTGCTCCTCCGTAATCTGACACTAACAAACGTGTTCATATTCCATCCCAATCCCAACCTTTCAATAAGTGGATGTTGAAACAAACACATGCACCCATCAGCCATCCATTAGAGATCCCACGCCACCGGCGCTGTCAGGTGACTGGAAGTAGCTGGGAGCACAGTCGCAGGAACAATCTTCTTGTCGCAGCAAGTTGCCTGTGACCCAACAAACGGACCAACGGTGAAGGGTGCATCGCGGGGCTCTGAGGGCTCCAGCAGCGCTGGAATGATACTTTTAGTATCAATGTCTCTCTATGACCATGTATACAAGCGCTGCAGTGAAAGTGCTATCCAAGTACCGGTTCGTAATCTCTATGAGATCTGAAAATTGCTTGAGCATCTTGTTCACGCATGGCCGCAGCACCTGTGCACTCCTCCATGCAAATGCCCGGCATTTGGTGGCACTGCTCATATCCAGCCCGACATTGCGTCTGCTCCAGCGTGGTGTTCGGCGGCGTGAGCCTTGGTGTTGTTGGATGGAGAAACCATCGACGTGCCTGGAGAAATCACCAAAGAGAAATGGTTCCACTAGGAGAGCAAAGGTAGTAGACTGATGTAAGATGTAATTAGATGGTTTGAGAAACTGCCGCTTTGAACGTTGGAAGTTTCCAGGTCGAAGAATGACTAGTGACACAGATTAAACCAAAAAACACCCATGGGTCTGTGTATCCTATCTTGTCCTACTATCCGAAACAAAATGGTAAATGCACTGACAGCCAGACAGCAAGTGTTTTTCTTAAAGCGAGGGTCTCCTCTTGGTGAACCCGCCTTGCCATCATGAAAGTAAAGATTTCTCTCTGCTTTCGGGATGAATCCCAGGTAACATGCATCACCCACCCAAGGTTATGCCAAACACCTCCCCCCATGTTCCACGTTCTGCCTGGGCCGCGCATGACACGCCGAGCCGTCTCGCTGCTCGTAGGGCCTATAGAAGGGGTGAGGAAGGAGAGCGAAGCTGGAGATCAAGTCTTGTCTGTTGGGAAAGTGAGGGAAATTTGATGGAAAGGCCAAAAAGGAAGTAATATAACATTAAGTCTTCCGTTCGCCTGCTTGTATGGCTACCCGTAAAGTCGCCCAAACATCACTGAGTGACCTCTCCAAGAGCAGAGAAGCCGGGGGATCCCTTCAATCTCTCCAAAGGTGATATTAGTTACTAATTGATCTCATCTGAAGGATTGCAAGTCCATTGGACATCTATAGGGTGTGACATAACAACATGGTGGCCAATTGACCCTCTACGTTCCTGCAGCTTCACCGCCGTACTTACAGCTTCACCATACCCTCCCAGGTTTGGTCCACCGAAGCTCGGTGCCGTACCTGCCCTCTCCCGGCACCTCTGAACTGACGCCCAGGGGCGTGTTGCAGGCCGCCAGGCGCCGAAGCTCGGTGATTTGGAAGCCCAAGGTCAGGGTGTCCAGCGCTTCCTGATGCACTCGCCTCAGGGGCCGGTAGAGGTGGAGGGAAGTGAAGCGCGATCTAAAGACCATCTGTTCGATGCTGTAGGCGAGCCGAAGTATCTGGCAGCTGGGTCGCTCAGACGAGCCGGCCCTCTATTCTGCCCTTAGGGATGCTCTAACCATAACATGCCATAGCCAGGGATGTTCAAGGGGGCCCATGTTGTTTTGAAAGGTTTCCGGTGTCTAATTTGTGGTCTTCCTTCCAAGTAATTAAGTACCTCAAATGAGGCTCATTATGCTTTGAACGAATTGAACATGCCTTCCACACCTGGCAAAGTGACAACCTTGCATCCTACCCCTTCCTCTCAATGACCTCAACAGTGATCTGTTGATTGAGAAGGACCACCGCCGCTGATCCAACCAGTCCGACCGCACACTGCCCAGGCCACACGGAGCTCGCTGTGCTTTGGCCAAGGAACACTTCGTCCAATTGGGCGGTGTACATCGCCAGGTCGTAGTAGGGTCGCCCAGAGCTCAAGACTTCAGGGAAACCTGGGGCTCCAAGCAACCAAGGTGCAAACATACGAATATGATATGATACAATAATATACAATAGAATGGAGGTGAGCGAGAAAGCACACATTTGGTGCCCAAAAATATCCAGCCAGGAGATTCTTGGAGGCAGCCGAGTTTCAGAAGAAGTTTAGCGAAAATACATTTACTGTGTATATATATATATATTAATATATCTATATATATATTCTTTTGAGGGTGGAGTCTCTTTGGACTGGTGAAACACTGATGTAACTTTTGATGCCAACATCTGGTTACCTGGTTAGCCGGCGTTGAACGCCCTTTGGTTTGCTCCACCTATCTCCACCTCGGAACTGAGCTGACTTTTGAATATGCTCTGCACAGTTCCCCATGTGACGAATCATGCCTGATCAATTGCAAGCTCCCCTCTCCCTTCGACCTGACGCAGAAGCAAGCGGCGTTTCATGTTCACCGGCCCTACATGGAAGACGTCCCGATGCTCAGGGATGATGTAGGGCGCTTCCAAAATGTCCATGGCGGCCACACTGCGATAGCCCGAGGAAATGAAGGTGCCGTCCTGGTGGGTTGAAAAAGTCCCACGCAAAAGCAACAAGTGGGGTGATACTCCAATGTCCAGGAAAAACCCTCAAGCTCTGCGAAACCCATCACCTGTAAGACCCCAACCAGAGGAACAAACCCAGGTGCTTTTCAACTCACTTCCCTGCGTCCCAATGTTTGATCCTTAGCCATCCATGCCCGCATGCCACCCGAAGTGAAGAAATGAACACCACCTAAACCACCATTCACCAAACAGCCCACTAACTCTGAAATTGATCGCTGGATGGATCACACGAAAGACTCGCTTTGCAGTGGACCACCACTACTAAACCTCCACGGTTTTTCTCGACTCGCTTGGCAGTTCCAAGGCTCCACGTAGAAGAAGATGTTGTGCCGGAAGGCCACATTCTGCGTCACGGTGACCGCTACATGCCGCCAGGGCTCACGGGCGTTGTCCCAGGAGAAGGAGCTGGAGGAGATGGTGCTGTCCTGACTGCTCAAGCGGGTGCTGAGAATTTGAGTTGACCAACACCTTACTCAGAGACTTGCTGGTACAAGAATAGAATCCATAGAATGCTTTAAGACTGTGTCCCCTTTCATCTGTCCTTTCCAGGAGTCATTCCAATACTTGGAGGGTCGTCGAGGGGGATGCAAACCCCAACAACATAAGGATATGCGAGCAACCGACGATGACCAATATCTGTGGATGAGATTTCCAGACTCGAAAACCTCTTCGGTAATGAATTCTATCCATAGATGGTATGACATGGTCCAAGGTGCATGGCATAATAAAGGGCGATCTGACTGAAAAGAAAACCTGAAGTGAACGGATTGAAAAGAATCCTTCTTCCAACATGCTCGCCAAGACCTTTCGCAATGGTGCTGATGGTACGGAGGAAACTTCTAGGGTGCACAGGATGATGCCACCGCAACTACTTAGTTTCCTCGAGACACCTATATCAACCTGAGGTTGCAGTTTTCAGTGTTTGCCCCGAAGCAAAGATTCCTTGCCTCTGCGCTGATGTGAGAGGCCAAGGTCAGTCGACTGTGGTAGAAGACCAGCCTCAGCTCAAAGAGCAGGATCCAGTGGTGGAAGGTCCATTGGATCCTAGAACAAACAGAGGAACCCATGATTCGAGGAAAGTCAAGGCCAGACTACCAGCATACTCAATATGTTAAGCGGTAAAGGTGTGGAATGATGTCCTTTGATGCCCTTTCGTGATTCCCCGGAGGCTCCTAACATCTCCTAACCATATTATCGATACGTGCCAACAGCAATTTGGGCTGGGCTTTCTTCGTCAGGACATTTCGGACCGATCACGTGGCATGTCCCAAGAACCTTTCCGTCCCGCACGGATTGACTAGTTCAGCCTGGAACTTGGTTTTCTGAAGCTCTGACGAAAGCTTTTAAACATATAACAGCTAGAGCGTCTCATATTCCCAGGGCCATACTATGTCTCTACTTCCTTACGTCAACGAGATAGTACGGTGTTTTTGTCCCCTGCAAGGACAACAACCAAGGAGCTGCGCTTGTCCTGCACTAACGCGCCGGAGAGCCAAGTACCTGTCAAGAACAACTACTCACTTGGGCACTGACGTGTCAAGGTTTTACAGCAAATGATGCTTCACAGCAAAGCGAAGGTGAAACAAGCAAACAGTGAGTGCACCACCTTTCATGTGTGCTTGGCCATCTAATAAATACTGCCGTGTCCTTGCAAAGTGGTTGCCGACTTCTTGTCACAAGAGAGTGGCCGCGATTGGGCACCAGGAGGGAAAGCTGCCAAACAGAACAGCCATGCTGCTGACACTGGATTCTCCTGGCAGGACAGTGGACTTCACCCAAATAATCGAAAGCCTTTACGATGTGGAGTGTAGACAGACTGCGCAGACTAATTCACGCTCTGAGGATTTGCTCCCACAAGTTCAAGCGATTTCCAGATATCAATCCCAACTTTGCTCAAACTAAAAGCAATCCCAGCCTGTTGGAATTGCATCCAAGGTCATGTTCACAAAGGCTTCCACTGTGAATGGTGGGGCCAGCGCTGCAACCGCAAAGCCTTGAACGGCCAGCCATAGGTCGTTCTTCCAAACAAATCAAAGGCCCAATCACATGGGTCTTTATCGATGTTCAAGGGGATCCTTCTCAACCTCCAACGGAGCCATGGTTTCGTTCCCTCATCTACCAATGGCCTTCTTGACAAAGCTTCTTGAGGAAATAATGATCGTAGTGAATTCCACCAGTAATAGATGACACCCGAACCCTTTCCACCCGGCTTCCATGGTCTTCAGAGTTTTTTCACGTAGCGTCGTCAACAAAGTGTCATTGGTTTCATGCCATTGACATGGTGGTTGATCCAAATTCGTTCTTGCTGAAAGGCCATTCTTCACCAAACAAAATTGTTTTCGCATGTCTTTTGTGAACTCCATGTTTAACTTTCGCGGGGTGTATATCCTCTATAGGAATCTTCTTGGCTTAGTGGTTCTACATGGCAGCCTAAGCACGTCGATCTGTTTGCGTTGTTTGTTTTAGACGAGCACGCGATCAACTCTGGTTACCCTCATGTCTTGCTAGGCCTTTTGCTGCTTGGCTTGGGCAGGGCTCCACAAAACAGGCCTTCACATTCGCCCATGCTTTCGCGGAACTTTCGCGAATCTTTCACCAAAAAACGTCGCGTCATTGGTGGGTGTCTAGGCCCAAAGCGAAACAACAAAAGAACTCAAAAGAGTTACTATACAGCCTAGGGATTGTGCATCACAAGTGTGAGCTATATAACTATAATATCATGTGCAATGTAAAGGCTTGTGAATGTGCCACTGATGACTGACTGTGCCTAGGAGCCATGGCCAAGCCAGCTTGAAGCCTAAAGACTGCATTAAAAGTCAGGAATCAAACCTCCTCCTGAGTGAAGACAGTATGAAGTTAATATAGTTCTGACATAGAGTATAATAGGATCTTTCGCAGATCTTTCGCGAAAAACACAGATTACTTTGTGACTACCACATCCATTGGCATTGTTGTCACACCATGGTCGTCGTTTTCTAAGCATTGTCACAGTTATCACAATACTGTCATCGTCACACGTCGTCATCAAAGAGTTGTGATTGAAATTGGGGTGGGTGAAGGGTGATGGGCGGGAGTTGTGCATACCATCATTCTTGCTGTCGTGCTATCTTCGCGCCTATCACTTGTCACCTCATCGTGTCACGATGGTGTTGTCGCTTCTTCATTATGAACGTTGGATAGCTTGCATCGCATCCTATGCTGCACCGCCGTCATCCAGCTGGACCCGACCCAACGAACCCAGCTGCACCACGCACCACGTCGTGTTCCCCCAGCCGGGGCGCTCTGCGCCGGTGGCTTGGCCGCCACGAAGGCCAAGGTGATCTCGCAGCCGTCGGCCGCGCCGCGGCCCGTGGTGGTGAAGTTGGCCACGGAGCTAAACTGCGAGGCCTCCAGAAACGGCACAGCCGGTGGACACGAAGGGGTTTTGGTTGGATATCAACATGGGGTGTATGAGGCAACACTTGGGGGGAACGAATGAACTGGGTATAACTGGGATGTTCCATATTGTTTGGGATGTTGGCGGTTGAGGTTGCGGTCATTTTTCAGAATCGAGCAGAATGCATGGCTCTTACCAAACAAAGCTAGTATACTAGATCTGATTGAAGCTACTACGATCAGGGCAGAAGCCTCTCTGGTCTGCCCCCTGCTACGGTCCTATTCATGATGCCCAAACTCCCGCTGTCTGAAGGGCAAACGTCCAAACTTTTTTAAAGCCCACAAGAGGCCTACAATGGCACGTTGAGACCATAATGGCTTCAATCTTGGGGTTAAGCAGCTGCTCACTGTGGATGGATACAAGGACAAAAGGAAATGCTGCACGGCCAATGTCAATAATGATAGCCAATAGCAGCTAGCAGCCCAACAGCCACTCTATCCAACTCACATGCAGGGTGGAGCCAGGCAGCCAAACACTCTTGTCGTGCTAAAATGTGCTAAACACACCAACAAAGCAAAAGCCACGGCTCGGGGATGACATCAATGAAAAAGTAATTAGAAACTCATACAATGAGCTTCACTGCTTCCAAGCAGCTGAAATGCCGGTGGGAAGGTCGCAGGCGTGCCAAGTATTATTGCCTCGAAGAATTGCTCGAATGAACCTTCGCACTAAATCTATGCAGACTCTCTTCATTCCAAGATATTCCAATTATCTTATTCCAAAACGTCCAAGCTCCAAACTATGGTGAACATTCCCAACTTAACTGTGGCAAGCAACTGCCTCTTCAGCCCACCACCTCACTCACCGGACCGCCGGTCACCACCGTTCACCACCGGTTAGCCACTGGTCACCACTGGTCACCTTCGACCTGTTCGACCACTGGTCTCCATCTGAGCTTCCACACAGACCGGTGACCAGTAGCCCACTTCACTCTGGCACGATCGACCCACAGGACGGTCATCTGCCTGAAACGAACGAGGCAAACAAGGAGCCGACTTCTGGACGACGGAGCGAAGCGCGTTTGGTTTTTTCTTTGGCCCCAGGTTTTTGGGTGTCATCTGTTTGGAAAAGGCGGTCATGTATGTAGATGAGTGTAGTATAGGTTGCACGATGTGACGCCCTTATGCAATACCACTTGCAACATCTTCCCACGACACAAGAGAGACTGAAACACAAGGCATACGTAACAGGCATGGTGGGCTGTCGGAATGTTGGCATTTCACGGACCAAGACTCTTCCATTCAAACACGACGGAGCTTGCAGCGTCACCCGTTTGACATGAACACAACCACTTTCACGCAAAAAGTACAAGCATCTGCCTCCTCACACAGAAATGGACAGCTGCTGTTCGGCCATTGCCAGGCATAAAAGTAGTAGTTGCCGGTGACAAGGTCGCAAGCCTGCATGAAGTGTTCATACATGGTCAAGATACAGGATGGAAACTCAATTGAGCAGTTGTTCAGGGATGTCTTTGCAAAGATGTCTTTGGAACTGTCTTGTTCATGTTGCAAAGTTGTGAGCCTGAAGCAGTCTAGTCAGTCTAGTCTAAAGCTGAGTGGCTGAGTGATGAAAATGCTTAGCTCAAAGCCAGTGGCAGCCAAACCCCCAAGCACATGTTGTAGGGCTTGACCGACACGAACGGTCACTACACGTCAACCCCTCCTGGTGGGTCTCGCCATCTCCCCAGAAGCCCGGGGATGCCATTTCACAAAAGCCGTAGTCACACGAATAGAGCCTGCAGTCTGGCTGACATACATGCAAATCACGACTATTCCTCGATCAAACAGCACAGCGGCAACACCGAAGAAAATGCCGGTTTGAAGATGCTTCTTCCAACCTTTTGAAGTCTGACGTCTGACTCTTTCCTCCAGAAGAGATCAAGTGTCCAAATGGCGGCTGGTAAGAAGAGGCGCCTCTTGCATCCCAGTGGGCAGCTTTCACTGCAGTAAGCGTAACCGCAGGGATTCTCGCCAGCCTGGCGAAGAAGCACGATGCTCCAAGCAGTTGGAAGTGCGTGTGAAACGGTGCCTCTTGGTATGCCCATCCTGGTCCCTAGTACGTTTGACATTCAATGCAACTGTTGCAAAGGGATATTGTTGTGCTGAGTAAGAAAGGCTGCACATGCTTGAACCTCTATGGCTCATGCCAGTCACAATGCAAAATCCTATGGATCCATCGCTGGCACCTTCTGCTTAGAGAATGTTCTGCTTACAGCCAGTCCTGCGTTCGATGAGCAAAGGAGATCTCCAGTTTTTGTGCAGAGCTGCATTGGTTCTCCTGGAATGCGCAGGGAAATCTCTCCCACAATTGGTAGGAGTTTTGGCCCACAACCCGCCACCCAAAACTGGAAATGACCGAGGTCACAAACATTCATTCGATGCTGCAAAGCTGTTCAAACAGGTTTGTACAACAAAGGCCCAGGGAACGGATGTTCTTTCTCTCTTGAGTCGGTCACCAAAGCCACCAAAGCTGCCAAAAAGCCTGGATTGAAATGCTCTCAGTTTGCTTATTTTAACACTGTATGGCAGAAGAAGAGCTTGAAGAGCCTTTACGCCCAGATATATATATATATATAGAGATTTATGATATCTCTTGGGTCTATCCTAAGACCTGTAACAGTGGATGATGATGGTTAGTAAAGGCCTTGTCTAAAAATAGTAATAATTGTTTACTGACTGTTACTGCTAATAGGACAGACCCAAGAATATCTCTATATATATATATATAGGATTATATAGGTACAAGTAGAACTGGTACCCAAAAATCAAATTTATCCAACAAAATACCATTGTCAAAGTCGTTGTCAACCACTGTCGGATTGAAACGGAAGGGTTGTAGGATGCGTTCCCACACTTGTGCAAGATGCTATGTGTTGAAAGTGTGACCACTTGATAATATGTTTCGTATCCCTTGTGAAGTTGTCTGCTAACTTCTGACCCGCGGTGTGAGAGGAGCAGACTCCTGAGGCAATGCCTTCGCCGCCCGCAAGGTCATCTCTTGAACTGCCTGAAGCTGAATCACCTGCCAAATCAAGGATGGTTCCCGTCCAAAGAAGCAACCTCAGTTCCTGATACTGGGAGTGTAGTGAAGGACAATTCATCATTCCCTTGATGGTCTCTTGGGATCTCAGTCTCATCTTCAAACACATGACACTTGTATGAACAGTACCGTAACAGCTGCCTGGTCTCCGGCTGTGAAGGTCACTGTGTCGCTGCTGCTTCTGGACACATAGCTGGCGAAGGGGCCGACAAAGGACAGGCCTTAGCATACTCTGATTACATCTGGCCTGAAACGTCGGAGCTTCAAGACCAGTTGATCAAATAAACTGGAAAATCGGAAGTGAATCTGCCCACACTTGGATGTACACCTTTGCCATCATCGGAGAGCGCTAAGCAGTCTGAAGCAATCACGGCCAAGATTCTACTGAAATGCATCAAACAAGCATATATCAAACCTCCAGTAATGTTTTTCGCGAGCGAAAGTAAGCGCAACCCTTGAGTGGAACAGCGGCATTGCCTGAACGCCACATAGCTTGAGATAGCTTGAGGTAGTCGGCGCTTGGGATGCACAGGATGATCCAAGGCACCCTTGCCCACATCCAGGTAGACGTGGCGCTGCTCTCCGCTCGCGGCAAACAGCTCCGTTGGAGAAGTGAAGGGCAGGTCCCCAGTATACGGCCTCGGCGACACTGAATCTGGTGAAGCAGTTCTCAGAAATTTGGTGAAACAGTAGCAAGTGCATTGCTACGTACTAGGAACAAGGGCGTGACAAGGGGTGGTGCGGCAAGCTGAGAGTGTGCAACCGCCACATATCAGAGTTCTTGAGCCGGACGAGTGAAAGTTGTGGGTTTTGCGGGATGGGAAGTGATTTGTGAGAGGTTGAGGCAAAGGCTCAGGGGTCCAAACGCATCCACTTCTGAATGAAAGCATGAACAAAAACGTGAAGCATAGAAGGATGAATGGGCCTTGAAAACCACAAGCCGCAAAAGTGGATGTACCACCAGCTCTTTCACAAATTTCAGTGGATTCAGGATGTAATTCCTATAGGAACAGGACATCTGGAAATACCTATGAACCCAGCACACGCCGAATTTAGTCTAGCCATTTCATCTGGTCACTCGAAGTGTCACCTATGCTTTTCTTCCAGTATAGCCTAGGCCCTATGCATCAGGCTCATTCCGTGGCTGATGCATAGACTCTAAGCCCCCAAGCACCACTGACAGGAGCTCTCGCGCCGTGACGTTGAAGAGTCGCCCTGGGCGCCAACGGCTAGGAGGAGTCCAAAGAGGGACAGGGGACAGACAGGAAGGTCCGTCCCCCGCGTGTTTTGATGTGTTTTCCGCCGTTTGGAGCCATGTTTTCACTCTATGTTCGCAAACGGCTTGTGCTTTTGGGGTGGCTTCTGGCACTGGCTCAAGGCAAGGGACCAGTCTCACAGCGACACCAAGAGGGACGCCCGGCCAAACCACGCAAACGAACGTCTGGTCAAGCTACATCGTTCCTGGATCCAGCTCTTTAGCATCCAGACTATTGAAGGAGGTTTGGGGATGGGTCGTCTGATTGCCTGCAGTTTATAGACCAAATCCTGGTGTGACACATGAGTTCTGAATCAGCAGTTCTGGATAAATTTGGATGCGGCCAGACACTAGGCGCGCCGTCGTGGATCCCTTCCTATGAACCATCCACTACTGGTGGATGGGACACCCATTTTTGGCTTTGGCATCCCGAAGATCCATCCAAGTGCCCCGACCACAGAAGTCCAAGGAAAGCAGTGGCACTGATGCCACCACTAAGAGAGAGGAGGCCTTGAGAGGGCAAAGCATGCAAGTCATCATCATGGCATCATGGTGCATGGGTTTGGTGACTTTGGTGAGTAACTTTTAAGGTCTTTGAAGGAGGAATATTGCAGTTACTGCCAGAGAGATGCCTGGAAGCATTCTTTTCAGGTGAAGAGAATGTGCCTTGAAGGAAGGTGGAACAAACCATGTCTGGTGTCCGAATGCCGAACATCTTTGTCTGCACCTCTCTGAACTTCATTGTGGTCACCGTCATCATCGCGCCTGCGGCAAGCGATCCTCGGCATCCTCGCGCAAAAAGCCGAGGTGTTCAGAAGCTGAAAAATGTTTGCTTTCGAACAGAATGATATATGTTGTTCTTCATGAATTATTCCAAACACTCCTGCAAACCTTTTTTGAGAGGTATGTGCCAGGTAATGCCAGGTATGTCTTACAGAGAGGAGGCACCCCACCAACACCTGCTTCCAAAACAACCAAGCATTTCAACCGGCCAAACGGCCGTTCTCCACTCCTCATAATCAGGCCACGGTCACGGTCCTCCACCCTCCACCCGTCCTCCACCCGCTCGGCAAGGCAACGCCGCAAGGGCATGCTGGCGTCCTGCCCACTGGGCGCCGGCAAGGCCGCTTTGAGCTTCACCAAAACGCCTCAGGCGTTTGAAGCGGGAGATGTCGGGATGCGTTGGGAGATGTGGGGAGGTGGGGTCAGAATCTTGATATGTTGCCTAGACACGTCAGAGCGTATGCTTAAAAAAGCGTCTTTTTGAGATCTGTCCTGTTCCTTCACGGGATGGTTGGAGAGGTCGATTATTTCTTCCACAGCTTTTCCTTGCAGCCTTGCACCAACCTATGAGAGGTCGATTGTTTCTTCCAGGGCGCCATTGACGGCATCCTGGACGATGTCCACAGCGGAGACGGTCGCTGTGAGCGGGGAGAACTTCATGTTGCAATTGAACTCTGACCTGGGATGCTTTGGACAGCTGGAAGTGGAATAGGGAAAATAATGGAAATTTTCAGAATATCAGAATACGATAGAACACATATCATGAGGGAATGGGACTTCGACAGCTAAGAAGGGGCACTGACGGCATGAATTTGGTGTTGGTTTGCTGTTGGTTGGGAATCCTCCAACCCAGGCTTGAAGAACAGGTTTGACGTCCATTGAATTCATCCATGATTGGAAACACCGGCGAACCGTTCTTCACGTGCCAACCTCCTGAAACATGGCCATGCATGCTTATCCTAGCAACATCTGTGACGTGGCTTCTGAAGAACCATGGAATTTGGTGATACACTGGGCATCATGACCCTTGCATCACGAATCTTCGCGGAAAGTGTCACTTTTCCCAACAACAAGCAAGGGGCTTTAGATTCGATATGCTTATATTAGATCTCTATATTTGGCCTGAACTTCAGAGAACCTCAAACCACTCAACCAGCCCAAGGTGTGTAAAGCGTTTGCTCTGACGTGTCTGTGTCTCCTCTTACCGCGGGTCCAAATGGGTCCAAAACTTCTTGTCAAGCAACAAGGCAGCAAAGGCAGCCACCTGTTTGTGCCGTGGCCACGCGTGGGGAAGAATCAACCGCCAATATACATCCTTGATCATCCTCCGGCAAGCTAACATTGCACATCGTAGTGTCATAGCACCTGCTAAAGCCTGCACCTTCACGGTGATAGAACACTTTACTTCGTTTGTTTGCCAATTTTTATCAACCATTTCAGCCACCTCAGCATGACAGCATGAACCTCAGCCCCCCCGTGTCCCATCGACTAAGGCACCTCTAGCGCCAGTGAAGCACCACTGAGCAAGGCCTCCAGTGCACGACGCAGGTAGTCGAAGGCACTCAGTTGCATCACATTGCCTCGACAATCACCGCGGGCCATCGAGGACGTTGGAAGGAGTGAGGCAAACAAGGGCCGGCGACAATTGGGATTGGGGAAGCAAGGACTGTTCTGCAAGAGCTTCAAGGTTCGTTCTAACTTCAGACTGTGTAGGGATCCTTTTTTCCCTGGATGAGGACAAAATGGATACACATGGACTTTCACCTCAAGCCATGTCAAGGTTTCTTCTCTTAGACAGCGCCAGCGCCAGGTGTACCCAAGAGTTCTTCCAGCGTTCAAGCTGCTACGCAATCAGTTCTGCCATGTGCCACACTGAGCCGAAGGGAGCTGGACCCTGAAAGCCCCTTCGCGCAGGTCCACCCCCCCTCCTCGCGCGCGGGTCTAGCCCTTGCTCATACGAAGGTTTTCCTCGCAGAAAACCCCCAGGGCCCCAGGGGGCGGCGGAGTATAGGGGGAGATGCCATGAGTTGTCGTGCTTTCTCTGAGGACCCTGGCCAACATCCATCAAAGAGATCACCCCATCCTGCGAAGTGGCATTCCACAGCTCAAGATCCATGCTTGGTGGCGTGGGGTCTGGGTCTGGGTCACTGAGCTTGGGCTTCAACGATCCAAACGGCGACTGGAGGGTTCTACAAGAAACATCGGGTATGAATACCCATCACGATGCGGCTAACATTCCAGGAGTGAAAGTATTCGAGAAATGCAGCTTCCATCAGCTTCTGTTCAACCTGGCTTGACCTGCGTCTATTGGCCCATCGCACTACAGTTTCTGCCCGTTTATGCATGTCTGTGTCTTTTTGAGGAGCAGCTGAGTAGAGAACGCAAACTGGCGCAAACAAGATCGTTGTTCTGAAGATCGTTGTTCTGACCTGATATGCCAGAATCAAACCCAAGTACCCACCTCACTCCGTAAATGTCAGTCCTGAGAATCAAGTTCTTGTGCAAGATCCTGGCATTTGGGCTGCATACAGGCTGCAAGGAGTCAAAATCCGATCATTAGCATCAACAACAAAACATTTACCAGTGGGTAAGACTGTAAATCCTCAACTAATTAATGCCTATCTCCACAAGGTTCTCTCTCTCTCTCTACAGGGCCACAGAATCAGCCAGGATGGCTCAAGCCTCTGATCTAAAGAACGTTGGCAGAAGAAAACAAATTGCCTGGCTAAGCTACTACTTGCTCACCTTCATGCTGCAAGTCGACGTGTGAAAACACAGCCCTCTCCTGCGCAGGGCCGGAGAGCCAGCCACTGCCACAATTGGCCGCCAGAATGGGCGCAGAGGTCAAGAGATTGGAGAGATCCGTGGCCAAGGCCCTCACCGGAAGAGCTGTTTGAATGTGAAAGAAGAGGGTCGATTTGGCTTGGAGGTGAAGGGGCTCAAACCGGATGGAATGAGATATTCTTGGTGGTTAAGTCTCTGAACTGAACATTCCATGCTGAGAACTTGCTGTTGGAAGTCCAACTTCTAAAGGCAAAAAGCAAGGCAAAAAGAGAGGGGGAGTTTTTGAAGGAGCTCATCTCCATCGAAATCGAGGAATTGCTGCAAGGCTAGTAAACCGAATCAATAGGATCGATGGGATCAAAACATAGCTGTAGAATTCTGTAGACGCGCGGACTCTGTGAAAGCTGAGAGACCCAAACCACTCTGACATTATTCCCCATCACTTCCCTTTTCGCAGTCAAGGCACAAAAGAGATGCTGGCAGCGCCGCTGCCCCTGAAGGAAAGATTTAAAGACAAAAAAACTGACACCATGGGTGCGAGTGTCTGAATTGTCCCGTTCTAGAGACTGTACCAAACAATGGCCCCTACTGTTCTTGGCCGCTTATAGGAGCAAGGACGCTACTAGGGGCTCCTGGCATCGCTACTAGGAGCAAGGACGCACTATGAGAATTCCAGCAAATCCCATGCGCTCTGATCTTTTGAGACAAACGCCGTGGAACAAAGTAGAAACCTCGTGGCATGCTCTTCACAAGCCTTCATGGCTATATAGTTGTGCCCGTTGCATTCACAAAGTTGTCGCACATTCACGGCTCCACAATCGTTCGCTACCCATTGGTGTTGGGCCTCCCTATAAAATTACACACCCAAATGGTGTATGGCTCAAAAATAGGATACCATATGATACCATCACATCCAGACCTATCCAAACCCACTCTTGAACTTTTGAGGAATCAACTGGAGCCATCTTCATCCAGCAACACCAAAACCTCCTGGCATCTCAGGAGTTGTGGCGGGTGGAGGTGTACTACTTCAAAGACTCTTGGTAGTACCTACTTCTATCTAGTTGGTGTATGACTCACACTAAGATATAACTACCTATCCATTTGTTTCCCTCTTTTGGAGCGCATCGGTTTAAGAAATTGTTCAAGGCACCCTCTAACAAAGGAAGACATGTGAAGAAATGATCCCATCCCATCCCATCCCAAACATCATACCCAAACCCCCCAAAAAAATCACGTGGCCTTTTCCTCCAAAGGGAACCACATTCCAATCTCCCCCACCTCCTTGTGGCGCCAGTGCTGTGCTCGGCTGCACCAAGTGGGTCAAGCTGCTCACCCGGTCCTCGTCCACGCGGAGACGGTCCACGGCGGTAGTGGTGAGACGGGTGGTGAGACAGGGTGACCTTTGCAGCGACTAGTAGTAACAAGAAGCTACTAGGAACAAGTGCATCGCTAGTAGTAACAAGTGCCTTACTAGTAGTAACAAGAAGCTACTAGGAACAAGTGCATCGCTAGTAGTAACAAGTGCCTTACTAGTAGTAACAAGAAGCTACTAGGGACAAGTGCATCGCTAGTAGTAACAAGTGCCTTACTAGTAGTAACAAGAAGCTACTAGGAACAAGTGCATCGCTAGTAGTAACAAGTGCCTTACTAGTAGTAACAAGAAGCTACTAGGAACAAGTGCATCGCTAGTAGTAACAAGTGCCTTACTAGTAGTAACAAGAAGCTACTAGGAACAAGTGCATCGCTAGTAGTAACAAGTGCCTTACCAGTAGTAACAAGAAGCTACTAGGAACAAGTGCATCGCTAGTAGTAACAATAAGAATTTAATTAGAATTGTACAACTTCCTTCTGATCTCTTGTTCAATTCGACCTATTGTAGGTCACCATCTATCACTAGCAACTTCCTTCAATACATATTATCAAATATTTTGCTCTTCTCGGTAACTTTGGAAAAATATCAGAGAGCAAAATACATATGATTTATGATCACTCGCATGTTGAACAGAAAACGCGGGCAATTTCCAGGGGTGCAACATGTCCTTTCAAAAAAAGAAGGCGTCTCAACCCATACCACCGCGTGCTGCTTCACCTCGCGGCGCTTGGGTCTCTCCGCGCCGCTCTCTGCGCAGGTCACAAAGATGCGTTCCCACGGCTGGGAGTTTGGACGACGGGACTGACCTGGTGACCTGTGGGTGCCCTTCATTTGATAATTGTCCACAAAAAAATAAACGAGAACGCACATGAACACACCCCTACGATCCCCTAAGAGTCATCTGACTGACTAATGAGTATACGAAGTGATGGGAACACAGCAGGTTCCCCAAACCACAGCCACCTTTTGCACTGTGAACAGCTCCTGCAAGATACTTCGCATCCCGCTGAGGGCCAAGTCTGCAAAGCCTCTCACGAGGCAAGGCCGAAATGCATGACAACATATATGAATATATGAATATATATGACAACCACCATGGAGATGGCTGCCATTTGACATCGTTCCGCGTAGAGGGGTTTAAACACAGAAGTCATCTAAGGGCAAAATTGCAAAAACATGGCAAAAGCCGCAGTTCTCACAATCAACTTCGCAGGGCCTAAAGAAACCTAACAGTGCTAGAAAAAAAAAACGGTGCCCCCTCTTTTGTTCTTCATCTAAGTTCGTTGCTTTGAACATCCAAGAAAGGACTTCGGAAATGACTGCGTCTTCCCGTCTTCCTGAAGCCGACGCATCTCTTTTTGGCCCAGCTGAACGACGCCGACATCGAGATGAAGGATGCAGAGCGGCTTCCCACCGGAGGGCGGAACAAGCGTGGAACATGGAACAACGCCAACAGCTGCCCCTTCGCCGTGCAAAGGCCAAGGAACATGGTCAAGGTCGCAAAGAAATGGAACATCGAATCACATCAATCTGTGCCATGAGGTCTGTGAATTCCCTAACCAGTTGTTTGGTGTATTGTTTCACGAAGCAACAACATACTCATTAGCATAGACTAAGTAGACAGACTGAGCCTTGAAGAGGTGCCCAAGCACCGAAGGCTTCTGTCCCGTTCTCGTTTCAAAATTAGGACCCGACCGGTATGACACCCAGAGACACACGCAGCAAAGTGTCACAAATTCAATTGGGCAATTCGAACCCTGGAATCGCCGACAGGGTCAGCAATCAATCCTGTAGGCCCTCCTGGAGAGCGAGACGGAGACATAAAATGAATATCTCATAGACTCATAAGAGGTGTGGCTGCTACCTTCATGCTAAACATCCACTATATAATGACTATATATATATACCTTCATAGTTCCAAAAGCGACGTATCATATATACTCGCCTTGAACACGCCCTGAACTTGTGCTTCGTTGATTCGTACATTTTGCGTATTGGGAGATATCACACTCTGAAATAATTCATGTACAGTACATGTCCTGTGTACATTGACCCTTGCATACCCACCGTAGGAGAAGGGTGCGTAGTGGTTGGAGCGGTGGGCAAAATCGAGAACCCCACACCATGGTAGACATCCCCGGTAGTCCGATCTGTTCATGCAGTCAACCAGTGTCATGGCTTATTGTCATCTTGGGCCAAATTCCACACCACAAAGACGACCAATCCCTTGTGGATCCTTGGTGTTTGAAGGACATGTTTCGGGAGGGTTCTCTGTTCAAGTACAGGATGTCCTGGCTCACAGAAAGAAAACAGAAACAAAACGGGGGATCCAATTCATGTGGACAACGAACTCCTGGCCTAAAAAGGAAATCGAAGGAATGCTGCGGAAGCAGCGTTCCGACCACCCACGAACTGCATCTTCGAAGGTGCGAACCACTCGGAAGTCGTTGAATGAGCATTTCCAGCTGAAAACGCCCTTGCGACAAAACTGATTTATCAAGGTGGCCAGCGGCAACCTGTTTGTATCATTGTGTATCCTTTGCTCAGCGTGTTTTGCTAGAACCACCCCGCTCTGAGGCTCGCGGGGTGATCCCCGCAAGGCAACCTCTCGTCTTTGTTTTGTGAATCCAACAAACATATCCTCCATCCACTCCTCCATCCCCGATGACTCACCTCCCAAATATGCCAAGTAGTATCCTCGTAGAGTTGCAGGTGTCTTCAGAACTAGCAACTGCTCAACTTGGAGGGACTAAATATAATTTACTTAGTTTCGGTCTAGAACATCCCCATGACCAGGAATATGACGAACAACGACAAAGTGTCGGTCCTTAGAGCTGGAAGACCCTCATCCCTCCTGACTGTCACAGGCAGGTGTCACAGCCAAGTCACTTTGTGGGTCTTGGCACTTGTCACAAAGCTTTAAAAGAATGGATGCATGCCTCAATTCATACCCAGTACATCCGAGTACATCCCAGTACCAACGAGGTCCTGAAGTAAACCCAGATTATAGAAAGTGCAAAGCAGCACAAAGTATAACACGAACACGCCCTTGCGGGGCAGAATACCTTCCTCTACAAACATGCGATTGTCCCCTTCCGTGCTAGTAAGTCGGAGGTCAGAGTGTGAGAAAAAACATAAGGCTGGGGGGCTGAGGGTAGATTGTCAGAAGTGAACATAGGTGAACCGTGATAGAGGTCAGAAACCATTCCAGAAGATTTTGGGGCCTTGCTCTTCATGATGGGGGAGTTAATGGGAGTCGCAAGGCAGCTAGACTGTGTCTGGTCTGCCCCACCATCTGTGAAGATCCAAACAATCGGGAAGTTGTATCTAACTGCCTTAGATGGACGAAGCGCCAAGCTGGTGAGGCATTCAGCCATAGAAGTTCCCTTGCCAAAGGCTCTAGACATTGACAGCGCATACAAAAAGGCCTTGGCACTATTCTTCTTTGCCGGTTATGTTTTTGAGGCCTCGGACCCCCAACAAAAGGTCCTAGCCAACAAGTAGAGATTGCTCCAAGAGGGATGATCCCGCTGCCTGCGCTGTTTGCCTTAAAAACAGGGGTGGCAACACGGCAAAGGAGGCACATCGATGATTATAGACCCGAGCAATTTAATGTAGACTCTTGATTAATCGAAGCCCCGCATTTGGATTGTAAAGCCATGTAAAGCCACTTATATGGGGGTTAACTATATAATCAAGAGTCTACATTACAATTTGTTGGAAAGAAGATGCACGAAGCCTCAGCAGCCTTAGCACCTCCAGCATCATCGGATCAACCGTTCATAGCTCAAAGGGTTATTTCGAAACCCGTTGACCAACACGTCGTTTGGGCCTTTGACTATTGATTAATTGATGAATAAAGCCCCACTATGGAGAGGTTGTAGATTTCGCTGTCGCTGTTTTGACCATGAGTGTCAACAGTTTGGACACGGGAGGGTGTTATCCTCCCTCCAACAATCATGGACGTGCACAGTGGGGTATAATTGAAAACAATTTTCTGCTACACACATGGGGGTTGGCAAAATTGTTGGAGGGATCATCTGGAGTCTACCGTTTTGCAGTCTTTGCAATGCGTTTTGATCTCTCCACGAGCCGGACCCATGCTAAGATCCCGCGCTATGCATGTAACTTGGCACTTGAGGAAAGTCGTCCCCTGAGAGCGCCCAAAGCCAAACGATGCTGAAAAGCCAATGAAAGCTTGTCAGCATAATAAGCAATCCATTCTTCTGACATATTCTCATACTGCAAGTGCCTTTCGTGAGACTGCCTCGCGAAAGCTCCTCGCGAAAGCTCAAAAGGGGGGATCAACTCCGCAGAAAAGACGAGTCGCCATGCTTTTCGCCATGCTTTCGCCATGAAGTCGCCATGCTTTCGCCATGTCCGTCTGGACATCTATGAGCAATCCAAACACGAACCCGATCGACCCTTGGACGCTCGCGAACCCGTCGCTCTCTCATGACCCGTCGCTCTCTCAGGAACCCGGTTTTGAGGCCCAAATCGGTCCAATTCAGGGCACTTGGAACACCCCAGCCTTCATCAGGGCCTCTCTGAGAAGAAGAGGGCCGAAATGAGAGATGAAGGATGGAAGCTTACAGTTGTTCCCAGAAAAGGTGTTAGTCTCGACGTTCTACAGCTGGATTATTCGATCCCAGAATTCTTTAAATTGAAAAGGACTATATCTGAGAGGAATTCACTCCCTAGCCAGACCCCTAGGTCTTCCGTCGGTACTTGCGAGGATTTTCATAATGTAGATTTGGAAGCTCTATTCTTCTCCAGCCAGGTCCTAAAGTTGGATTCTCTGCTGCACTGGACTCGCCCTGGTTTGGGAGGAAAGCCGGGAAAACGAACCACAAAAGCCATGCCAGCAGGTGTACTCGTGGGAGCCCTCGTGGTGTATGCGTGCCCAAGAGGATCAGCTGGAGAATGTCGGGTCTTAAAACCAAAGAGAGAGTTGCACCCACTAGATCACGCCAAGGCTGCAAAACCTCTGGTGCTTGCCCGCATCTCAAGATTCAAGTATTAAAGCCGGCATAGGACCATGGGAAATACCCCAAGGCAGTGGACATCTCTTTTGACCCCTAAGAGGACCAAATGTCAGGTTGAAAGCACCCATGCACCGCGCAAAAGAGTTCTCCCCAACCAAATTGAGAGTAACAAAAAATGTGACGGCGGCCAAGAGTTTCATTTAAGGTAGGAAGCTCAGTGTATGTTCTTTGGCTGTGCCCCTGGACCAAGCTTCCCAATTCCAACTCAGGAATCACTCCAGGCAGGGAACCAAGAAATCAACCAGGTGGACAATCCCGAAAAACTTAATCCAGTTATTCAATCAAAGGATCTATCCATCCATCTATCCATCTATCCATCTCCGTCAACCGATCTCACGCCTTCTCGACCCCGCTCTCGAGGAAAATCACCAGAGCCTCAGATCCACCATCCGATCTGCGTTCTGCGTTCAGCGATCGTAGAACAATCGGAATCCGTCACCCGGTGTCCGGCGGAACATCTGTGCCCAGTAACTTAAGCTCAGAACCTGAAATCGACCTCCACTTCAGTTACCTGGTGCACTGTTTCGATTCTTTAAACTCCAAAAAATGCCCTACATGAGAATCCTTTCACTATAACAACAATCGCAGGCATCAGCTTTGGCCAAACTCATTGAACCCTGGAATTTACGACTAAAAGTGCGTTCTCAAAAAATACCCAAACATCTGGCTCCCCATAGCTATTCGTCCGGAGCTCAGGCCCCAGAAAGACAAGTAAGTGAGTTGACAAGATCCCACGAGGATGAGGAGACCATTAGTTGAGATGGAAAGTGGAAACTGCCCAAACGGGTTGGATCTACCAGTTTAGGCTTTAACCATTAATTAGTATGATGATGTTCCTTTTTCCGCTTCCACTTATTGTAGATTGAGGGCAAACGCATCACGTGCATCACGTGCTTCCACAAGAAGCGAAGACGGATGAACCGAAAAGGATTCGCTCAAAAAGGCAGTTGCTTGCTCTCTGTCTCACTCACTCACTCACTCACTCTCTCACTCTCTCACTCTCTCACTCACTCACTCTCTCACTCTCTCACTCACTCTCTCTCTCTCTCTTGCGTTCTTTCTGTACGTCTGTCTGCCTGTCTGTCTTTCTGTCTTTTCTGTCTTTCCTATACGTTTCTTTTTTCTTTTTCTGTGCTTGGGGTATTCCTTCTTTGGAGTACCAACCCATTTACCCCACATCTTCTCGGAGCTCCGTCCTTCGCAGCTCGGCCCGTCGCGCCGTCGCTCCTGGGTGTGGGAGACAGCTCCGGCGCGGAGCATAACGGCGCGGAGCGTAAACCATGAAACCACCGGTGGGACGAATGCACGGATTGATGTGGGACGAATGCGAGGCGTAGTGGGCTAGGAAAAGATGTTAGTACTCTCCAGGTGCAGGAAGTAAGAAAGAAAGACGTTTCGGGCTTGAGCCACCTGTGTGTGCAACCTGTCTTGTAGCCCGCGCGGTCAAGCGTGATGGTCTGTTAATTTCTTCGGATGTCTGGATGGGTTGAGCACGGATCTTTCCTACATCGCACTCCAAGGTGGTGTTCTTTTCAGTGGAATCACTACATTCCGGGACCCGTCATGGCCAGGGCACAAATCTTGAGGACTTGTGGCAGCACTGACAAAGAAAAACAAGTTCCCCAGCCTCTTCGAAAAGAGATGGCCAAAATGTAGAAAGTGCGTCCAATAATTGTGTGATCAAGAGGCATGACAGGGTTACTAATCTGACAACAAACTGCCAAATACAGGCACAGCACTTCTTAACACTTTTGTTTGCTTCGTTCTTGAAAGGGAAAAATCAAACAACAAAGCTGCAAGCGGCCTGCTTCACTGCTTCCGCCAAGAGGCCTTCAACTGCACTGACAAGCTGGATCCGCACCTGTCACTGACAGGTGTTCTCCGCAAAACAGAAATACTGGAGCCCCATTGGGCCTGGTCCAAGCATGAGGTTGATCCACAGAATGATTTCCACTGTGTGTTTACCCAAAGAAACATATAGATTGCAACATATTGCAACTGGTTTCCATGACCCAGACTTTCCACATGCCTCTGCTGAAGGAAGCCCAGCCAGGCTTTCCGTGCCATACTGGAAGGTGATGAAGTGATTGATGGCAACACATTTAGAATCATTTAGATAGTTTGAGGCAATTAGATCCAAGTGACTCCACTTGAATTTGGGGAGCTTGTCAAAAGTGGGCGAACGTGCAGTTGAGCCAATAGATGATCAGAGTCGCAGAATCCAACCCGAGACTGGGGTGTTCAAGGGTGGCAACTCCTCATCTCGTCCAACCTTCGCGCCTCTGAGAGGATGACGTGCTATCACTGTGGGCACCAGCCTGAGTGGCGCACGTGGTGGGTCGCCCAGGAAGGGTGAGGATGAAAGAATACCCATCATCCATCCTCAGCCTCTAATTTTTATGTCTTGACACAAGGAAAAGACCTGATTGACCCTCAACTTGACTAGTTGACTCACGATAATTCCAAATCTCAGATTGTTTGGGAAATTATGCAAGAAAAATCAATAAAAGCTTAAACGCAAGAATTTAAGCAACACGAACCATGAAGCGTAAAAATTGCATCTGCTCCTGCAGGGCCATGATATCATAGAACTTTGAGGCGGGCCATTTGGCAGAAGGAATCCTCATGAATCCCCCATCGTTTACCCTTTACATCCCCTTCATGCAACCCTCAGACTCCAAGTATGCATATCAAACGATATCAGGGTGTGGTCAAGACCTGCTAAGACCTACCTCCCTTGGCGGCCCTTGGCCGGAGTCATGGGTCGATTCCTTCTCCCCAACCATTCTGCTAGGTTCTTTATACAATCAACCATCTGCATTATATAATTTCATGATCCCCTTTGATATTAGCACAGAGGGGTCGTTCCACCCATTCTCTAGAGAATCATCTAGAAAATGAGGGGGCCTGACACCTGCTGCCTCTAGAAAATGTCCATGAAAATTCTGTTCATTTTCTAGTGGGAGAAACGTTTTCACTAGAAAATGGTGGGGTACAGGTTCAGAGGTCGTACCCCCAACAGACTAGACTTGCTCTTTCAATCAGCAGAATGAGTGCTATACTCACTGGTGCTTGTTTTTTTTTCAACTTGTTGATCTCTAGAAAATGCTCCTCTAAAACCCCTATCCAGGCTCTAGAAAATGACCCTAGAAAATTTGTGGTCATTCTCTAGTGAGGTACCTCTCCTCTAGAAAATGGTGGGGTACAACCTTGGAGGTCGTACCCCCGCATCAGTTTTCTAGAAAATGACCTTGTTCTAGGGGACCACGACCCCCCCCCATTTTCTAGAGGAAATACCAACAGGGATATTTCATGTATATAGACTCTTGCTTAATACGCCCACACTTACGCCCACCCCATTTGAATTGAAAAACCTCTTCCTATGTGGGGGTTGATTAATCAACAGTCTGCATTAGGGTGATGGCTGGCAACGGAATGATGGCTGAGACGAAGATCGGAGAGCACAGAACTCATGGGTCCGACTCATGTGTGTCCGACTCATGTTTCGACGGCCAGGATCCCAGAACCACGTTGATTTGTTGTACTGGTTCCGTTGTGCTATGAGGCAAACAGTGGTTTCTTTCCCGACACATCGCATGCTCAACGCACAAGAGTGGTTGACGCGCCAGCGGAGATCCACGACCGACGAAGCGATCGGATCGCTGCAACGATCCTAGTAGCGATGCCCTTTGCTCCGTTCGTAGCGTCCTTGCTCCTAGTAGTGAGGCCAGGAGCCCCTAGTAGCGTTCGAACGCTCCCTCCAAACCTTACCTTCCTCCCCAAGCAGAACCCAAGCGAGAATGGTGGGCTTTGCTGATGGAGTTCGCTTCAATAGACCTGATGAGACCTGGTGAAACAAGCGAATTAGGACGCGTGCAGATGTCCCACGGCTATTTGACAAGCTGCAGGAATGTAATGAGCTGTTGTTTCTAACCTTCCTCTACTGACCCAGTGCCCTTCAATTTGTGGGGGCGCCATCAAATCCAGCTCACGTGAAAAGAATTTCCCACTCGAACGCGGGATGCTTAAAGCTCGTTCCTGAAAGCACATGTTTGGGGCTTCCGTCACTTACATCCCCATCAACCAAAGCCAGTGTTGAACACCTCAAAAAATCTCTCTTCCCGTCACCTGACCCAATCCTTCAATCACTGCATCACCCCGCCTCCAGTAAGCAGAATCCTCACCAGATGAAAAAAAGACGGGGGGCGACACGTGAAAAACCGACATGGCTCTAGCAGCTTGGGTCATGGCACCCGGATCCATGCCCCTTTCACTCAGCAGGGTATACATTGAGCTCCTTAAGTAATCCATTCCCTTCATCTTCTTTGGTCAATCCAGGTAGCTCGATGACCCCGGCGACACCCGTGGATCCGACGCCGTGACACCACCGGGCACTCGATTCTCCCGAAGGGTGTCAATGGGGGCAGCCGACTCAATGGTGTTTGTTGGGGTTCTTTTTGTTGTTTGAGGACCAGACGAAGTCATTGTTTCACGATCAGAAGCGTGTTTTTGTTGGCAAACTCCTCTGACTGCTTGATGAATCTAGAAATGTTCCTGACCAAACGAAAGGAGACCAACCTCTGGCGGGGCACAAGCCTTTCCAATCGTCTGTGTCGATGTGAGGATCATTGAAACAGAAGATGGCAAGGAGCAAGGCTGAATCTAAATGAACATGCCTGCCACAAATGCCCACAAACAGAATCCGCAAAGCCAATGGATTTGACAGATGAACGAAAAGGTGTCTACATTCTGTAGAAGAAAGTTGCAAAGACACACTGCTGGATCTGCTTAGCTGGAAAGGGAGTGCCACGACCAATTTGCAGGTTGCTTCCTCTTGCAGCGAGAAACCCAGCTCACCGACAGTCTTGAACCTGTTGAAACCCCACAATGGTGAACACTAACCACTAACCCATCCATAAAAGAAACAAAATTACCCCAAATCTGGTTTTCCTATGTGGCTTTGTCTCAGAAATGAGAACTCCCAGCTGGTAGCTTGGGAGAAATGCGAACTGCCCACGTCTCAAGCCGCGCCAGGCCGGTGGCTTTCACCTGCTGTCACCTCGTGCCCTGCACCTCGTCACCACGTGTGTTTCGTGTGCTTCGACGATCCCTTGGACCGACGCCCCAACCGGTTCCACCGGCGCCTGGTTGAAGCGCCGCAACCAGCGCGGTCGGCACTGTCCTGTCGGTCCGGTCCGGTCGGAAGATCCGCGGACCAAACGGAGCCAAACGGACCGAACGGTTCACTGTTGGGTTCACTGAGCTCCATTTTACTTTCAAAATTGTACTCTTGCTGTAGGTCAGGGCCTCCAGCAATGATGCCGTATGATGATATAAAGTGAATATGTGTGTATCAGCTTGATCATGCAGCTAGTCATGTGCAATACCTTTTCGAGTTTTCTCAGTTCTCCCTGTGGTCAGTTTGGATCACGAGCGGTTTCTTGCCAGATTCTTGTCTCCATCCTTTGGGAACTACCCATTTTCTCAGGTGCCCGAAAGAGGAAACCCGTTCGGACGAAATCGGTGATGTATGTTGTCACCATACCTTCATGAGTGGTTGGATGTGGTTGGGTTTGAACGACTTCCATCATTTTGCTTGTCGTGGCACATTCATCTCGATGGTCGCATTGGGAACGTTTGGCCATTTTTTGGCCCCAAGACTTTCTAATAAGTCTTGGAGAAGGATTATCAAATCCATACAAACGAGTGTTTCTAAACATGGGGGCAACGTCGAGCAATGTTGAATTTTCGGATAGATTCCACGACTCATGTGTATGTGAGTGTCAAAACGGAGTCCCCCCCACCTTCCCTTGTTGGCAAACATGCAACAGTGGTGTTTCATTTTTAGATTAGTGGTTATACAATAGTGATTCCAAATAAATAGAAACTGTGGCCAATACATTTTGTGGGGATCTACTTTTCTATCTACTTAGGGGTCTCTATAGAGTGTTCATTGGGCAGGACGGTTGTGCACCACATCCGTGGAGTCCGTTGGATGTTCCAACAGACACTGAGATTTTGCAAATCTGCAACAGCGCCCGGGTGACGTGGTTGACATTCACCTTGTCCAAGGAAAGCTTGTCCATCCTTGTCCAAGAACAAATCTGCAACCAAGTTGTCACATCCCACCAAAGAGAGGGTTCCAAACCCCACCTTTTACTATCCAATCAGTAAAACTATCGGTGTATCTCTCCTGATGTTATCAGTTCCCTGAAACTAGCAAACCCACAATTCAAACATGTCTCTCGCTCTCTCTCTCTCTCTCTCTTTATCAATATTGGTAAAACATCATGGTAAAACCATCTATATAAAACCTCTGGGCACTCACCCACCCACTCCACCAACCACTCCCGACCACTCCTTTGCCCTTCTTGCCCGGTATTGGTGGCACTTGCCAGACCGCAGGCCAAATTCGCGGGGGTCAAGCATTCTCGGAGAAACTGGTCCTCAGATTCTGCGACGTGGCGTCGGGCAAAACCCGAAAGAAGATGGCAAATTGATGTCCGGGAACGGCGTGGTAGAAGTGAAGCATCCAAAAATGCTGCCGTGGTAATGGCACCTTCATCAAAGAGAACAACACATTGCACGATGAGCAGCGTTGCAGGTCCCTAGCAAATGCTTGAGACTGCTAGGGGAGAGTGCTTTGGAGCATTGCCGGAGCAATGTGCTTCGAGAAGGCCCTGGAATGCCTTTGAACCATCAAGCTCTTGGGGACACTTGTGATGTTGGTTGAGCTGGTTGAGCTCCGTGCATCACTTGAAATCGCTGAGCGAAAAATGCATGCACGCAGCCACACATACATAATTACAGGCAAACAGCCAAACAAACACACAAACAGAACAGCCTACTGTATTCTAGTCCATTCCCTTCGATTCAATTCAAGTCAATTCCATATATATATATATATATATAGGTGCACATGCTGTGCTGCGTGCGCTGCAAAAGAATTAGAATGTACATACGGGGCGTGCACGTGCTTGCAGAGGGGACGCCATGGACAGAGAACTGACAAGCCAAGACAGAAACTCCAAGTCACAACAAATACCGAAACATTCAGAATCATTCAGACAAACAGCACCTGATACAAAACAATCATCTGCAACACTCACCACACCCATCAAAGCACAACATCAAATTGGCTGAGAGACAAAGGAGAGATTGGGGGCTGAGAGACACAGCATTGGATGAAGGTCCTTTTGAAGACAGATAAGAGCAAGATGGCTCCTCTCCATGACCTGATGCCTTGCATTGCCTTGCCCTTTTGCTAGCCAAGCAACTGAAATCTCAACTTGTTGTCCAACTTGGAAGATCAATGGTGCATCTGGCCTCTTCAGGCCCTGGAGAAGGTGGTGAACAAGGTGAACAGGCCAACTGTCTGTAGAAGGTCGGGCAGTCGGCGAGTCGGCGAGTCCTTCTGGTGGGGCCTTCAAGGGCCAACTCCAAGAGTCCTCTACCCTAAGCTAGACAACCTAAGCTAGTCAGGTACTCTGAGTGTTACCATGTGTTACCAAATGTACCATCACTGGCAATTGGACACCTCGAGAAAACACCCATCAACCCCATGTGGGCCCCATCAACACCCCATCTGGGCCCCATGCCACACACCTCACCAGATCGATGTCGCACCGCACCGCACCGCACCCACGCGAAACGTCCATGACGCCCGGTCCTCGACACCAAAGCGTGCCAAGAAGTAGGACAAGTTGTTCTCAAGGCCCTGCCGTGCAGTTCCGGAAGCTCCCACCGGCGCTGCGATGCTCGGAGCCATCGTGTTCTCGACGTGGCGACCCCGCGAGAGCGCGGGGTGCCAAGGAGAGGCCGTCTGTGCTGTGCAGTTCCGGTGGTTCGGTCACGCTCAAGTTCAAAGAGGAGTCCAAACTCAAGATGTTCAGGGTTGAGCAGCTCCGAAGCTTCTTGAAAAAGAAGTGGACGGTGCAGCATCAGGATGAGCCATGTTTTACTGCCTCGGTTGAATAGGCATGTCTAGTTGTGCATCTAGGGAGTGTCGTTGGTAACCTCAAGATGTTGGTCGCTCCTATAAACAAACCCCGAGCACTATCCATCCAAGCCAAACTAAAACTATCCTCGTGAAGTCCTCCACGCACCTCACATGAACTGACAAAGTCTCTGATCTTCACCAGACTTGAAAAAGGAATCGTCTCATGCACGTGCCCGCACGAACACCCGCGCGGGCCTGGATGTTTCCAGGGGTCGCTCGGGTTCGCCGCCACGGGCGACTGTCTCTGTGCAGGAACATGTAGTAGACTGTCCTCCCCGCGCCCACATGCGGCTTGCGCCCGTGTTCAGAAAAGGTGGGTCTCGACCAAGCTGGGTGCCACGAATGGCGATGTGGTCGTCGGTCATGGCACAGGGGGACCCTGGTTGACCACAGATCAGTCCCGCACCATGCACACCCTTTCGCTAAGATCCCACTGTAAAACCAGGAAACAGCAAGCGACAAAACAGAACAACACCACCAAACCACCACCACCAGAACGAAAAGCACGCAGGGCCACACGCTCCAGCTTGAAGAGGATATATATATATATCGAGCTCGAAGAGGATCACAAATTAAGCATCTATATAATTAGTTGTCACCGTGGAACCTGAACTTCATTGAGATTTTGATGAGCATTGTATGCATCGCGGAGGCGACGGCTGAATTTCCAGTTAACATACATAACTGAGATCATCTGGCAAGTCAGAATCAGGATAGAATGGTGGTGCACTACACAATGTGGTGTATTTTTGTAGTGTTTGACTAATCCGATCCTGTTGTGGCAGGACTTCTAGGACGCCCAGTCCAGTCGTACGAGTTCGGAAACCCAAACGACGTTAAGGAGCCAGGACGAACATGAACGGAATAGACGACCTACGGGAGGTCAGGGTCAACCAAGCAACCCGATCAACTGTGGCCATGCCGTGCCAAGGACTGAGAGCCAGGTGCCAAGCGTGCCGCACCGTGAAGATCAGGGATTCTGGAGGATTCTAGAAAGCCAAGAAAGATCAAATCAAGAAACTCTAAGAAACTCAGAAACCCCAGGAAACCTAACCCGACCAAAGAAGCCGATTTCAAGGCGCGCCAATGCTGCGCTACGCCGCGGGGGCATTCCTGGCCGAATCATGGTCGACGAAGTTGATGAAGGCGAGAGCAATATTGTGCCTTGCCGGTGGAAGCCGGGCGCTTCGCCAGCCGAGTACAGCGAAGTTTGCGCGCGAGTGTAGTAGGTCGGTGGAGGTTTGCAGGTCAATGGTTAGGGAATGGTCAAGGATAGTGAATCCTCCACCAAGCCAAGAGTCAAACTGATTGAGACAATCCAGAGAAGCCTGAAGATACGAAGCGTTACGTGAAAATGCATTGGCATCCTTATTTAGACACACCCGAACACCATTCAACAAACCTAGACCTTGGGGCCACCCTTTGAGAATTGCCTACCCTCTTTTTCTTGCCACCAGGAACTGCAAACCTGATGTAAGCCGAATGCCGAAATAAGTTGAGCAATTTGAGACTTGGCAGATTGACCAAATTGACCACCGCCCGTTCCTCCGCCCAATGTCAGGCGTCCTTGACGAGTCCCGTTGATGGAGTACAAAGGAAAGAACGTACTTCCACCAGGTGATTCCCACCGTAGCTCACTCAAATGATCTCACATGGGAACATGCCTCTCAATGAGACTGCAGTTTCCCTTACCAAGGTCTTCCCATCTTCTAAGTGTATGCATTTCTTATGTGTTCCAATCCGCCGTGTTTTGCTGGGGATCCACGGGGTCTCCGCCGATACAAGAGTGGGATGGGGCGACATCCCCACATCATCCCATCCTCACAGTGCACTGGGAAGCCGCGCCTAGTCTGCTCGTGATGGGGCAAATGAATAAAATCATACTTCCCCGGCGTGATCTTCTCTAAGAATGCGCATAACCTGCACAAACCACTGCAAATGCATCAAAATCGCCACAGAAAAGCAGGAAGCGGCGATATATGCTACAGTGATCTACAGTGCTTGCTCTGCGATTTGATGGTCTTAGGATCTTCTTTTTTGCTGGTGAGGTGTCAAAACTCGTGGGTCTGCGTAGAAACCTTGCAGAAACCGTGTGATTCTTGAGAGTTCCTGACTCTTCAGAGTTGCCGACAAGCGCCTCATGAGTTGAGTGGCCTTTGAAAAAGTGCATGTGTTTGACACAACCTGCACCTGAACCTATCTCACCCCTGCACCGTTCCACGAGCTGAAAAACATGCGTCACCGGCTTCATGAACGTTTCATGAACGTTTCATGTTTATGTCTGCCGTCTGCCGTGTCATGTTTAACGGTTAAAGATTTCAAGAAGGTCCGTCCGCATGTCGCGGAAGCGAGCGACACACACACACAGACACGATCTTGCGTGCCTGCTGATCGATAGGTTTGGAGGCAAACTCTTCAAGATCAAACTGGTCACATGCTCACCGAGCTCGTGGTAGTCATACCTGTCCGGAACCAACGCGACCACCCGAATCGGGTGATTCAGCGATCAACGTCCCAGAATCAGGTGATGAAGCCGCCGTTTAGTGAGGACCTAATTAAGAGCCTGGTGTTCAACAAGAAAGTCATCAAAGCTATACGGTCGCTGGAGCTTCAGGTCGTTGGAAAACATTCTTAAACAAGGGTGTCTTGCCACTGCAGCTTTTCCTTGAGTCTCACCAACTTTCGGTTGCAAAAGGGGCTCCCAGTCAACCTCCTCTCTGGCCTTTCAGAATTGAAGCCCTGCAAAGGAGTTTGGCCAGATGCACCGCGGTGTACGCAACTTTTTTGGGCGTTTTTGGGATCATCTCTAAGTAGCAGAAGCAGTCCCACCCAGCCGAGAATCTTGGCTGTGTTGAAATGCAGCTCTTCCAAAAAAGGAACACAAACAACCAAATGGGTAACAAAGACAAATGGTAGTAACTGGTAGTAGGATCAGAGTCTGCTAGTCACCAGTTCGCCTTCCTGGTCATCATCTCAATCCATTCTGTCTCCCTTTTTCAAAACCCTTTCCCACAGCTGCTCGGCATCGCGCCTGCGCTTGTAGGGAACAGCAACAGCCTTGTCTCAAAAGTCCCACAAAAAGAATCATTCTTGTAAAACATTGTAAAACCCAACAGCACAAGTGGTACTTCATCTGCTTCCGTTTCACAGTTTCTTCTAGGACAGCGGACAGCTGACAGCTCTTTGCTTTAGAGTTGTTGATAGTTGCCAATGTCTCCAGGCCGTGAGTACCAGCATACCTTCTTACGTCTTTTGATCGTTGTTTCCTTGTGTTTCGTCATGTGATCGCAGCAGTAGCCCTGCGGGAATCGCACGGAAAGCTGAACTAGCTGTCAGCCGTATTGCTGTCACGTCTCGTGACCACCATGCGTGACTGGTGACTGGTCGTTTTTTGGAGCACTTGGCCAGCACATTTAGTATCGTGTGGTATCAGTGGTATCTGCGGGGTGTCCAAATCACCGCAGGAATCCGAAGGCGGGGAGGTCTGTCGACATTTCAACGCGACATGAAGGGCATGCCTTGGCGCCCCTTTTCCGTTTACATCGGTTGGATGATGGGGGGTCGGGGTTGGGTTCATCTGACTTAAGTCTTGCTTGCAGAGCTGGCGAAGGTGTGTGCGCTCCGAAAAAGCACCGAATAATAGCTAAACCAAACACTTCCGGAATCAGTGATTGTAAGGAATTGGAGACAAGCCCTTCGCATGACGGAATTGTGATGCACATATTAATGTTGTTGTCGCCCACATCGTTCTCAGGACACTGTACCCTATAGACCCAACAAAAATCACATAGACCCTCCAACAGTGAAAAGATTGCACGTCGAGTACGTACGCGGAACCACCACTCAGGTGGTTCGGGTGTGTTTTTGGTGGCCATTTAGTGGCTTTTCGTCCACGACAGGCGTTTGCATGAAGTGCTTTTGGTGCTCAGCTGACGATGGACAGAACACCAAAGTATGTAGCTTAAAAGTCTACATTTATTGGCTCCAAGTTAGATCAGTCCAACATACCACTGCAGCGTCTCAAGAGTTGAATCGATTTGAGATCCTTGCGAGCTCGCGAAACAATGCGAAACACCGTGGATCCATCAGCGAACGAAGAACCAAAGGACGGAAGAAACTGTCATTGAGGCTGTTGAAAGGAATGAACGAAGAATAGGGACTGATATGCCCTTTGTCTCCTCATTTCGTTCGTTTGGGCCCTGTTTGTCATGCAACATTGCCCTGTTCGCGAAGAAATGGCTAAAATCAAGCTGTCCAACCACACACGCCATCGCGGCCTCCAACCACACACGCCATCGCGGTCGCAAAAAAGAGACAAAAAACAACCACTCCTCCAACACCCCGCCTGACCGGCTCTGCGATCGATCGTGGAATGGTGTGCCATCGAATGGTGCGCGCGGAGGAACGCTCTTGGAACGATCTCCACGAGCTTGTTTCTAATAGCTTCTTGTTACTACTAGTAAGGCACCTGTTACTACTAGCGTGGCACTTGTTACTACTAGCGTGGCACTTGTTACTACTAGTAACAAGAAGCTACGTTCTCCGGATGATCCAGCGCAACCAAATTCAACTTTAAAACACCGCGCAGCGCCGGGGTCGCAGCGCGCAGCGCTGGAAACAGCTGTCCGAGGCCCACTGTAAGGAAACCTCACTGGATGGACCAGATGTCTAGGCTAGGAGTTGCTTGGGTGGATGGATCTTAGAGACCCCGTCCGACGCAAACCGGGTGGTGTTCAGGGGTGAAATTGTTTCGTAACAAGTCACCCAATCAAGGGATTGCCTTCCAGGAAGGTGAACAAGCTTGCGTGGTCCTGCATGCTCCAAGGGTCTCTTACATGTCTATTCTTACTGTAATGAATAGAATGTCTACTTTTTCCAGTTGATCGGTGGCATGCAAGCAGCTTGAGGACTGCCGCAACTAAGTAGCCCTATTTTGGAAGAATATGGAAGCATCCTTCAACATCCGCACTGTTCGGTGCCGAAAGAAGTTTGATTCGCAAATCCACAACTTTCAACCACGAATGCCGGTTGTTATACCATTCTTTATTTACCACAGCGAACTTTAGCATCCTGGCAATGAGATTACTTGAGCATCTGGAGGCAAGTCAGGAGGTGCCTTCGGACAAAGCAAGCTCTTGCTGCCGACCCTGGGTGTTTGTTCAAGTGCCTTGCTCTTGATCACATCGCGATGCTAGGTGTTTGAAACACATGGGTGCACAAAGTTGTAGCCTTCATGTCTGCGCAAACATGTCAAACATCAGATGCAGCCAACCACGCAGGGACCTGCTCTAAGAGGGGCCGGCCCGGTTGATTTAGGGCCTGTAGCATGCGATGAGCGGGTCTCTCGACTCATCATATACTTACTTCATTCATGATGAAGAGCTGTTCAACAATCTCAGAAAGTAATTTGGTTGATTTGTTGTTGCCCAACAAAAGGTGTGAGAAGTCCGACTTCAACTGCGTGCCATTGCAGGTAAAAAAGATCTGGTCAAACCCGATTGTATTTCAAAGGTGCCCCCAAGCAGTCAAAGAGACTGGACCTCCAATCCTAAGTACCCATCAAATGACTGATGTGAGCTCCCGATGTCTTTCATACTTCCGGGCAATACATGACAAGTCTTGAGAAACTACAGTACATTGGAAGCTGTGTCCGCAATTGAAAAAGACACGCGGCAACAAATTGATTTGATGCGTTGGAGGTGTTCTTCGGCAGTTGCTTTGGTGTGCTGAATGTTCTCAAGTCCTGCACTGCATACACCTGAACGGTGACAGCACCCAGGGTTCGGAGAACACGAGCGCAGCGACTCAAGAGAAAGCAAGTTCTGCAATCTTCACAATCATCAAATGTCGGATGATTTCTGTATTTCATTGACTTAGAATTATATCTCCATTGTGTATGTAAAGGACTGCCGAAGGAGTCGGGCATATCGTATGTTACAAGGTCAAGGCTCAAGGGATGCCAAAGGGTCAAAGCCCTCAACATAACCTAAAACACGCGCAAAACTGTAGCAGGTGTTGCTGTTGATTGTTGCCCACATGATGCAAATTCAGAGACTGCCTTGAATGGTTTCTCTGCCCAGCTTGCCCCAACATAGAGAACACAAACAGAGGGTTGCAATGTTTGTTTTGTGTGTGTGTCCACTTCTTCAGATGCGTTCTTGACCTCTACTTTGCATGCTTTGCTGATTAACTACAGTCATGCTTAGGTCAGGAACTTGAGGAGGTCGGGCTTCTCTCCCAAGTCGTGTCGCTTTTCGAAACTGACGCTCAGCCAAAAGTACCGTCTATGTGCGAATCGCAGGCGCGTTGCCCGAGGTACTGCGTTCGAACGCTTAGAGCCAAGTGTCTGCGGTCTCGGGGGCTCGAGCAACGAAGGATTGAACTCTCCGGACTCCGGACCCTTTCTGCAAAGAAAACCATGATGACTATGATATGCATATGATATGCATGATATCAGGACGTGTTGGTCAACTTTATGATGTTCCCTTCCGCTTTGGGGGTTCTTTTCACCAGAGGGCGTGTTCTGGAATCGCCCGGCTCCGAATTGGTCGTCGAGAGAGGCTGCGTCTTAGACCGGTAGACCGTCTCTCGCCTGTCTGGACAGAGCGACATCGGGGCACATAGAGGAAATCCAAACTGAACTGACAAGAGGTGAAAAATAGGTCAAATATGGCTGTGGGACTGGCTGTGGGCCTCTGAATCAGACCTTCGGGTCTCCTACTGGAAGGTCGTTGACTACATGGTGGACTGGTCGGGCTCCAGGTTTTGACCTATCCCCAAATATGGACTGCGCCCAAACTCTTGCTGCTCAATGACGCCATGGTGTGATTTTGGACACTGCCCTGTTGGTCCCCAGAAGCACTCACCCTTCACCAGCTTTCCTCTTCGAGATACCAACAAAAGCCGAGTGTTCCCACCGCGCTCCAATCACGGCCACACCGCCGCGCGACCGAAATCCGTGCGACCGAAATCTTCGCCAAGCTCGCGCCTGCGGCGCTGGCCAAATCGCTCGGGAGCTTTTCGGAGAGCTCCGAGTCCACGGCCTGCGGGGTGCGGGGTGCGGAGGTCTGTGGGATGCAGGGTGCGGGGTGCGAAGAAGGTCTGGGGTGACAGGCTACGACAGGAGCCCTGTAAGGGGGGGAGTTGGAAACCATTGGAAACCTCTGACTCAGGTTCGGGAAAAACGACATGGGAGTTGTTTGAGAGAGACTTCGTAACAGAAGAAGGGCTCCTCCATGTCAGTTGGGCGTCGAAGCCACGAATGTGGCTTGGGGTTCCAAAACAGGCCTCCAGGAAGATAGACAACGAACCAAGTGTGAGATATGTTGAATGACAATCCTGCATTACCTTGGGCCATCGAAAGCTGAAAAAAGAATGCAATCCAACACTCTCATGGTGAAGGATGAAGCTCTCCAACCCAAAAAATGAGCGCGTACAATTAGTCTTATAACTAACCCATGACCCATCTTAACCTCGGAACAACAAAAAACGAGGATCAATCTTGCTGAGATTTGCTGAGCATCCCGACGGCTGCTGCTAGTTGATCCAGCAGCGCAAGCTGCTCCAGCTGCCATGCTCGGACCTGGCGACGGGATCGAATGCGGGTGTGAACGGCCTGTGGTATTCGAACGAGAGTCTTCCCAGGTGGTTGGATGGACAACGAGCCAGAATCAACAAAAGACATGTTCTGCTTAGGTCGAACCGTTTTGGTCTTCAGAAGCGTTCTGAACTGGCAAATGACTTTGGAGGTGGGAAGTTGCTGGAGGTCTATGAAGATTTCTCGTTGTGTCGTGTTGACCAGTCGTGGCCCATATTTTAAATTGGGGCGTCTACATGCCAATTTTAAACATACTATATATGTATGCACCATTGCTCATGGGTTGATTTTTCCTGATGGAATCAGGATGAAGGATCATATCTTACATCTCTTCATGAAACCTAAGACCAGAGTTTGCGGCACGTGCAAAGTTCGGATCCAAACCCTCATTTCTGAGTAGTGGAAAACTTGGAGCACGGCTCAGTAAAGGCCACGGAAAACTTTCTCTGAAAAAGATCGCACTTCGTGTTCCGGAAGATGACTCCCAGCGTGATTTTGGCCCACGTGGCTGTGCGCGTTTACAGCGCCTGCGTGTGGTTCCCGGCCCAAAAGAGGCCCTCCGTGGGCACCAGCGACGAATCGAAGCTGTTCAAGGGATCCGCGCCTCACCAGTGCAAAGACCGACTGGTGCGACTCGAAGGGAATAAGGGAATTGTTCGCCCCCCAATAGAGATTGGATCCAGCCACCCTCAGCCACTCTACTTTCATCGCACAAGTAGATCGGTGCGTGGATCGGTCCGGTGGGTCCGGGTCATCAAGCTTTGCAAGCCCCAAGAGTGCCCTCTCTTAGTATGGGCATGGGGTGTGCATGGGCTGGCCACTCTTCACAAAACATGTCTGTGATTGCTTTATTTGGTTTATTCTTGTTCTGTCGTCTCATTGACCTTTCTGAGCTCACTGTGATCTTCACGCACATCACACACGTGCGGCTGCGTGTGTGTGTGTGTGTGTGTGTGTGTGTGTGTGGGTGGCTAAACATGACTAAACCCTCTTTTTGTATAGTCCCATTGGACTCCGAACGCTGAGGATCCTCACATGCGGCATAAGTCTCACAAAGCCCGGCATATTTCATGAAGCATCTGTCTTGGGCATTGAACCTCAGAATGGCACATGAAAGCCAACAATGAACATGAAAAGTGATGGAAAGTGAAATCCAACTGCGTCATCTGATGTTTTATGCGTCCAAGAATCCTTACAAATCCTTAGAATTCTATCCAACCCAACTGCATCAATTCCTAGAAATCCTTTGAATTCTGCCAAGTGGCATGGCCTCAACTGAGCCGCTCAAGGATTCCGTCGTTGTCCTTGGAGAGGAAGGAGGATGAGGTGGGATGGGATAGCTAAGATGGTTGGATGAGATCACTACTGTAGGATACTGATACTGTTTCTGGATAGGTGGTTGGATAGCCAAGAAGAATAGCTAGCAGCTAGAATAGCCAAGATTGCAAGACTGCCCAGGCCGCTTAAGGCTTAGGTGTTTCCATGTCGGGGGTACTCCAAATGTTCCAGAACTTCCATCCATTTTCCCCTGCACCTGATTTACGACCGCTCGAAATCCCCTCAACGACCGCGCGAAGTGAGCGGACAGCTCGCGACACCGCGGACCGAAACCGCGCGCGCGAGGGTCTCCATGCATGCCAGGTCTCCACGAAGCTTCGAAGAATTGTCGTGAGATCACCGAGACCGGAGTTTGTGTGGCACAAATACGTCCTTCGGTCACCGTGAGCTCTGCAAGGTGCACATCGTACCTGCGAAACTGACAGACTGACAGATGGTCGGCGGTAGAACCTGCCACAAGACCTGCGCGGCTTCGGCGGCTTTTGCTCCTTCTTTGTGATGAAGTACCCTGAAGCTGTGGTGAGCTTGGGCTCAAGATCCTGCAAGAGAGTCTAGGCAAAACATAGTTTTGTTCCCAGGGTGTGTTCAATAAGGAAACAAGCGAGCTGCTATCATCAATAAAAGCTGCCAACGATGGAAGGCCAGCATCGCTTGTTGAAAGTCTACTGTTCTCCTTCAACCATTGAAACCGTTCCAGTCCAGTCCATCTTAGGTGAATTCCCTTTATCCGGTTATCCCAATATACCACCTTAGAAACTGGGCTCAACAGCGGCACCGGTTGGTGAAGGCAGCATGGATGGTCTCTGCGACCTCCAGAAGCTGGTTCAACTTCTCCAGCTCTTGCCTTGGAGGCCAAAACTATCCAAAACTCGGTCAGTTTCTACCAGATCCTATAATCTTCAGCCGAAGCATGGTTTTTGTTCATATTTGTCTGACTTCAACGACATGAGGGTTGACTTGTATTTGCACTTCAACATGTCTACCTTGCAGCCCACTTGCGAGGCTGTGGCAACCAGAGCCAGCATCCATATCCTATGCACATGAGGCGACTCTCTCTCTCTCTCTTTCTCTCTGAGGACCTCTCAACGACCGAAGATGATTGGACAACATCTACGATCCTCTCGATGCTGGTGCAAAGATGTGCAAAGACATATTTCAAGCGAAGGCTCCATGTCCATGATAACTCTGATAGACTCTACATGACTCTACTGTATACTCTACTGTACTTGCTTCAAAAATAAAATAACTTGCACCATTTCGGGCAGGTGGTGGTGCCATGACATAAGACTCTTGATGGCAGCACACAGCTAAAGCTTGCTAAAGCACTGACAAGGAACTGTTCTCGGATTGTAGTACATCGCAAGATAGCACCTCACTAACCGAGCCTCCCCCAAGCAGCTTTCCTAGAGCAGTCAGCAGGAAACGAGCGAGGGTCCTCCATCACAGCGTGTTTGCGAGCAAACCCAAACAAATAACCTCGCGACGCCGTGAAACCACCCCCCTTGCTCCACCCCGCACGCCGGTGGAGGCGGAGCTCCTGCCGCACGCACCTGGACCGACCGACCTGGCCTCCATGGTCGGACCATGGCGGTTTCTGCGGAGAGAGGGCCCGGGAGAGCTGAGAGAGCCACGCGTGTCCGACTGTGAGTCCTGTAAGAGTTGGGTGACCAGAAGAAATGAAAAAGGACCAGGTCCAAGCTACTTGGATGGTAACTATAGTGCACCCCTTTCAAGAAAAGCTGTTGCAATGAGCTGCCTTCATTCCAAAGCTCAGCTGATGGGTTCGAGAAGGTGTGCAACTGGTGTTTGAGCCCAAACAGAAAAGCATGCTGGTGAATGCTGGCGATCTGCAGTGCAGAAGCTAACTCCTTCGCGGAACCGCTCCCTTTCGATGGTTCGCGGCCGCGCTAACCATCTGAACCCCGTACTGTACTTCCACGGGGGTTACACGCTGTCGATGAGGCTTTTGGGGACTGCAAATGGGAAGATCATGGAAGATCTTTGCAACCCCAGACAGTCGGTCAAATGCCGAGAGCGGCAAGCGGAGAAAACATGGCTCGCCGTGCTCAGGCGGTGCAAATCTCGGAGGGTGACTCGAAGTAAAGCTAGAAATCCATGCCTTGAATACTTGGGACGACTTTCGCTACTCTTGAATACTGTATCAACACTTGGATCTTTTGGATGGATGTCTCCCAAACCTTGAACCAGCAACGGGGCCCCTTTGGGTTTCCAAAACCGCTCCTGGGGTGCCTTTCATCAGAAACCCTTCGTTCGTTGCTTCGGCCCGGCCAGCTGCGGCTCCACGCAGCAGAGGGCCGGTGAGGCTTAAGGACTTGGGTTGTAAACGCACGAAGAAAGGCCTGCAGGGCAACGAAGAATTGCCCCTGGGGGGGGGTCTTTTGCATCTACGTGGGCCTTGCAGGTCTAGTGGGTCTGGTGGGAGTGGCTGGGAAAGACTGCATGAGATGATGCTTAGCTGCTAAGGGTTGGATCTTGAAAGATTTGGGGTGGTGTCGGACAGTGGGGGATGAATCGCTTCAGAACTCAGTTGCTGTGATGTTTGCATAGTTTCCAAATAGACTGGTTCGGCATGTCTGATATGCAATCTGTGCACTTTTCGTGGAGGTTCCAGTCTATCTGCAGGCCGCTCCAACCACATCACTGACTTGATAGATGGGATTTGATGTGGCACAAGAGTCAGACTCACTGCTTGCAGCGGATCGTCATGCGTGCATCTTTGGTGGACAAGTTGTTCTCCATTGTGAGCCCAGCAGAGGTGCCGTGACTCTCTTGCCGAACAGGCGAGACTCTCCAATGAATGCAGCATCTTATGAATTTCATCTCAACATGCTCCCTGGGAGTCAAACACCATAAGTTAGTCTTTAGTCTTGAGGGGACCCGAGTTCAGGAATTTCTTAAAACACTTCAGTCGGTCAAAATATAGTCTTTGTGCTTCTAGGGTGCTCGGTGCTCCTTACGGACTGCTCACTGCTTACAGACTCCTTCAGACTCCTTCGGCCCAGCCGCTGAAAGAAGGAGGCAGCTGAACAGCAAAGTCCGCTGGGCGAGGGACGTCCTCGCACCTGATCAGTGTGGCTTTGGGGGGCCCGAAGGATTTCAATCTGCGGGCCAATTCGTGCTGTCCATCACCAAGGGTAGAAGAGAATACTAGTAGCAAGCACAGAAAGTTTGATTCAGTTGGATGTTTTCTACAAAAGAAACATTATACATATGTATTATATATAATACAGCAATATTGATAATAGAAACTTTGCATTCTGGTGGTCGTCATCTGCATTCCATATGGGTGTGTATTTCTTTACCGTAGTCGGGCCGGGAAGTTTGAATAGGGGGGTATGATTCGAGGGTATGATTCGGGGCATGATTCGGGGGCCGGGGTATGATTCGCGGCTTTGGAATTGTATTGTTGGATTGGCTGGACTTCCAGCAGTGGGCCCACATCTGCGCCATGAGGCAGTAGACAAACAGTATCTGTTGGTTGCTGGGCGCTGGGCAGACTAGGTTCATGGGCATTCATGGACTAGGCTCTGCTTTTGAATCGCTGCAAAACTTGAAGGCCAATGCCTTCGGGGAAACATTCGCATGTGATCGTGCGACAAACACCCAAAAACCATGGCAGGATGGCCGGGGCGTCCCAGAATACTCTGGGCGATTGTCCCAGAACTACCCAACAAGCAATGATATGGGTGACCCGATCTACTCAAAAACGTACTGGCAGTCATAAAAGGTTCGTTTGGAACAAACCATACATACATGCAGTAATTGGTTCCATATATAGAGGATTGGTCCCCTTAACCTGCGCAACCCTAGGAATGCAATGAATCGTGTTTGTACACAAAAAATACAATGAAATATTCAAAGATCCGATTTTGAGGTTTCAGCAGAGCTAGGGATCGCCCTTCTGCAAACGAAACCACCACACCTGGTGCCACCAACCGAAGGGCAAGTACAAGACTTCCCCTGCGCGTACGGTCACCACCTGCACAGCAGGCTTCGGGGCGGGAAGGAGCTACACTTGTACTGCCTGGGCCTTCTGTTCGCACGGGGATGTCTCAGACTGCCTCATGATGTCACAGACTGCCTTGTGGTGGGAGGACAGTCACGAAAGCAGGAATTGACGACCTGACACCTTCATTGACATTGGTTTGAAGCACAAGTACGGAAACTATACAACTACTGTCAAGGCATACACCACAAAAGTACGGGGATTGTTTGCGCATGTTTGTAGAGGACAAAGAGACGTTCGTGCAAGTTTCCCCCAGCCAACGCTGGGAATCTCCCTCATTCCATAGTCCAACAAAGATTCTTCGCTAAATCCACTGCCTGGGCGTTCCAACCCATACTCACATGGAACTCTCCCGAGTCAACTCACATGGACCCTGACGTCCCGGTCGCATGGAAGACGATTTGCTTGGCTTTACTTTCCTCTACCAACAGTAGTCCATGACTTTCAGGTTCCCTGGGATCGTCTGGTTTTTGGGTGTTTTCTTCCATACGGATCTGCGGAGGTGATCCGACCACCGGATCTCCGTTTGTGCGGCCCGGGCCGTCTTTCTCAACTGGGCGGCGAGCTCAGCATACCTCGTGGCCGAAGTGAGAAATCACGAAAGGAGCGCACCTCTTCAAGAAAGTCACTAGGTGACTACCCCAACTACAGTAGAAGAGTTGTAGCATGTTGTAGCAAATGTCTGGAATCTCTGCTGTCCGAAAGGTGAGTTGATCCATCTGGAACTTCTCCAACTGCTACATCCACCCCAAAAAACGGTCAAAAACTCTGATTGGCAAGCATGACCAGTCTGACCATGCCATGCCACCCAAGGAGTCCTCCGGTCACCTTCTTTACCGTTCCCAACCACCTCCAATCACCCACACCCATGTGGGATCCCGTGGGCCCCACCAAAGATGGCCCACGGAGCGGTCAGCTCACCACCCAATCCGTCGTCAAAGCCGGGCTTTCCCGGGCTCCCGCGCTCCTCGGGTGGATCGTCCACGTCATAGACCGCGTAGTTCATGACCTCCATTCGAGTGAAGACCGAGACCGAGGAGACTGACGGCGGGCCTATGCAGAGACGGTTCCGTGAGGGTGAGGGTGAGGGTGAGGTGGAAAGCTGCTGGTTTTGGAGTGGTTTCGTTGGTGTTGAACGCGTTGGGCGGTCTGAGTATATCTGAGTGTACGAAAAATACGACAGGTTTAGCTTGGGACCTTGAGTTGAAGTGCTTCTGGATCACCCTGTTTGCCCTCTTGCTCTAGTTGTATATTTGTTGGATTGTTGTTTTATGTTTTAAATATTGTTGTTTATTTCTTTTTTTTCTCGCACAACAGTTTGCATGGGAAAGCAAAAGGACCCAAAGTTTCTGGAATTATTCTGGCTTGTTCATACTTTTGTCAACTTTCTGCCTACTAAGGACGATTGCTGGTCAACTTCTCATCTTTGCTGCCCATCAAAGGACCGTGTCTCCACGAGTGCCCCGGCTGCTTCATCTGAGAGTCCTTCCGCCTGCTGCATGCAGAACATGCAGGAAGCCACTGATGACTCCAAACATCAAGCGGATAGCCCCATGGTCAAACTGGGCAAATGGAACATACGACCGAGACATGACCAAGACATAGCAAGACTTGCAAGTTTGGGCATCCAAGGTTTTCAGCCACATCCATGCCCTTCGGGTCAAGAACTGACCTCATTTTGCTGGAGTTGGTCACACACACAAGAAAACAAACTACTGAGGGAAAGGACTTGACTAGGCTTTACTGGGTCAGACTGGACCTAGAGGGATGTGTTTATGATGTGAAAAAGGTGAACTACGTGGATTGGTAGGCGCTCCATGTTTCGCATCTCGAGATTGATCACCGTGCACGTTCTAAGCACCTGCTCAGCCGTCTGAGATCTGAACATGTTGGCCTATTGGATGATATTCTGTACGGACCAAACGTCCCCGCTCTGTGTGGTTTGTTTGGTTTCTGGCTTCTGCCGGAGTTCAATTTCAACCTCCCAAAACGGGGAGTTCCTCCGGTGTCGCATTCATTGCAACTGCCTGCTTGCGTCGGTCATGAGTTCACCGCGCTCCTTGACCTTCAGCGACATGTGAGCTGTTCTTTGGTATATCAGTGCAAGAAATGGCTATGAGTCATGGGACCCGGGCACCCTGGTTGACCCTTGAACATGAGATCCCTCTACAACAACTATCAACCTACCATGCTTTGGTGGGGTAGGTTTTGACTCACAGCCAAATCAAGTACCGCAGAGCTTTTTCAAGAAGTTGGCTCTTTGCCCCCGGTGGGGGCACGGGCTGGTTGCCACATGTTGCCACCAGCTGTGGTTCCCTGATTTTCCCACCGTTGGAAGAAATCCTGCAAATCCGAACGAAAAGAACCTCATGTTCGCACTGAAGTGATTGAGTGGTAATCTTCTTCAAGTCCTATGGTTTTTCTTTTGAAAGAAAACCGCGTCAGTCTCTCAGTTTCGGTGCAGACCGCGTCAGTCTCTGCCTTTCTTTCGAAGTTGCCCTTGCTGCCTTCACCTCGTCATCTGCCATCGGTCACAAGTGCCGTCGGTCTTCGGCTCTTGGAGGCAAAACGGGCCAAAAACAACCAACATTGCGGATCGTGCTCCATCGGTTTTGGCATCACCAGGTTTGGTCGGAGTGACGTCTCATAACCCCCAACCTGCAGACTAACAACCCTGAACCCGACCCTGGAGGTTCGACCTTTTTCCTCTAAAACCCAGTTATTGTCTCAGCTCCCAGCTGGCTTGCCAGGTGGCCTCGTATTGTTGCAAGTGAGTGTCTTCGAGCGGTGTATCATTGGTGTCTGGTGTTTCTGTTTATTGCATCGAACTCAACTTCAACCCACCAGATTCCCGGCACTTTGGGAAGCATATCCCTGGATGCTGCTTTTGCACGTCCTCATCCCAACGCAAATCAGGTGTTAATTCCCCTGATGCTCGTTTACGCGTTGAGACAAGCAACCGTTTTGTGTTGTTCATGACCAGGTAAGCTTTATGCAATGATGTACATGAAAGTCTATTGTCGCAAGGTGTCCTTGTTGTTCAGAATAGGGGCATCCCTGGAAGCCCAAATGGGGTGATGATGGCGCCATGATGTACCATGAAAGTACCTCGATATTGTTTGTTGGTATACATAACTCATTATCGCATATATATTATTCAAATATGTATATATACTTCCTTCAGCCTGGCATTCATGTAGCGTGGAGACCTCATGAGCAAGCTAGGCAGCTCTGCTGATCTGTTCTGGGCCTGCCCGACGTAGGCTTTTCTGAGCCGCCCATCTGCCAGCAAGGGAGTATCGCCCGGTGGGCAAAGCAGAAACTCCTGGAGCGTAGCAACAAAAACGCCCAACGCGGTGGGGTGTTGGGGCGGGCAAGAGTCTTTCCCCCCTGAATTGTGCTTGCTAGGGCCTACACCAGGTTGTTGTTGTTGCTTGGAGGGATGTGGCCCGTCATCAATCTTTCTGTGCATCCCTCCAGCACCTTCTCTCCCACCAGCTGGGCAAAGAGATTCTCAACGTTGTCGAAGTGCAGTGTCCTTGGCCATGGGCGGCGGCCGGCGGGCCATGGTGGTGGCCCCCAATGCAGTGAAGATCGTAACATCTGATCGAACATCATCAAACATATAGAACTGGGACTCATGGAGACTCATGGAGACTCGTGGAAACTCATGGAACTTCCTGGGGAAGTCCCTACATCCAGCAAACCCCTCCCCGGGACTCCTCCCCCAAACTTTCAGAATCTTGAAGATAGCTCCTAGTAGCGTCCGATCGCTCCGTGCGTAGCGATGCCCTTTGTTCCTAGTAGCTTCTTGCTCCGTTCGTTGCGATGCCAGGAGCTACTAATAATAGCGTCCTTGTTCCTATCGCATTCTCTCAGCACACGTCTCGCCGAGCGAAAACGGTGCTCAGCTCCTGGCGACAGGGTCTCTCCGCCCAGCCAGAGGTCGGTGCGCTTGAAGAGCAAACGCCTCGGCTTCCGCCGGCGGTGAAAAGGCGACCAGCCACGGAAGAGACAGGTTCTGTGTGGTTCTGAAAGAGGCTCCAGTGAGAACTAAGAGGAAACTCAAAGGATGGTGCAAGAATTCCAGCCAAAACAGATCCGGATCTGTTCATGAATGCACCAGTCTCCATCCCATTCACTTCACCCACTGCCATGTTCAGCAACTGCTCCAAACCAAGTCATCCGAGTGCCCAGCTCCCCCAAGGCTGGAAACCCTGGCAACTTACACCTCGGCCAAGCAAGCATGGAATCATTCTTTTTAGCACATCCTCTCCTTACCTCCAAACAATACCGTGAGAAACCTGCCCAACTGCGCTCTGCGTCAGGAGCCTCAAAAACTCGAAGGATTTCTCCAAGTTCGCAGCGCCGTCCGCGTAGAGCGCAGGCCTCGAGTCCGCCATGAAGCCCAACCAAGAGCCCAACATGACCACAGATGTTGGCCGTTTTCACAAGCAATCTCTCAGTTCTCTCAGTTTTTCTGTCGGACCAGCTGTCAGTGGGGAGGCTAACAGTCACATGGCGCCCTGTCAGCGTCACTGGTTCTGTCCCAGCCTGACAGTCGAACATTCAAAAAAAAGACTTCCCTTGTTGTAATCTTTGTCATGTCATGCTATATCATGTTCTTCTCTGGAATGGTTGTGGAGTGGTCTGTGCTGCACTGCTGACCCATGCCCTTCCGGACCCAGATCGCGCCCCTTCGACTCTGATGTCCAGACCACTGCCCTTCCTTTCGTAGCGATGCGACAAAGTCTGCCAAGGACACCTGCGCAGCAAGTGAACGAGGACTGTACACCATTCTTGGAGAACTGACGGGAAACAGACCCCTGCTGGACCCATGGAGCAGTACCAACAAAAATCCAGAATCTCTTTCCAGAATTCCTTGTTGAGTGAGGTTCCCAAAAGTCCCAAAAATCATTTGGGCTGGAGTGCAACATGCCTGCTGGGCGGTGCCAAAAACTGTCGAACTGCCCAAGCGCCAGAGCCAATCATCCCCAACTCAAGCAAAACATGACTCATCAGATTTCAAACAGTCCTAGGTTGGTTCTTCGACAACAATTGTGTTCACACTGCAAGTATAGAGCTATATAGCAAATGCTAGAAAAGAAACAAGTAGTGAAAACCCGTGCAAAAAAAGAAACATGTTCATGTTCGCTTCTCTTCTGGCTAGTTGGTTACCCATTTGACACCATCCAAATCTAAGACTTTGGTGTGTGCATCTATCTATCTGTATATACATATAAATTACATATCCAAATCATAATAATTGCACAGAATATATATGTTTTCTATATATATATATACAGTAGTTGATAGTAATTGCATTATACACAGACTATCTGTTCTTTCTTTTTTTTGGGGGGTGGCTTCCACCACTTGGCCGGCCTCAATGCGTGAGGCCGCCACGGCAAGCACCAAGTTGCCATGGACCACTCCTCCAGACAGCGACCGTTGCTCCAGCGGTCGTTCCATGTGCACCGCGTGTGGGGCGTGTGCGGTTGGTTTGGGGGTCAGGGGGATGATCCTGGTAGAGTTCAGTGATGTTAGAGGATGTCATGTTCCAAGTCATAGCTGCTGTCATCACATCAGGTGTCAGCTACTACTCTCATCATCTCTCATCTACTCCCTAATGACTTCTTTGCAGGTTTTGGATGGGTCTCCCTTCATGTTTGTTCAAAACGCATTGGATTCTCGCAGCACCTGATGCGAGTTATGCGCCACACTGGGCATTGCCCGGTCATGCTGGGATCGTCACCAAGATGGGCATCCGGCCGTATTGAAAAGGCAAAGGCCACTAAAGGTCTTTATGCCGAAAACTCTATCCCGACAAAGATCTGAGTACTAGACAGTTTTAGAATATGGAGACCCCAGCCACTGGGTTGAATTTGGTCCATGTTCTCCCGGGTCTCCCACTGGGTCTCCCCTATATCAATACACACCGCTTGGCCACTTCGCTCGCCGTCCTGGCAACTTCACGTCATGTCTCCCGGGCCATAGCGAGGCATCTTCGACCTGGGATGACCGGGAAACCCAACGGATTCATCAAAGGCCAATAGATATGGTGTGTCAAAGGAAGAACCTCTGCCGAAATAGCTGGTAGATGATGATAAGCGAGGGTCATGCCTAGAGCTTCCCCCAAGAAGGACATGTTCTTGGTGAGTAGACTGAGTAGAGGTTCAGGACTCCCCTCTGAAGGTCCTTTGGTCAACCATCGGAACCAGTGGTGCATGACCAGCGTACATCATGGGGGGCTAGTAGAATCTGAAACTGGAAAATGTTCACCCTGTTCAAAAACACAAAGCTGTCTGGAGGATCGAGGTTTCGACGATTTGTAGCCACCCTGCTCTGGAAGACACGTATCACTTCATGTATGACTTACACGAGGCATCACTTCTGATTACATCCTGTTTGCCCCCCAAACGCGCACCTGTCGTCCGCACCTCTCATGGCCATCGATGGCCAAAAACGCATCGCCCCTCCATTTTTGGTCGCCTTCATTGGGTGCCCCCCTTTCTGATCGGAAAACGGGTGGTTTGGACCACACCGCAGGTCACCCCTTCTCGGCACCTGTCGCCCGAAAAACGCAGCAGCACTGGACGGATTAAATCCCTGTTCGTGGGCGAAGCAGAAATAGCAACATGATCAGTAAGCTTCTTGCTCCGTTCGTAGCGATGCCCTTTGCTCCCAGTAGCGTCCTTGCTCCTAGTTGTAGGTCCTAGTAGTAAGGCCAGGAGCCCCGAACGTAGCGTTCTTGTATATACTGAGTCCCGACGTCTGACCCATGACAGTGTCCTTTGGCGTCCGTCCACGGTGTCGCGGTGTGTGTATGTGTCACATGTGTGTAGGCACGGGCGGTTCAGACGATCAACGGCGATGTCAGCTCACTGGGTCAGATGTCAAGAAACTGGCCGTGAGAGTGAAAAAGAGCACAGGTGCTACTGAAGACGCTCTGGGCGGAAAAGGCGCCATAGCCCACCAAAGATCGAGTTTCTGCTTGGCTCACTTTCCTCTCTCTGCAGTCCAAGTGCGAGCTCTGGCTCCACGCTCCAAACCTCTGCAACGGTGTGGAATTCCCCTCCCTCTCCAAACACGTCCTCCTTCTGTGCGCGTAAGCGATCACGCAAGCGCTGGTCATAGACTTCACCAAGCTCAACGCTGTCAATGGTGGAGGAGGAGACAACCACTCGCACCCCCGAGGCGGTCAAATCCTGCTCAAGATCCTGCAGGTTCCCACCACGAAAGGGACGACGTCAAAAAAAAACTGTTTTTTGGGTATGTTGAGGTGCAAATCAGGTTCCTTGGAGGGGCAGTGAAACAACCAGGGTCACTAGGTCACTTAATATCAACGGGCAACATCAGGGCACAACTCACAACCACCCGGTCTTTATAGGAAGAGTGCCACAGCGGAAACTCAAGACTGTAGCCGAGCTTTCCCAGCTCTGCTTCACGCCATGTCTTGATGTGCTCCAAATGCAAATCTCCAAACACAAGGCTCTTCACCTGTGCCAGGCCAACCACTTTGAACCACTGGTTTGAGCGCAGCCCAGGAAACATTGAAGCTATACTGACTGATGTCCCAGGTGCCGCTGGTCGTTTTCCCCACGAAACGTGAAGCGATTCAAACATGAGCCCAGTCGTGACTGTGCGACGATCCAAGTGATAACACATGCAACTAGACTGGTTGGCACATCGGTCTGCTCACCAGGAAGGGCCCTACGTGCTCTTTCACCTTGTACCGACAGTTCCGTGCAAACTCAAATAATAACGTTAGCATGGATTGAACAAGAAATGCCATTATCGCTACACCTTCAACAAACAATAACCATCCAAAATGATCCAAAAGGAATTCGCAACATCAACCCTTCATTAATAAAGGGTTTCTGTATGTTGCTGTAATATTCTTGATCAAACTCAAAGCCAAGAAAACCCCCAACCCATCTGATCGTCGGCCAGTCGGCCTTCGGTCCGAACTGCTGACGAAGCAGCTCCAGGCCCTTAGTCACGCGGCTCACATAGCTCTCGCTACTGGCGCGGTGCATGGGAATGCCCAAGAGGGTGAGGCCCAAGTGCTTCGCTTGCCGCTGGACCATGTCGATGGAGATATCCTCAGAAGGAATTGGAACATCCGAGAATCATCATCTGGCAATCCAAGCAGTTGAGGGATCCCTGAGCGTTTCACTTGCTTAATGCCAGACCTCCTATGACTTCTGAAAATCAGTGCTTCAGTTATTAAGGATATTTGAGGATGCTTCCATGCACACAGATCTGGGCAGCACATGACGGGTGTTGGAAAGTTCTTTTGAGGTCAAGGGCTTGAGGAGATGGGATTGTCTCAGAACCCACGAGAAACTATACCTTGTAGAAAGGGAAGTCGTTAGATGAAAATCGGTAGAGTCTACCATGTCTACCCCTGCGCCCAAGCATCAAGCACCATAATATGGTTGGGATCCTGACTTAGTCAGATACCCTTTGGCCAGGCTCGGGCAACAGACCCCTACTGAGGCTACCTATCCAATGGTCTAAGAGCATGGCCCAAGAAAAGCATGTTCGCTTGCGTTCGCGCAAACCATCAAATGCCCAGCGGCTTGATGGGCAATAATTCGGCTTGGTGCATCGAATGTGGTCAACAAAACAATTCCCACTGCTGAATCGGACATTTCTCGTGCAAGTGCACGAAGGGTCAAGAAGGAGTCTTTCCCACCGCTGAAGAATAAAACACGAATTTCAGCAGCTGAGTCAGGAGAAAACTTCAAAGATGTTCCTCGACATAGGATGGCTGGTTGCTGAATACGTGCCAGTTTTTGCTCGTCGCAAACATTCACATGATTGTAGGGACAGTGGCGACAGCCCGAGCCACAGCATTTGCCTCGCTTTTTGTGTGCAACTTCAGTGAAAACCAAGAAGCCACTGACAGGATCTGTATAGAAGGTGTCTCCTCGCTCACAAGCCTCTTGATGCAGTTTGAAGAAATCTTCAATATCGGTGATCTTGTGTGTCTCTTCAGTCTTCCTCCTGCGGAGCGGCATCAGTCCAATGCTGCCCTACTAACCCCTACTATGAGGCCCTCTTTGGCTTGAGGGCGTTTGACTCCACGCCCCCAACAACCAAGATGCCAAATGCCCCGCAGCAAAACCGCTAGCCTAGCTACAGTACCAATTCTTGCTGAAAAAAAAGCTCAATTCAAAAACAGTGAAGTCTGCGATCTTTCTCCACCCTGGTTAACCTATCTCATCCCATCTCAAATACCCTCACGTTGTCCAACACAACAGGAGCCGTTGACAGACTACCCAATATGACAAAAACAGCCTCCACCTCTCCTCTTGACTCCCTGTTGAAGTGGAATTCTCTTATAGGCCGTAGCTGCTTTTGCAAAATGCAGGCCCTTGATGGCTTCCAGCACCTCGATTCTCATTCTCTAGGTCGTGTTTTCGACTTGCTGTCCGGTGTGACTTCAGACTCAGACGCCCTAAATGATGCTCACAAGCAGGCAAAGATCGCAGTAACAAATCATAAAAAAGGAAGAAAACTATTGTGTTATTGTGTTGCTCGGGGTCTTGGAATCGAGGCTTGGGCTCAATTTCACAATCTCAAGAGCTGGCTCCTAGCAGTTTTGGTAGCAGTAATGTAAACTGTTGATGAATAACACCCACCAGGATAACACCCACCAGGACTGTAGGTTTAAAGCCATTCTGGTCGGGGGGTTGAAATATCATCAACAGTCTGCAGACTACATTACTAGACTCCCGCACCTTCGTCAGTGGAGGTACGAACCGTGCCGAAGCCAAACACCGAATCTACAGGTATCAAACCTTCCCTGGTCATCTTCAGGCCCCTGCTGTTTGTGTAAAACACCGCACTGCTCAGGTTGAGCTCAGTGCCACTGAACTCCCATCTCCATCCGCTTCTCATTGTTCGAACCATGTCCACTCCTGTCCAATCCCCGCTAAAGCCCTGGATTCGGTGCCTCAGGCTCCTCGCAATACGCACAGAGTGCCATGATCACCGTGCCCAGCAGCAGCTTGGGCCCAGGTCTTGCGAAGAACTGATCCCCATCCGTCGCAAAAGCTACAGGTGTCCTTGGTGTGTCCTGAAAGACTGCCGCGAGCTGGTCCTGTACCTGGAAGGGATGTGATAAGACATGGATTCGCTTGAGGAACCGGGCAAAGTTGAAAAAAATAGACTTAAGCAAAACCAGGAAGATGTTCGGGTTGGATTGGATTTATGACCTTCGTTTCAATGCCAGATTTGGGTTGAACTCTATGGGGTTGGGCTTGATCTGGTGCATCTTGCCATTGAAAGGAAAGTGGAAAGGCACAAGTGTTGACGAACATGTACCTACATGGTCGATGTCACTGCGCAAGAGCCAAGACTTGAAATCCCCCTGAGCGCTGTATTGTTTTGCTTTGTTCAAGGGGAGTTGACATGGAGGGTTGTCTGAAAGCAGACGTTGCCACAGGTCTACTTGTCCCATGTCATTCAATATCCTACCTGGCCTGGCCCTTCCGATTTGCAACATGTGAGTCACTTCAGGCACTTCTCTAATGCTCGAATCGAGACAATCCAAGCGTCACCGGGTAAGCCGGGTGAGAGCCCCCAACTGGAAGGCATTTGAGGCTTTCCGGAAAAAACACTCCAACAAATCAGATTTCTTAGCACAAATCACACAAAGATGTGAGTAGTTCAAGACATGAATCGACCTGATGTCAATCATGTCAGTATATGCAATGCCATACAATGCCCAGGTACAGCTGCAGCATCCTGATAATTGCGTTCCAGATTGAAGCCGCAGCAGGCCACCAGCAAAAGGCTGGGCTTGGTTTTGGCAACATCTTGCCTGAGCAAAACATCTTGGTTTGCCTCCTTGAAGTGGAGAACTGTGAGGTGAAGAACACAATACAATCAGCAACGGCCTTGGTTTGTTGCCTTGCTTTGTGTGTCACTAGTCACTACAATCTCCCTCAAACTGGTACATGTATCATGTAAATACTGTGCGTGTTCGATCCCTCTCCAAGGACCAAGGACCATCAGCATGGACCGACTTCGGGGATTCGTGTTGCACGGCTCGTCACACGGAGCCGGACGGAGCGCTGAAAGCCACCGGACGGAGGCCACCGGAGGCATGGTTCTGTTGTCGTTCAGGGAGGATGTTCCCAAGAACCCACGACTTCACGACACCGACTTCCACTTCGCGACTTTACTCTTTGACACCCAGTTGCCAGGTAACTTCCTTGGATTTCCTGGAGCTGCTTTCCTCTTCGGCCGCATGTTCTACACAGGCCCATTGCATCATGTCTGGCATCCAATGGCCGGCATTGAACGGTGGTGAGAGCCATTCAAGCAAATACATACCTTGACCGCATGACAGCATATGACGCGACCACAAGCTTGAAACTCATAAGACGGTGCGGCCAAAATCAGAAGACAGTGGTAAAACGGGAAAACGATTGGCCGCGGCCGTGGCATGGGAAATCCTAAGGCCACATGTTGTATGGTTTGATATGTTGATATCAAGTAGTTCAACAAATGAACATATCCTTAATTCATTAGCTATATAGTAATATATAAACTTAATAATATATAAACTTAACCACATTTGCACGACAATGGCTTCCGGCCCCTCTTCCAGGCTGGAAGATGCTGGAAGGCTGAAAGCCATTCGTTGGCTCCTGCAATGAGAGACATTCCTGGTGATTCGGGAAAAAGAGAAACATTGCTGGCTCCAAAGAACCAAAAAGCGTGGTCGAGCGCCCTGGGGAGGGCGGTGTCGAAGAACTGTCTCTTGAAGCTGCTTGAGTTGGCTCTGAAGCTGATCTGCCAGGGTGATTCCACGCTCTGGATAGCCGGCGCTGGAAGCCACAAGCCGAATGCTCTCTAAGACATCCTCCAGACTTTCCTGGCGGCAGAACGGCAAAACAGGACATGACTCGAAAAGCCTGGTATAAAATCTAAGTGGTAACTGAAAATTAATAGTTGCGATTCACGTGCGGGTTCACTATCAATCAGGCCACTTCCATTGACAATTAGTATCTCAGTCTGTTCTCCAGCAGCTCCTTTGAACATTTCAAGGCTTTACTCGAAGCCACCTTTGGGTCAAAAAACGACTTTAGAGACACCTTCACGATTTACAATTGATTAATTCAAAAAGTCTTCACACGTCTTCGCGTCACACTTCTTCACATGTCTTCACATCTTGCACAGAGCGTGGCACAACATCCATGACAGGTGAGGGCTGCCAGCAATTCCGATAGAGTATATAGAGCTTGCCTTATCCTGTGGCATCTCAGCCAGGATCTAAGACAAGTGGCCGGGCTCAAGGAAAGCACTTGAACCTCAGGAGGGATCCCTATTGAAAGACCCCTTGGAGACTCCAAGTGGGTGAGGCCGTTGGGGAGACTCATGAGAACAACCATGTTGGTCCTCTTGTCACCGAAAGCCAGGTGGAAAGAAAACAAGATGCCAGGGCAACAGAAAGCGGTAGGCAACTTCAATTCATATGCCTTCCAATGGCTTAGATCGGTAGATGACACAGAACACTGTGGTTGCAGGTGTTCTGTTTCAGCCGCAACTGGATCAAAAATAACAATAAAAAGCAGCAGCAGCAGCAGCAGCAGCAGCAGCAGCAACCAGAACCATGGCAAGAGGACAAAAAAAAAGAAGGAAAAAACACAAGAAAAAGTATTGGGAACCTCCTGGTGCAATGCTAAGAAACCAAACATGGGATATCATGAGATTGTTGAAACCACCAGGAGCCAATCATAAAACGCCTGCAGACAACTCCTTTTGAGATGCTTCATGCGAATTGAACAGAATCCAGTAGAATATTTCCCAAATTAATTACGGTTGAGGATGCTAACTTGCTAACCCCTCACCAAGCAAATCCTTGAAGAGTGACTGCATTAGGTTAGGACAAGGGAACTTCATCCGCTTCATCCGCCCCCACTAGACTTGTCTCCCCTCAAGCTCCACAAAAAGCCGCCACGTGACATGGCTTCTGTGCCCGAGGCGGTCATAGATCCTTGGATTGGCTCAATTTGGTCAATATGTTGGGTATACAGTATCCCATGATCAATAACGGCGGATTTCTTTCCGCTGTCCATCTGATCAGGATGCGCAAAACGCACCCCCTGATAAAGCTAGTCAGCATCTCCGAAAATTAGCAGCCAAACATTTCCAATAACTGGATGATGATGGTTGGTAAAGACCCTTCCCCAAAAAAAGAATTGCCCCTTTTACCGACAGTTACTGGTCATGGGGCACACCCAATCAATATGACACGACAAAAAGAACGGTCGATATGCTGACCGCAAAGACGGCTTGCTGGCTGGATGGTCACACTGCCGCGCACGATGTCGTTTGGGCAAAACAACTTGATGTGGAGCTCCAAATAGAGGGAACCCTTTTGATGCTAGACAGACCTTGTCTTGTCCCCAAGTGATAATTCTCAGATGTTTTACTTTGTTATAGTCCCAAGTCGTGATCTAACATAGGTTTTCCAGGAGTAGATGGATGACCGTGGACAGTGGACTGTCCAGGCTAACGCCGGGGTACTTCGACACACTCCTTGAAGATGGAGCACACACCTGGCACAGGTCCTGCGTGATGATAAGTGTTGGCTGTGCTTCCAGCAGTGCATTCGCATCGATGGGATACAGCGATGGGATGGCATCAAGGGATCCTAGTGTGCGAGCGCACAAGGTTGTGCGCACAACTTGAACCATTATCTTGGCCTGGCAAGGCCACAAACGCATTTCCTCTTGGCTCCTGTTCAACCTTTAATCTATATAGCTCCCGGATCCCGCATAGGAAAGCTCTTTCAATCAGTCTTAGCATCCAGAAGCGGATTTTGCTTGATCGGACATCTGCTGCACTTTGCGGTGGATATCCACTTGTGAAGAGATCTTCTCTTCCTGTAGGACATCCTTTGTCAAGATCAGAGGACGACTTGAGCCATCTGAAATTTGATCACATTCATGGGTCACTCCAACAAGACTTCTGCTGAGCCCCAGGGCAACACAAATATCAGTGGCGGAAGGAGTGAGGCAAGCGATGCGTAGCGCGGGTTGCTCTGACTCCATCAAGGAACCGCATGCACTCATGGTAGACATGAGTCAAAGAAATGTCTGATCCCAAGTGCAGCAATTGCAATTGTGGCTCTCTTCAATGGACATCCAAAAGAAAAATCTGGGGACATCTCGTTAGATTTCGAGGTTGCAAACCTGTAAGGTCTGAAGGTGTTGTGACTTGCCTTTTACAGGTCAGCTTGGCGGCATACATGTTAAGATATTCTCTTCACCTCCTGTGAGGCAGCTATATAGCCTGTAGCAGGAAACTGCGACGTGCAGGACAGCAAACATATGATCTTCCGCACTAGCCCATACAATGCAAACAGGAAGAATGCAGGCATGTCCAATCATGAATCAAGGAGACAAAGCAGGGAAGATGTTCTTCCAATCTGGCAGCTGTGCTGAAATTGCAGAGTATACAAATTGACCTATTGATATTCCAGATTGAAACAAGTGGTTGGAAACCCTCGAACCATGTTGAATCTTGGAAAACATTCGAACATACGGAGATAACCAAGCACACGTGGGACAGCAGCACTGCATGCACGCGGGTTTGGTATGCGGCATTTGGAAGATCATATCGTGGTAGGGTGGAAAGGGAACTTCAAAACGGTACCTCGCTAACCACTAGTTTGTAGCGGAAAACGCTCTTTGAAGGTGCCATTCTCAGGGTCCATGTTAGTTTTCGGGGAGTTTATTTTTTTTCAGAAGGTCGTTCTTGACAGTCGTGGGGTGAAGGATAGGGTGGCCCACGAGGAGCAAGTCAGACTGAAAAATATGGCCTAGGTATGCCTAGGTTGATCAAAGACTGGTTGGTGGTTTCAACTCACTTGAAAAGTATTAGTCAGTGGGTTCAATAATCCCTAAGTAAAGGTTGAAAATTAACAAAAAATAACAACAATACATAGACTATAGATCTCTCAAACCACCACCCAGAAGAAACATGATGAGCTCATTCTATTCCATGGTTTCTTCCCTGCATCACTACTCAACAGCGCCAGCACCGGTTCACACCCAACAAGTCGATGGGGGCACAAACTTCCATGCCACCATTACGTGCTGGGATCATATCCCGCCCGTTGACCGCTCTGAAGTCCGACAGACGAAGTTGGCATGACCTAAAATGTGGTTTCTAGAGGAACCCTAATTACATGGTTGTGGGATAGGTCACCAGGGTCTACCCACAGCTTGATTCATTCATATTAAAATATTCATTCCCAAATTGCTTTGCGCTTAAAGAACTCGCCCTGTCTCATCTCTCTGATCTGTCTGCCCCGGCCCACTTGTCACGCCCATCCTCCATGAGCGGGGCCACTTTCACCCGCAGCTCCGAAGGGGCCTTGTGGCTTCGATTGTGTGAGATTACAGAATTGACATCGAAAACAAGGCAACGCGGGTCAGTCCCCGAAATCTCGGTTTCGGTCGTGTTTTGGTCAATTTGCAGAACTCGGTTTTGGTCCATTTCAGAGGACTTCAGACTGGCTGTCTCGAACGCGGCAGACGGCTTTAGACAGGGTTTTACCGGTCAAAAGGACGGCCAAAAAACACTCCAATCACCTTAGTTGGAGCAAGACTCACCGGAATGTTGTCCCGCAAGACCGACTACAAATGATCCCAGCGAAAACCGACTACAACAGGTGCAAAGCACCAAGTGGTGGGGTAAGATATACAAATAATAGGGCAAGTAGGGCAAGTAGGGCTGTATGCGGAATGCAAATGTCTCTTTTACGGAGCGACCCTGTCAGCTTCAGTCAGGGCGGTTGCAGCAGACGTGGCAGTTGCCCGCGTGCTTCGTCTCTCGGCACGGTCTGACCGGTCAGACCGGCACCGCTCATCGACATCACCGGACGGTGGCATCGACTCTGACAAAAGTGAGTACCCTCTAGACTATTACGCAATAAGGTACCCTCTAAAACAAAAATAGAAAGATCTAGACAATAGTCTGCCTGGCTACTCATGCGTGGTTCCCTAAAAAAAACAGGTTTGTGGGGGTTGTGGAGTGAGTGGCGTTCCTCTGTCACTAAACTTGTGCAGTGGGGACTCTGTTCATCGGATCCAGATCAAACTCATTTGCCGTCAAGCGCAATAATGCCTCATGTTCTGCCCAATCCCAGCATGTCAAGGCAACACCGCATCGTCTTTGAAGGCAACACCTGCTTGCAGAACGCAGTCTTTACCAAACTCAAAAACGTAGTAACAACCGGCGGTTGCAATAACTGGAATGTTGCGTTGTCCATGATCGTTTGATCTGCAAGCAACAGCGCTCCCATCACTTCAGAGAAGCACTGAATGATCAAATCTGCCGACCAGTACAAACGCCCCAGGGCTTCCCAACAAGTGTTGGAGGATCCATGTGTTTGTTCATCAAAGCTTCATCCGTGCTCTTCCCGCCACCGACACCTGCCCCAAACAACCGAGCGTTCCGAGCCATCTCCAGCAAGCTTTCAGGCGTCCAAGAGAGGCATGGTGCCTCAGGCGATCAGTTCGTTTCGCACGTGAATCGCCTCTGAGTTCCACAGGTCATGGAGTCCACATGGGTCAAGGAATTATTTGTGCCAGTTGCAAACGACCTGAATCCTCTCAAAAGATGGTTCAACATTGGATGTCTCTTCAAATATTCATGGGTCTCTCTTTTGCTCCAGCAGCTCCAAACCAACATCAACAATTCTCAAGAGTTGATGCTCGGCACGCGCGCGGTGACCGAAAGTTTGCTAGATGTTCCAAGCTTACACCTCTGTCAAAAGCCTCAAGGGGATGGATCAAAGATTTGCCTTGCTGCTTGGTGTGGTGAATGTTGGGCGGAGCTGACCAATACTGCTTCAACCGGCAGATCAACCCATGAACCCCGTGAACACTCCGGCCAAACTCATGAACTTAGCTGGAGCCAAGCAGAAAAAGAAATGCTGAACACCAGAATATGCTGAGCGAGATGACTTACTCTATATTGAACCCGTGTTGCGCTGGGATTCTGCAGAGTCCTTGCAACGGGATTCCGGCATCCTTTGAAGAAATGCCTCATTCGCGCTGAGAGCGCCCAACCCAAGACTCAGGTATTGCACCTTGCAAGAGCACAGGCCTTGGACCACGAGCTACACAGGGCCACGACTGGTGGCAGTGAGGGCTTTGGCACTCGCTGGTCACTTGGATGAACCGTTTCTTCATCCGACTCACATCCACTGTCTGAAATGCTCATCCGAAGTAGTTCCACTATACCTGGGGAATGAAGCGCAGGAGTGAGGCTCCCTTCCATACACTCCCAATAACAGCATAAAACCAACATCTAACCGAATAAGCAGAAAACAGCATGTTCCCCTCCGTTTTCATAGCATCGCGTATCTGATTCCATGAATTCACTGGATCCATTTCTCTCCGACTGGGCCAGCAACACACAGCATCTCTGGGCTCCTGGCGTATTGGTGGCCACATACTCCCTGACCTCGGTTTGGTGCTCGGGCTCAGCCAGGGGCCATGTACGCTCAGCCACGTGTTCAGAGCCGATGAGTGTGAGCTCCAAATGGTGGGCACCCAAAACATCCTCTTGAGAACTTCTCTTTGATGCAGCTAGTGCATGGCACTCACTTCGGCCATCTTCTGCCGCACAGAGGCCTTTGTCAAAGCATCTGAGACACCTGCAAAGGACTCCGGGGTGAGATTCTCCGCCGGTACCTCCCAGAAACGCCGGTACCCAGCGAGCGAGAAGATCCAGGCACCGAGCTAACAGAGACTCTTCCTTCGGTCAGAACAGGTGCGGAGTTTCCAACAGAACTGTATTCGGTCACCAATTCGGTCACCAATTCGGCCTTGTTGTAACAAGGACCCGAGACCTCTGAGAGGTCTGAAGACCCCCAGTGGGTACTGTTGTTCATGAAAGTTCTGCCAAATCTATCAGCTACTGGATGTGCAACACGCAACAATGCACAGAGCAAAATCGTCCGCGAACTGGTAGAGATGTCCATGAGGACTGCAAACTCTTCTCTCAGCCCCGAATGTCCTACCATTGCTGCTCAAAAAGCTGAATGAAACTGATCCGACTCACAAGGCTTCTGACACTGCCTCTGACATGTTGAGTACATGTCAATGCAAATAATTAGATATATCATATCGGAGAGCTCCATCATCGAAAAGACTTGTCGCTTTTTGGGCACTTCAGGAGATTATGCCATCTTGCATGGAATGTCTTCACAGAAAACATGAACCTGAACGCATAGAAATGTGACCAAAGGACAGAACCGCAACAGCAATGACAGCAACAAACCTCCAAACGAAGAAATAGAAACAAGGACTTTTCATTGTCGCTGAACCCTGGACGCTCCCCATGACGCTCGGCACCCGCTCCACTGAGATCTTCATCGTCACCTGTCAGCTCAGCAATGGACGAGGGAACTGAGGGGTTTCCACCTGTGAAACCGAGACGTTCAACCCAATTGCAGTGATCCGCAAGCGTCCCAAATCGATCACCACTGGAAATTGGGACAAAGGTTCTAAAGGCAGCTCAGCAACATTCTAAGGTCACCCTACAGCTGTTGCATCCACAGGAAAAAAATGGAAGCACTTTAAGGCACCATAAGGCACCCATGCTGTGTGCAACCTATCATGAGGGAGCCCAGCGCATTAGAGAGTCCAACAGGACACCCCACAGCCCCTGTGATGCGTACGACTAGGATGACATATGTGGTACCTGCACCATGCATATCCATGCATGGCGTTCTGGAGCCCAGCATCCATGTTCGGCCTTCAGATCTACCTGCATCCATTCGTCGAACGTGAAGCAAGTTCTACCAAAGAAAATCACTTCCAAAAACCCTCCTCCCTGCGGTGTTTCCAGCTCGAACCTAGGTATAGTGCTTGCAGGCTCCCCTCAACATCACCTCAACATCGCCGACCCGACCCGATCGGTCCGTGGATCGAACAGCCGACCGGTCCCGGTCGGAACGATCCCCTGCCCCTTCCCCTCGCACCTGCTGGGATCGGGTTCGATCTTTGGACACATCCGGTCCGTCAGTCCCGAGCGGTGCCCGCGATGCCCGCCCTTGGTTCCGTTCGTAGCAAGGCCAGGAGCCCCTAGGAGCGTCCTTGCCTAAGTCTCTGTCATGCCAAGATGTCAAGTCTCTGTCTGTTTGACAGGATCTTCATCTGTGTCGGATTGGGTCAAAAAGGACTTGAGGGATCTTGAGTGACTAAACAATGTGTGCCGTATCAACAGCCTGTCCTGACTCCAAAGAAAATGACTAAGACTTCGTTGCCTCAATCTCACATTCACCATTAGTTTGGGAGCAGGTGGTCCTGCTTCCGTCTCCGTGCATCCAAAGACACTGTGTCGCTGGAACTTGAACATCAATAGCTTGAATCAAAGCATATGAATCACCCTGCATTTGGAAGTTGGTGTCTCAGAAATCAAGCCTTGCGGTACTCTCCCGTCTCTTGCAAATTCTGGAGCAAGCGTCTCACCGTACCCAGCCAGCCGGGCGATGTCAATGGCATCTGCCGGGCATCTGCCGGAGCACCCAGGGTGTTTTTTGAAGCCTCATCCAACCAAAACTATCAAAACTGAGGGATACTCCCAAAATGTCGCTCTGGCAACGTAGGGCAGGCCTTTGTGAGGATACTTGAGATCCGTAGGGCAGGCAAACGACCTAGATGAGCTTGAACCTCCGTAAGATGTCTCGACCCCCTCACAATTGTGCCAGGGGGAGGCGGAGGGCAGTTCCGACAGTAATGCCCTTGTGGTCGACGATGATATGCTTCCATCGAAAGCGATTGTGAAGAACTTTCACCATCTCACAACATAGTAGATGTGGAATTCTTGGCAGGTTAGTATATGTGTCAGTATAAAATGAATTAAATCATCTAATCAAAATCGTCTTGTGTTGTGCTAAATATGGTTAAATGAACCGAAAGAGGATCGCAATTTGGGAACCTCCTGGAGATGTTCTATCGCTGGCGCATGATTTCGCACCCCCCTGGTTGACCCATGAACATGAACACTCAGAAACCGCATGGACTATCAGGATATCATAGGATATTCACCTCCCATGATTTGGGAATGTTTTGAGGTTCTAAGCATTGACCCACATACGTTTGAAGAGTGCCCCCAGCCGCTCAGAGTGCCCCCTTTGATGTTGATGTGACAAGCGCAGGATAGCTGACCTTGGGCAAATTCCCACGGAGGATCTTCGGTACATGTCCAGTTGTTCTGGGTCTATCCAATTCTGGGTCTTCATAAGTTTGGATTTTGAAACCTTTGCCTCCCAAAACGTCCACGTCCACCGCGGATCCGTTTTTGCCATGGCAACCTTCGGTCACTTGCATCTTACCGTGCATCGAATTGCCTCCTCCATCGGGTGGACACACGTGGCTCCCGGACAAGCCCAGAGACGCGGGACGATCTCGCGGGAGGTTCAGGGTCCCATTCCGTCCAGAACAAGCAAGGTGCTTTCACGATGGGTGAGGAAGCCAGGAAAGAAGGGGGTCCAATCATGGAAGGAACGTATGTACTAAGTTTTGCAATGTTTTCACAATGGCAGTGGCAAACATGACCATGGATCTTGAACTATCTTGGTGGGATGATGCCATGGTTTTCTCCACTTGGCCCAACACAGCTTGATTGAAGTCTTTTTCATCTGATCCCACTTCTTGTCTTAGTTTCATGCGCACCCGACTGAGGCGGTAGGGCATTCACCAAATTAGCCAGAGGCCACAAGCTCCGCGACTTGCTTGGGGCCGGCCTGGCAGGATGCCAATCATACGGTCAGGTTGCTTGAAGCGCCTGAGACCAAGGGGATCTGTTTTGCGTCATGTGGTACAAGGAGATTCTGTGTGAATCGTCGTGAATCATGGGGTCGCTTCTCTTTTGGCGAAGACTGCAAAGTACTGAAAAGCCGTAGAATGAACCCCATGGATTTTCTGCAAGTGAAATAAGAAACCTCAACTTTTAACCGTTGAGAACCAAACGCGCTTGTCGAACCGCGATGATGTGCATATTCGAGCTCTGGGGTTTACAAGCAAATAGATTGCATGATTAATGTCGTTGAGATGAGGTTCTTGAGCCCAAGATGCAACAAACAAAACAGCCCCGCCAGAAAAAAACGCATCATGTTCTTACTTGCAAACAAAAGACCCAACAACAGCGTAGAAGAGCATACCAGTGCACATCCATTTGCATCTTCTTCAAGCGCCCAATCAGTGTGGTAGCTCCTGGCTTTCACAACTATCCAACCAGATTGTGTTGCCTTGTAGAACCTCTTCAGAGTCAATCCAGCATTTGTTCATCTGAAGGTGAATTTCACTCTCCTTCCCCGTGCCACCACTGCTACTTTCAGCGCCCACCCAGCCTATTTGAGGAAGGTTTCATTCAACTCAGAATCGCAGCGCAAGCTGTCACTGCGCGCATGCGTCCCGCCGCCCGCGCGTCGCTGCGGTGTCTCAGTGGCGCGGGCTGCCTGGCTGTTTTTTGGTCGACTCGATCGACGGATCAGAACCACCTGCAGCACAAAAAAGACGTAGCTCTGGTTGTCTGTTTCCTACGCAAGACTTTTGTCAGATGTGGGACTATCAAGTTCCCTGTTAAAAGGTTGTAGAAAAAGAGGTTCCTTTGGCGTCCCGTGACCGTTTTTCGACCAAGTCACGACCAAGTGATTAAGCAAAGAAAAACTAGATACGCAATCTGAAAAGCCCAAGAATTGGCCACCTACATAATCACATTTGCTGGCAAGGCCAGCGCCCCTCGCACCTTGCGACGTTCCTTGGGCGAGCGACCTGGGATGAGAAGAAAAGGAGTCAGACTTCCGCGAGGTCAGATCAAGATCAAGTGCAATTGTCATCCATTCCAGTGTTGGGTAACTGCACTATGTGTTGACTATGGGTCACTCACTTTTGTCTTGGTAGGGTTCCCAGGATCTGCAGATCCGTGGCTTAAAAAACAAGGGCGATTGGTACCTCTGGAAAGATCCATGGCGCTCCCTAATTATCAATTAAGGTAATCCTTGGCAGAACCTCCAGCAGGCCCCATCAAACTCCTCACCCTGAATCCACTCATCAGTTTTTGGTGAAAAAGGATTGGGGAAAACTCGAAACAAACATAACAAACAACCACCAAAGTTGATGCTTCCCAATGGATTCCTGACCAAGATTGCTAATCAGAAGATTCGAGAGTGAAGAATTGTAATCTGATATCATCAGATCATTTGGATGATATCTTCCCACGCTTAGTCCTTGGTTTCCTTTTTCCATCCTTTCCTTTCTCACCTTCCGACCCCTTCGCTGCCCCCCCCAGTTACCCCCCCCCCCACCCCACCCACAGCATCGCCTGGCTGCGCTTCACCCTCCGGGCCGATGGACCGCTCGCCGCTCTCGGACCTTCCCAGGGCGATGGAGACAGGTCATGAAGGTCGGAGACGGGTCAGCCGACCACCGTGGTTTTGTTGAAGGGAAAACGGAATCAAAAAAAAAAACACGGAAACGCGAGCTTTCCGTGTGGAAAGAACAGTAGCCGCATGTGGCAAGTAGGACCTGGTGGGAAAGGTGTGCAGTGCCTTCAAGGTCTTTTCTGTGGTACTTTGGTTTGGGTTGGTTTCTCCATTCTCAGAGGCCCCAACCCTGACAGCCCGCTTTGAGTATCCAATTTCTTGCTGTCCCGATGTTTCAAAGTTACATCAACCCCAGCGGATCGCCCAACCAACCCAACCACGGCCACGATCGCCCCGCTGCGGATCACCTCTCTCCCACCGGTCGCCTTTGAGAGGAGCTCCGTGTCTCGGGCGTCGCCTCCGGTCATGGGACCGGTGAGCAGCGGCTGAACCGCGCGCTGCTAAGAGGTGTTCGGTTGGGGTGGGGCCTTTTGGAACTCTTAGTAAGTTTGTGCTTCTGCTGCATGTTTCCTTGTTCAAAAATGGTTCTCTCATCTTCGAAGTCTGAGTTTTGAAGAAGGCCGGACATTGGTGTACCACCTTTTCCATTAATCTGCCTACTTGAAGTGGAAGGGCATGTATTGAGTCACCCGTGCTTGCAGAAGGTCACCCGGCTGCATGGAAACGCAGCAACACCTTGGAAACTTTTACGGAAGTACGTGTTCAAAAACTGCTGTACATCATCATTGTACATCAAGGATTGCCATTGAAGTGTGTAGCTTTTGGGGGACCAAAACCCAACGAGAACGCAGGTTTAGTCTCATTTTCGGATTACATCATTGCATCCCAACAAACAGGCGAACTGCGGGGGCACACATGGCTACACTGGCGCAAGTACGGCCGCGCAAGTCCCACCCCCCCAGTTCCCAATAAGAACTTGAGCAATCCCACAACACCCATAGAGTGCTGGAAGAAGTGCTGGTTCGGTTCTTGAGTCTCCAAATAAACCGATTCTTGATGGAATCCAGCAAATGGTACTATCTTATTCACCTGGTTTGAATATGGTGATGAACTGATACTCCAAAGCTTGGAGAAAGCGTCTTGATGCATCTAACATCATTTAACCTGCATGGAAACGCAGCATCCAGACACCTCTTTACAAGACCAAACAACATCACACAAGTACGGAAGAGTACTCAGGAGGCCCCTGAAGAACCTGAAGAAGTATGAGCAACTTCCGAGGACAGGGATCTGCCGACGACTATGAGCAACCATCTCCCCACACGGTGAAACACTGCGAAAGACTCTCCTCAACACTATCAAATACTCTCCTCAAAAAGACCTGTCCTCCACACTTGTTGCTCAAAAAAGCGGATCTCTTCCATCAGATCCAGACCTTGGAGCTACGCGTCCCAGGCTTCTGCAACTGCCTGGCGGTGGCCGGACATCGGGTCGCACGCACCGTGCAGCGCATGCACCATGCAGAACCTGAACGCCTCACCGAACTCCTCACAACTCGCAGATCGAACGCCGGATGTGCTGCTCGGCCACTCATGAACATGTTCATCCCAAAGCATGTCTTCATCTGAATCATCTGGCCTCTGCAAGCTCAGTGCCATTTCACCTTAATTCAAGGACTGGGTGGCGAAACGCCCTGTGGACCGAAGGATCTGGAGTCGACTGAAGGATCTTCCAGCATCGACTGAATAAGCATCCCGTAGCACAACCCCACAGTGCTGGTCTCTAGCCTTCTCCCAAACAACACAGCCCCCACTTAGCAGAGGAAGACAGTCTTCCACACCCTTCTATTAGTCAATAACAGTGAATATGTTCGTTTGTCGGAATTTTACATCAAGAATCAAGGGCGTCAATTGCCACCGAAAGACGCCAGTAATCCAACTCGGAGCGCAAAGTCTCAAGGCTCTCTTGCCGCACGGAGGGATTTTGCCTGGAGGACCACACGACTATCAACAGCAAGGGTCAATAGTTGGTGGGCCCTCCACCCACAGAACCAGGTGTGTGTTCAGCAACATTCAGTTTCTCCTGTTGCAACAAATTCTCCTGTATCTGCACAAGTTGGAACGATCATGTTACCTGATCAGTTCAACTTGGTCTTCGATGTTGAACGTGCACTGGTCTCTGTACAGCCTAGCTTGATCTTTCCGAAGAAGCCCAAGCAACCTTGGTCGAAACATGTTGAAACCTGGTTTTGGGAAATTCAGCTTCACACGGACCTAAACCATCTAGGCTATAGGGGGATCTTTGGACTGAGGTAGCCAAAGGCCTCCGGATCACATGGTCCCATATCTGCTTGATTCCGCAAAAACTCCATCGAAAAGCTGCGTACTCTCAACTCTTCGCACCCCCACTCTCCAGTCCTACATCGGACAAGACGTGCCAATCATCTGTGGTCCTCATGTGAGTGTGCCCGAGTGTGCCAGCCATGTCTACCCATACTGACTCCAGGTGGAAGGCCTCCTGGAGATGAGCTCCTCCGACTCATCCTCGGCAGCATGAAAAGGGGGCTTCGGCAAGTCCAGTGGCTTTTCTTTGTCCAAACAGCTTCATGTGAATCAAAGATGCTTGCAGTTCCTACTGACAAAAGAATAGGCATGAGAGTAGTGAATACTGGACAACCTTTGGTAAAGGAGCCTCTACAAGCCTTGAGCTGCTACAGTAACTTTCAATCTGCTGTCCCTTCTACCAGGTTGTTTCTTGCACCTGCATTTTTTCTGTGACAAAACCAATTTCGCCAGTCGCCCATTCATTCCACACCTGCCCATCAGCTAAGGGCCAATCACCCCCTCTCCTCACTGCAGCAATGGCCTGTTAGCGCAAGACCTTCTGGAGTCTTTATACAGCATATAATATACCTATATATATATATATGTTATTGTATATACAGTAGAAAGATGTACATGTCATGAGAAAGATTATTGCAAGTGTCCATCTGGATAACATCAACAAGGGCCGAACCCCGAACCCTGATGCTTTTGTGTGTGTGTGTGTTCGATAAGTCTAATTGATCGTTTCCATCACCTTCTACTTCGTCCAACTTATAGCTTGCAGATCCCGATACTATGATCTGTTTTACTATATATACTTCTTGAAATCAAACACTCGTGGTAGTTGGTCCCACACGCTCCCACGTCGGTGCGGTCTGGTCTGACGCTTTCCTGCCCAGGTCTGGTCTACGTTCATGCGGCTTTCACGAAGGTCTCATGCGGCTTTCACAGTCCAACGTGCCTCCCGCGCATTGGTGGCTGCCTGCTTTGCCATAGCTTGCGCCGCAGGTTGCTCTCCCAACATCTCCTCAGAAGTGAGGCAGCCTACATCACCGGTCATCTTGCTGACTGGAAAAAGATTCCTCCACCCTGTTTCACAGAATTCAAACTGTGTCCGACATGCAGAAATGTTGAGATGAAGCATACTGGCATACTGAATGAAACTCTGGACAACCCTGTCCGCCCCGCCCTGTTTTTGGTTCCTGCAGAAACTGTTCTTGATCACATCACCCGATGTCTGGAGACCACGCCAAGCAGAAGGGGGAGTAGGAGCAAGGACGCTACTAGTAGGAAAGGGCATCGCTTCTAGTAACAAGTGCCTTACTAGTAGGAACAAGAAGCTAGTAGAAACAAGTGCATCGCTTCTAGTAGCAAGTGCCTTCCTAGTAGTAACAAGAAGCTAGTAGAAACAAGAAGCTAAATTAGAATCTAATTAGAATCAAAAACAGATCAAAACCTTATCCCAAGTTGGCCTATGCCCAACCACACACAGCACTCTGGGTGTGTTTGTCACACAAATTTCAAGCAGCGAAACATGTCACTGGGATTTCTCGGAAAGCTGATACGGGAAATGAATCCCTTTGCCAAAGGACTCTTGGGATCTTTGGCGTATCTCAAAATGAGTGGAACGCAAGCAAGGGTTCGATTGGTCCCGGTCTAGTCTCCAAAGCTTCCGGGAACCTTTTTTTGAGACTCTCTCTCTCTGGTTCGGTTCACTGGCTGGCAGGATCCCAGCTAACAAGCACATGTCTTGATCAAAATCAAGGAATTCTGGTTGACAAATAGAGACTGCACAAGTTCCTCACTGCACATTCCTGCGTGTTGTTGCAGGGAGACACTGAGCAGTCTCTGTGCACACACTCAATCAGCAAGTTCTCCACCTCTGCGACCATTTGCAAACATCAGCAAGGACGGCCATGCACCTGAATTGTCCTGCCGACAGGCCCAACGGAAGTCGCTGGGGAAAGGACAGTCTCCTGTTTGAGTTCGAGGATAGGGTGAACATCAAGGAACTCACAAGTCAAACAAATCACGCTTCCTGATGTGTTTCTTCCCAACAAGAGGGGTGCCGATTTAAGGGACACTTTCTTCATGGTGCTACAATCTCTTGGAGTATGACAGGCGCCGCATTCCTTTTGGTAGCAGCCCTTTTCCTTCACATATCCAAACGCCAAACACTCTGACGGACAAAGAGTATCCGAAGAAAACCTCGTGGTGTCAGTCCGGCGCCCCGAAACCTTTTCTGACAAGGGAATGTCTTCATCAGCATCAACAAACCAAGGTAAACAAACAACAAGAACAACCACAACATGGCAAGTCCTTAATCACCTCAGCATCTGCCTCCAGCAAAATCCGCACCTTACTTCGTCGATTGTTTGGAGCGGTCGGGCGCTTTGAGTCTTTAAGTGGCAACCCAACATGGACCAAAGCAAAACATCCTTCACTACACAACGTCACAAAACCATACAAAACCCAACTTCCACCTCTCTTCACCTCACTTTATGACGCTTTGACGAATTCTCACCACTTCTCAAACCTCGCCCAGTGGCCACGCTGGAACTCCCCCGCTCAGCCGCCATGTGCAAGGGCGTTTGCCCCTGCGGTCCCAGCAAATTCACAGCGGCGCCCGCGCGGACGAGGTAAGAGACCAGGTCCACACGCTGAAGCTGGGTGGCTTCGAGCAACGGACTGGTGCCGTAGAGGTCCAAGCGGTTCACACTGGCACCATGGGAAACCTGCCCGGACGGGAGGAGAGCACACCCAGGGGTCCACGTCGGGGGAGGGGAAGTGAGTGGGTCAAGGCGCAAAGGATCCCTTCAAGAGTGACTCGAGGGGATACGTGGGGAGGAAAGTCAACACGAAGGGTTCATGTCCGTTTAGTAAGGCCTTTTACTATAGCATAACAATGAGCACCTAAACCATGCCGTATGCCCGTCAATATGATTCATCAAGTAGTATATAATCAATACACTAATTAATACTACTGAAGAGGGATGAACACTCTCGTGTGGTCAAATTTCAAGGCGAGAGGCCAGTAGCTCCACCATTTCCAGGTCGCCCTGTCGACATGCCTCCTGCAACGGAGTGACCCAAGCGTCATCGCAGCAGTTCACATCTGCTGAGGACTGCAAGAGATCACGTGTCAACTCGAGATTGCCCTCTATGATCGCCTCCTTGTCACAACGGAAGGTCTTGTTGCCAGTTTTGGAGTGAATTGTCAAAAAGCATGCTGCTGCCCTGAGGGCATTGTCAACAAAGTTGGGTCCTTCTGTCCCTTTGCCAAGAAGGAGTTGCTTACAACCGGAGACAAACCACCCAAAAATGCAGCTTATGTGAGGAAATCGCACAAATCCTACTTCATCTTCCAAAACCAAGCTTCTTGTAAAGCGTCGGCTCTGCAGTTCTCATTGCGCAAGTGACACCCCATGATCTTCCCCATCTCTGGCACCTGTGGTCGTGCTGCGCTCTTCGGTAGAGAGTCGAATGTTCCACTTCCCAAGCAAGCAAAGTTCTTCGTCCTGTGCTGCCGGCACTCCTCCTCGTGCTCTTCCCCATGGTCCATATGTTCCAAAGCAGCCACCCCATCCCACCTGAGTTCCTGAACTTCCCCATCCTGCTGATCCTCAGAATCCACGGAGTCCACAAGCTTCAGGGAGTCGGTCTGGTTCTTCGAATGGACCAGTGCACTGAGGCAACCCAGGCACCAAGTCAGGTGATGCGCCATCAGACAAAGCAGACTGGATGAGATGTTCTCATGGTGTCCTCGGAAATACTCGAGCCGAGTAAGTTGCAGGTGATGTATGGTCAGTGTTGTTGGCACAGTTGGCACCGAAAAAACACGTGCATGATCGTGCATGCGTCATTCCTTCGTTTCGACACATGCTTCAAGAAGGGCACGAGCCGCTCAAAGCTGTTCAAACAGTTTGTCCAAACACTTGACTCGACTACCAACTTCCAGACACAAAGCCATGAAAACATGTGAGATTCCTATGACAATGGTAACTGTTCTATCTTGATCTCTAAACGTAGAGATCATGACTTCGATTCATTCTGATTCCAAACTCGTAGGGCCAGCAAGCATTCAGAACTCGTTTCTCACCAAAACTGAGCCTTCCCGCTAAGAAGGGGCCAGTCCAAAAATCGATCTGCTGCTTCTGCTGGCGAACGAACAGGGTCCGCAAAGACTCACATTCACCTCAGTGGAGTCGACATTTGCCGAAGGAGGGTCGAGGAAGGTCGAGGAAGGTGGCTCAACATGATGTATGTAGACTCTTGATTAACAAAACACCATAAAACCATCCCCATTTGGATTGTAAAAGCTCTTATATATGGAAGTTTGTTTGATCAAGAATCAAGAGTCAACCAAGAGTCTACAATTCTGGGCAATTACTCAAGGTACTCGCATATCGATGCATATCGGAAGCCTTGCTTCAACATTGTTCTAGCCAAGAGTCAAAGATGAAAACACAATTCGCACGTGTTTCTGGACTCAGCCTCGGACGTTTCAAGGACTGGTTGTCATTGGAGAGCTCCTCGTGGGCTCGTTCCACCTCGCCGGGCCAAGAGTCCAACGACGGGCTCGTCGACGTGTTCGTGCATTTGGTCTCGGTGAGTCGGTGGGCCACTTTGTTGCGGTCGGCATTTCGGGCATCGCTACGAACGGAGCGATCGGACGCCTGTGTTTTTTTCGGACATTCTCGTTACCCTATGTTACCCTTTGCATTCAGCATGGCAGCCGGAATGGCATTCCTATAGCTTTTCCCCCTGGCACTTGCTTTCAAGTCTTGAAAACCTATCACAACGGTGTTCGTTGGCGAATTCAGTCTGCGTTTCATGTCCACAGTGCCCAGAACGACGAATTCCCTGTCGCTCCGCCTCCTGCCGCAGGCGCTCGTAGCGCCGCCGCTCGCTTCGGTCTTTCCTCGCCGCTCGCTTCGGTCGGGGCGTCTCTTCGACATAGGGTGAAGAATGGTCTGAACGGTGTAGCTCCAAGGTGAGCGGAAGGATCACTCACCGATATATGACTCTAATTATACCTGATATAGTTTTCCTTGATCAAGGAGCTATATGGACTTGTCACTGGACTTGTCACTGTCATATGGACTTTGCCATCCAGCTCCCTTGGATTGTACCAGCACTCTGTGGAGTTGCTCTGGACCTATTTCATGCATCAGATTTGCCATCTGGTCGTTGACCACCCGTATTGGCAAAATAACTCCTTCAAAAACATGGTGACTTGAATGGTGCGGCCCCCTTCAATTGCACCCAAGTCAACACGGACGTCGCGGACCTCGCGCACACGTCCTGGATTTTCGGGATGGGACTCGTTCCTCTTTTCGGCCGATGGAGGGAGGATGTTCTGCGCCCACCGAACGGTGCGGCCAAAAACGCGGTGGAGTGCTACAACCAACGGTGGACCGGGGGAAGACCGGGGATCCGGATCCGATAGGACCCGAATCATCCAGCTGTCCTGTGGTCAATCAGTTCCGGTCTCAAACCAACCCCACCATCCAGTAGGGGTCAATCCTTTGGACCCCAACCTGGGTCAAAACGGCTTGGTTGCCAGATGTGGCAAGCACTGTTCCCCACATCCCCCGAGAAAGGCCAGGCCTGTCTACGCCTGTCTATGCGATCGCAGCGCAATATGCACTAGCACGCGCGCGATCATGAAAGCTAAAAACTGATAGGACGAAGACCCTGCCCCAGTCTCTGTCCTTTGAAGATGTCCAGTGTCTTCGACCTGGACAAAAGATCTCCAAAACAAGCCACCCACTCGCCCCCCCCGTCGTCCGCGATCGTTTTCTTAGCAGGAGAAGACGGAGAACATCGGTGAAGTGAGTCACCATTATGTCGGTATGTCGGTATGTCTGGATGTAGGGAAGAAACTCCCAAGTCATTGATTCGATGTTCTCAACTACTGATGTCCGAGCTTGGGAACAATCGAGGGATGCCAGGTACGATAGAATCACCAAAAGTTGTTCACTTTGGGGGTATCCCTTCTATTCATCAACCAACCAATTGCAAAAGGCCGTCAATGTTCTCAACAATACCTTAGAAATCAGTGCTTGCTTTGTGCTTTGTTGGCCGGGAGGATTTGATGAATGTTGTGGTCCTTGACTTAAGGTCTAAAACTTTGCAGCATCCAGGTCACAGGGCAACACAATTTGCAACCACAGGGCGATCCAAATGGTGCTTTTTTTTGTTGCCTTTGACACACTTGCTGGACCCTGTAGAAGAATGCAGCTCAACCTCGTCCTCCAACCTTCAAAACACATGTTTCTCTGAGGCCCAACCTTACGTCCGACTCAAGACGGAGGTGACCGATGGCAAATGGCCGAAAACTCACATGGACAACACTCAAACACCACTGCTTTGCAGAGGTTTGCATTTGATGAAAGGTCTGACCCGGGCCTCGGGTATGCTAGGGTCTGTTGTCAAATGCTAGCTTTAAGAGTTGCTTCTCCAAAGGCCAGGAAGGACCGTCTCAGGACCAACTGGGAGCCCCCGACACCAAGTGTGAGTGCCTCTTCCTGAAGGCCGCCGGCACTCCAGGGACCGCCCAAACAGAGTCGCCCATCTAACCCCCATCCACGTCTCTATGTACGTCCCATCCGCCAAGCAAGTCGCGGGCGTCTCTATGGTCAACTTCTTTCTCTTTTGACCAGCAAGTATTGTTGTGACCTCCTCTCATTTTGAGACCATTCATCATCCTTCTTCCAGTGTTTCACGAGCAGCCATCGAGTTCAGCTGTGGAGTTAGTGTTGTCGCAAAAGAACAAGGATCCAACAGACTCCAGGGCAAATGAACAGCCAAACAGCCCTTCACCTATCTTCACCTCCTTCGCCCTGGCTAGGTTGAAAAGGATTCCATCGGAGTGTCAAAAACAGAAAGCCAAAGAAAGAAACTGATGCCCGGTCCCGCAAAGTTTGTTGGAACTTCTCATCTGATCTGTGACACTATGAGTCTATGAGGTGCTTTTTCCGAAATTCCTTGTGCAATTTTCAGGGCAACCCAGGGACCCAAACTGAGCCCTTGGAACCCTGGCCAGAGCCATACCTGACGTCTCTTCCTCTCTTGCAGGTCCTCCATTCCAGGCATTCCGAAGGTCGGGCGCCTGCTACTAGACCTTGCTCAGGCAAATGCCATTCCAACAATTCAGATTCAGAGCAAACTGGTGACTTTCTCGGGGAAGTTGATGAGAAGATTTCCAAGCTGCAGAACCAGGGTGGATTGTTGAGAGGAGAGCGATCAACAAGTTAGCTTAAACATGCTTAAACACCCTGCGGCACCAGCCACCAACGATGCTCCATCCGAGTTCCATGGCTCTATGGCTACATGCTCAACTTGCAGGGTTTCTGATGGAAGAACCGGAGGCGTGAACCATTCCGGGTCCGGTGTGTTTCAGGGAAGATTCCCCAGTGTCATTTGGCATCACCCGATTTTAATACACACCCATGTTACAATCAACATGATCGACCATTGATCAATGATCACTGGCATAGAGAGAAAGCGATTCATCAGCATCCTTGCAATCCTATGCAATCCTTCAGATGCATCTGGAACCAACAAACCCACTACGCATCACTACTCCAGTCGTTTCTGCTCATGAGGGGATGTCTCCGTGACCGTGAAAACCTCGGGGACCAACCGCAAAACGATGCAAAACTGACGTCTTTGTGGATGGGCCTCTAATTCCATCGGTGGCATACGGCGGAGCTCTTCTTTCCAGTATCAAACATGGGGTGTTGAAGTGAATTACAGTAGGTTTTTTGTCCGATGACTTTCAGAGAGTTTCACTTCGATGGCACAAACTCCGACCATTGCACAATCCGCCTTGGCCGCGCAAAACCAAAAGAAGCCCGGAATGGGTCTGTGCATATCTGTGCATGTCCGGTTCCATGTGATTCTGGTCAGCCTGCCTTGGAGTCCGATTCTGAGCCATATGAGGTGCCCCTGCGGTTCGCTGTGCGGGTGCGGTCCGCTGTGCGGGTGTCCGCTGATCGGGTGTCTGAAGCGGAGAGGCGGGTTGGAGGTCTCCCCCCGCTGCAGATTGGAGGTCTTGAACGGTTCTGTCAGGAATGCAGCTGATGAATTTCGGGGAAACCATGGGAAACATGAAATATCTGGGAAATGTGTCCTGTGAAATAAATGACCAAAGTTAAAGCCTCCAAACAGAGTGTAGAGCGATGATGGGACTTGGACTTGGTCATCAACCAGAAAGTTTGCTTTGCTGAATTTCAGTGACCATGGGCTGCAGCAAGACAAGCCTGCTGTGCGAATATACTGGTAGGCTTGTAAGACCAGCATTCCGACTGATGGTACAGACCAGCCACTTGAACTCCCTTCAAAACAACATGGGTCTTCACCTAATAAGTTGCTTAGGTGGAGCACAACAAAATAAAGTGCGCATTCTCGAATTCCTTACAGATTGCTTACCTAACAACATGCCTCCACCCTTGCCTCCACCCATGCCTCCACCCATGCCTCCACCAGCCCTACCACCACGTCTTGGAATTCGTCCCCAAACCCGGCCCAGGACTGGCCAGGCTAGGCCAGGTTGGGCCTGAGGGACTGAAGTTGACCCGCGCTTCAGCCTCAGGACATGATGAGACACTTCAATCAGCATGTGCAGGCGCGTGTTTTTTGCTCGTGTGGACGGCACCGGGGCCCGGGCTACATGGCTGGGACTCACAGGGATAAACTGGCTCTTGCGCTGGCTGTGGATGGCCTTGCTGTCCTGAGGATGGACATGAAAAAGTAAGGGAAAGAGAAATTGAAATAGGAAGTAGCTTCGGACAATTGACATGGCAAACTATAGCGTGACGTTCCTTCGATAGGTGGGTTGCTACGTCCAGAGGCCCTTTTCTTTGTACACCTTTGGTGAATGAAACTCGCAACTAACTAATCGCAAGTTCCAAACACTCCCTTTGAACATCACCATTTACTGAGCCCAAGCAAAAAACACACCAAATGGACAATATAGATCGATAGATGATAATTATATAATTAGATGTAATTTCAACAAGTACGTGGACCTGGTGGTGGTCTCCGGCGTGCTCAGATTTCCCGGCAGGCACAGTGAATCATGAATCTTGGAATGGTCGCTCATTGTTTGAATTTGAGGGAAGTCGCGGGCAAAGGCTTGGCTTTGGCGTATCAAGAAGTGGTCTTTGGTTGTGCGAACGAATTGCGAGATCCGCCGCTGTGCGCCGCTGTGCGATGTGAGGTTCTGTTGAAGGTCGGATTTGGACACGCCTTTGAGAACCGCTAGCCATTTCAGCTGCAGATCGCACATCGCTTCTTGCAGAATTGTTCCTATAGTCTTGTCTTCCAAGGGGGCCATGCCGGCCATCCCACCAAACCATGTTTGGTTCTGCAAGTGTATGTTTCTTTTGAATGGCTCAAGCGCGAAGGAATCCAAAGGAATCCGAAGGAATCCAGAAGGAATCCAGAAGGAAAGAAGGAATCCGAACTAACGGATGGGGATCCAAACGTACTCCCAACCAAACCCACCTGCTTTTTGGATGCTCCACCGGTGGGACCGCCTCTCGGTGTCACCGACCCAGCACCGGTCCGTGGCCATCGCCAGGGTGGAGAGGCTGGCACTGCGGTGCGCCAGCCTGGTGGCGCGGAAGAACAGAGATGAGCAGATCGGTCAGATGGGGTATCTCAGATCTCCATGTCAGAATATACCAATACCAGGGGCGGTCAATGTTGTTTGTTCAAAAAGCCTGCCCTTCTGGGTCAAAGTGGTCTTTCAAAGTGGCCTTGGCGTGTCTTCGCATGTGTTGATCCTGGCTCTACATTGGTGCTTTGTGGAGTTCGGAACATGTGCATTACTCTGGGCTGATCTTCCATAACAGGTCATGAATCCTCTAAAGCATTGAATGAAAAGAGACAAAAAAGCGGGCAAAGGCTTGGGACACGAGGATCGTAAAGGAATCTGAAGAGCAGCAGGAGAAGCTGAAACTCTATTGTGAGTATGCCTGCCAATGCTCAAGGATTTGCGTCCCTCGCAACCCACTACAGCATCTACACATGACTCAATGGTTCATTTCTGAGGCCCCGCACAAAGGGCTGACGCAGAAGATCAGGGCAATTCCACATCCGGGACGCAAATACTCCCAGAGACACTTGTTGAGCACACTCTGCCTGGACGTCGGCGGATGCAGTAAGCGGAGAGGCGTGCGAAGCGGCGCGACAAGACCGGGGAAAGCGGAGACCACGAGTGTTTGGAACCTCCGAGAGGCATGGACAACACGTCGTTGCCTCGGCTGATTTGATGTGATCTATTTCTTGTGTGCTCAGGCTATCTTGGTTCATCACTTCTTCTCATTCGGATCCTCAAGAGTTAAGAGGCTCAAAGCAGCAGCTTTTTCTGAAGCTACTTATTACGGGAAACGAGAAGATCAGATTGTCCTCACCCTTTGGAGTGCCCTTCACATCCACTAACTCAGCAAAAGGGATTTGCTCTCTGTGATACGTACCCCAGGCATGTTCAAGATATGATGCGTACCACATCTGCTGCGTTTTAAGCATCACTGACAAAAGGTCTTCTTGGAGTTCCAAATCTCGTCCGCGTCGTGGCCAGGAGCTCGTCAGAAACACCAGCGATCTCATGGTGATATCTCCGAAATCAAAGAAAGAGATGCAAATCGTCAAGCAAGCCCCTTTTAGACACACATATATGATTAATTGGATATCCGATCATCCAAATGGACCTCTCCCATGTTCAAAACAACCATCCTAACCATCCAAAGACCGGACCATCCAAACATCTGCAAACATCTCCAAACATCTCCAAACCAACCAACCGTTCACCATCCGTTTGGTTGAGCACTGTTCGCTCCCCCTTCACAACGGTTCCCAGGTTCCCCCCCACTCCCCCGCCACCTCCGTTCCGATTCCTCCAGGCAGCCCATCTGAGGCGGTGGGGTGGGGTGGCTCGACTGGTGCCGACTGGCCGTGTCTTTTGCTTTGTTGTGTTTTCCACCGGGTGACGGAGTTTTTCTCACCTCAAAAAACCAAGGGTGTGTGTGTGTGTGTTTTTTCCATGGTGTTGTTTTCCCAGTTGGCCTTTATATTAGGATGTTCTAAAGGTCCGGTCCGATGACTTGGTTCATTGACTCGTGCTTGACTCGTGGGGGGTCTAAGTACTGTTCTTCTTTCTGGCCACAGCTAGGTAGAGAACTTCACAATGCCCAACACATGTTCTATCATCGGGGGTTCACTCAAAGCTATTGGTTGGCATCTCCAAAACCTGCACCTATTCGATTTCATTCGTTTTCTATCCCTCTGACTCTAACTGACAAAAACATATCCCTCGCCTGGAGCTTCCGCAGCAAGCGGTTGAGGGAGCAAAGAGAGGTGTTCAGCAACCGCGCTGACTTACGGCCCTGCTCCGAGGGGTTCTCGTGCTCCTGGTCCAGATGTTGTTGAAACGAGACGACCACCCGAAAGCTGGGGAGGGTGGGATCTTCCAATTCAAGGGGATTTCAAGATATTCCAAGTGGTGTAGAATCTTCTGATCATTCTTGTCTACTGTTGTTGTTTTTCTGGTGGTAGGGGACACCTCCTGTAGACATACACGGAAACTGGTTGGTGGTGAACTCCACATAACAATGGATTCTTTCAGGGAGTCTAGGTGTCTCTGGTGTCTCTGGTGTCTCTGATGCTCCTTCTCGGTGCCCGCCAGGTCAACCAAGGTCAAGGTGCCGATGGCGGAGCTCTCATGCGGTCCGGGCGTCCTGGGTGGCTTTTCTACAGGGAGCCCCTCTAGCTTGCTGGCCTCAAAGAAACCAACACATGAAAATAATTATTGAACAATATAATAGATATTATTGATCCTTGATCATATATGATGGGGAAAGAAACCAAACTTGGGTTCCACTGATTTTGAGACATTCGTAACACCTATTAGCCGCACTTCCCTCCACCGAATGGCCATTCAGAGGAAGGGCTCCTCAAAGATTGCCAGACCAAGTGCAAGTGGACTTTTCTCAGAAAGGAAAGATGCTGACTCGAAGCAGTGGCCAACTAGAGGATCTCAAAATGCTGGTTGAGAGTACTGTGAGGTTTTGTAATGTTTTGTACCCTTCAAAGCTACACTTGAATGGCTTGCAAAAGGGGACCTGTCAAGGTCTTTATCCCTTGAACTTCCCAAACATTACCAAACACCAAGCACCAAACACCATCTTCACTGGAACCGGACACCGGCAGATGGAAGATCCCAACAAAATTCACCTCGAGAGCCGAGATCGCCGAGGTGCTGGACAAAGAGATGTACCATAGCATGTGACCTGGTGAGCAGGGAGGGCAGGGAATGTGATCTGGTGGGCAGGGCGGGGAGTTGTTGTTGTCCAGCCCAGAAAGAACCAAAGCATACCGTTTCACCTGCAAAGGCTTTAGAAAGAACCAAGCACCTCCTGTCATTCTGTCTTGTTTGGCCTACATCTCGCACCATGGCGGCCGATTTCTCGCACCATGGCGGTACTTCTTCTTTCGCACTTCCTAATGGCGTTACATCCAAACCTTGGCTCAAAGACACAGGGACTGTGGCGGATGGGCGTTTGATGGCGTTTCTATACGGAGGAATTTTAAGAAAGAGCTTTGAGATAGAGGATCTTGGGGATTCGATTCCAAAGAGCTCTGGGACTTGAATGATCAAGCTGCTACAAGACCACTCACTCCCATCAGTGGGAACTTCCTGTACCTTATCGAATACACATAATAATACACCGTCAGTCAAGAAAAGCTGTGGGGAATCTCAACAGAATGGGTATCTGTGGTTTCTAGTGGAATCATCTTTCCGAAGCCCATGTTCAACTTCTACCATAGCTTGCTTTGACTTGCTTTGGGTGTAGTCATTCTGATTGCGCTTGCTGGAACGCTCTGGACTCCTTGCATGCGATGAACATGAACTAACGAAAAAAGATGTCGAGCCTCGATGAATCGCTGTTCTGTGAGGACACACCTGAGGTCAACATGGAATCCGATCAAGAAGAATGGAAAAGGACGATGATGCTTGCAGAATCCGACCCTTCGAGTCATCTTCCGACCCTTTGAGCCTAAGGCACCACCTGAGACCTTAAGGCAAAGGACCATTCTCTCTTCTCTCTTCCTAGCAGGGCCCTTCTCGGAGATCACCTCCTCTTTCGGAGGTCATGAGTTATTTTTCCGCACCCAAAAAGCGTTGGAAAAAGCGGTGTCCGCTTTTCTTTCAGTTCTATTTTTGTTTGGGCCTCACAGCTTGGCCCCAGGTCAGACGCTGTGGGGCCACGTGGTCCGGCCGATCGACCGATCGCCCAACTGGTCGGTGCGTGCCGAAGGCCGGACCTGAGGTCCTTCTGCGGCGTGCCAAGTGCAGTAGGGAGAGGCATTGCTCGGCAGAACGGACGTGACAAATCCTCAGAGACCCCAGAGACCCCAAGTCCAACGTCCTTGCGTCTTCGTTCGGAACTGGGTGACATGATAATCGAATTCTAGAGTCTTCATGAAGTTTGGATCTTGACCTATGTTGGGCATTACCACTGCTTCCATTGGCTTTCCAGCTCCTGGGCATCACACCTTGGAAGGGTTTAGCTGGGATCATAAAGCTAAGGAGAATAGGGGAGAGACTGGAGTGTGAGTGCGCAGGGCATTTAGTCTGCAGGTAGGAGGACTTTCAAACACGCCTGATTTGAAGTAGATGAAGACTTGGTCGTGTTGTGGAGGTCTTTCCTTTCAAGACGGAGCAATACCAACCTCTATCCGCTGGTGCTGCCGAAGTCACTGATATCGACATCGTTGTGTCTTGATAAAGAGCTCGTCATAGACGATGTCATCTTCCGTCAGAGATCCTGCCACAATCTGAGTGGGCCTCAAGGGGTCCCTGGTAGTGGACAAAACAACAAGAGAAAACCCCTATGGAACGCATTTCTCCTTGAACATGGGCATTCAGGGCAAATCAGAAATGCAGCGGCAGTTTATACCCAACTGTTTAGGCCTTCTGTTGTACGGCACCTGGTTGACAGCATGTTTCCCGCAAACAACCTGAAACGCCCAAAGATTCGTATTCGCATTCGCCATGCTTTCCTGTCCTTCCGCTAAGAGGCTTGAAGAATCCTGGGAGAAAACAGCAGGAAAAAACACAAAGACACGAGGGATAGTCCCTCATGCACTGGTTCACCTGCTGCGGCAAACACGAAGATGTGGCTTTGGCATCCCAGTGTACCCTAATTGCAGTGACCATTGTTTGACATTTGTTCTGAACCCACTCTGCTTGCATGCAGGAAACAAAGTCCAAGAAAAAGTGAATGGTTGATCAGCCACTGAGTATACCTTCCCTAGACATCCTTGTCCTAATCAACTCCAGCCAACCAAACTCTGCTGATTTGACAGGCTGATCACCACGGAAACCTTCACCTGCTTCGGGGTGGTTGTTGAACGGCAAAAGGGTGAAGTAAAGGGAGGGAACCAAAAACTTGAAGTTGATTGACCTTTGAAACAAGTATGTAAATATATGTAAATGGTAATTACGATTCTGACCTACGAGAGAAACGTTGTTCACTTGGAGTTCAACTTCAACTTTATGAAGCTTTAAAGCCATTGGGACTTCAAGAAACAGTTTGGTGCCCAGCGAGAGGCGCGGTCAGATCCGGCCGTAATTCGAAAACTTGCTTGTGATGCTTGTGGCCGATGGCGAACGATTGGCTGAGCCACGGGAAGTTGTTTCCCTCCGACTTGTGTTGGTATTTTTGCGGAAAGAAATAGCCAAGGTTCCACCAAGTCGGTCAAGGTGTCACCCAGCACCTCGTAGCCTCAATGGTTCCGCTTCTTTGAATGATTGGACAAGTGAACCAGGGTTTTCCCCATATTTTGGGGGGGATGGTCGAGGTTGCCAAGGGGTACTGAATGTGTGAAGAGAAGATTCCACCAGGGTGGTGAACCCAAAGGGGGTTCAAAGGGCCTGAACTTCTGTAATGAAGATAGGAGACTGAGGAGACTCTATGGGATTCTACTGGTACGCTCCCAGCTACTCACATGGCAATGAAACCTCACTGTCTTCCTATATCCGCACTATCTTGTTACTACCAACAGGACTACTTCTTCTTCTCCAGGTTCAACCTGGGACGCCACCGAATGCCAAATGCACAGAATACCACGCAAAAATCAGAAAACTAAAATAGACCTGCTGCCAGTCTTCACAAAAGGCGAGAGTTGCCCAGGGCATGCCCTACCAACAGACTTTCAATTAAGTCAAAAAGTGCCCCAACTGCAGTCAAACTTCCGTTTACCCTCACCTTCGGCGAAACCTAGGCCCCAAGGCCTGCTCTCCGTGAATGTGTTCTCAGTATTTTCGCAGTATTTCCCAATCTCCGATTGTCTTGCTCCAAGTGGCAGCACACGTGCACCGACACGCCCTCCACATGGGAGGCACCCTGGAAGACTTGTCGAACGAAGAGCTGCAATAGACCCAGCTCTGAGGCACCTCGACAGCGAGCATTTCGTAGGGTGGATGATGAAGATAAGCTCTTCCCAATGTGGCAGGCTACCTGTACAGTAGAGTTGGGGAGTGGAGACACGTGTTTAACATGAGTCCATTCACACGCAAGAGTCTAAACATCAAAGTAGTACTGTCTAATCTATCTCATGTGCATTCCAACCCCTTTAATTGACAAGTGTCCCTTTCTCTAGAAGCAGTAAGAACAAAAATACACAACGTATTATCTGGGCTCTAGATCTTCTTGCACCACTTCCATCTCCCAGGCTACCTGGTTCGAACTGGGGCTGTTCAATTTGGCCAGGCAATTCATGACATTAGAGGAACATGGAGCGCCAGCAACCACGACCCAACCGCGCTTCTTCGAACTCAACTCACCAAACGAGCTCAACTCACGCTGCGCCGAGTTGCTCCCGAAGATCGTGTGCGTCTTACCGCTGCCCGTCCTGATACTCGAACGACTGTTGTGACACCAACGGTGTCGTGCGCAGAAGAGCTCCCTAGAGGTTGGTATAAAAGTCCAAACATGAGCAGGGATGGCTCAACTTGGTACACCAAAACCTGTGGGCAGAAAATCAGAGTAACTTCATCCAACTCCCAAAACAGCCCCCTGCCAGATCCTTTGCGTTCTTTTGCTCATCCATGGTCGGTCCACGTGCCCTCCTCACCGTCTGACCGTGACCTCGGTCTGACCTCTTCCGTCTGAGAACCTCCGTCCGACGGCCAGCGACGCGTTCTCCGCGTTCTCCGCGTTCTCCGCGTTCTCGGCCGCTGCCGCCGAGGCACTGCCCATAGGCGAAGAGCGTCTCATTGACCCCGCTGAAGACGCTGTCGGTCAAGGCCGGTCCCTGGAGAGACCCACACGACCGGCGGAAGCGCGGCTTGGGGCGAGAAGGCGGGAGAAGGCGGAGCGCTCAGGACTCGAGCCGGCATCGCGGGGGGGCTGCGTTTCAACAGCTTTGGTGCAACGAGGAGCGGGCAGAATTGGTTCTATAGTACCTAACTAGTTGGTTGATGTTGGTTGAGGTATTGCTTGCTTCTTAGAATTCCAATGGATGCTCCAAAATTGTTCTTAGAAACTAGAAACCAATGCTTGCCTGAATGGAGCACAAGAACCTGTGGCTAAGCAATGATGATTCCAACAAAAACTGCAGCGACCCATGTTCCATTTGTTGCAAGAATTCACAGGACGACAATCTCCTTGGACGGGTGAGGTGCCCTCAACAAAAATTGGTTGCAGCTGCAGTCAGTGATTCACGTCAGTAGGGCAAATTCATCGTTGCTCATGGCTTTTGAGCCACTTCCGGCTCTTTGAGTCAACTTCCTCCACATGTGTTCCACATGTGTTTCACATGTGTTCCTTGGGTCAACTTTCTTCCACCCCTCACAGCACGTCCTGCACCGGTCCCTCCGACCCCCCCTGACCACCCCCCTCCGCTTTCTCCCGAAACCGACCGGCACCGTCGTGCGGAGGAGTCGGGACCGGCACGTTCGTTCGACGACGGGAACTTCGTCCTGCAGGTCCTCGAAGAGCTTTCGGTTCTCCTCGTCGGGTCCAAAGACGCGGGTGAACTCATACTCCTGCCGCTCCGCTCCGTCCGTCCGTCCGCCGTCGACCGCGGAAGCGAGGGAGGAAGCGAGGCATCACGCGGTGAGGAACGGAGAGAGGGATCACGGCAGAAACGAGGAGGGCGCGGTATGACCAGAAGCCGAGGATCCAAGCCTAGTGGTAGGTCCGGTAGGTATTGATTGCTGGTGGCAAACAAAGTCAAAAGTCAAAACAACATTCATCAGCATCACATCACATCCCATCCATCGTTATCCATCTTCTCCACGCCTTTCATCTACAGTACATCAGTCGAGCTCTTGAGAAGTTCTTCGCATTTCCAGCAAGCCTCACGAGTAGACACCTCCCGCACCTCCAGCAAATAGCCACGGTGGCAGCACACGCGAGTGGCGTTGGATTCCAAGTCAGCCCACAAAGACACCGGATCTTCGCATAGACTGGGCCTCACATCCAAGTTTGAAACCCTGAAAGGCCCTGAAAATAGGAAGATTGATGTAGCTCAAACATCCAGTCTTTGTCCTTTCTCTACCAAATTGACTTGTGAGACGTGTGTGAACTTGGAGTTGTGCCCTACTAAAGTGTCTATGGATTTGCACGCATTCTACGAGGTTCTGACCTGTTCTTTCGTTTGTGCGCACAACGCATATGTGTCTGTCGATAACGCAGCCTCCATATATCATGCCAACATGCCAACCATCACTCATTCATCTGGTCAAAAGCATTCCAAACATCCTGTAGGATAAAGTCAAGCTCTCTGTCAAACCCATTCTTTGTTGATTGTTGTGCCAGTCACTGGGGAAGATGACAGTCTGACGCACCCTTTTCAAGAAGTCTACACCGAGCATGAACCGTTTCAAGAAGCCCCTCAAAAAGACTCGACGGTGAATGTGACACTCTGCGCACCCCTACAGAAAACTGACACAAGTGTTCCAAATGTTAACCTTTCCCTCAACAAGTGCCCTGTTCTTCGGAGATCCTTTGAGTCAGAAGATCTTTCGTTTCGAAAACCAGCCCAGAAGACGGCTGGTGGACCAATTTCGGGTCCCATCGAATGCTGATGCTTGGCCTTCAGAATTTGACCAACTTGGACATAGAAAATGGATTTCACATCGCTGGATGGGTTCAATATGGTTTCATAAATCTCCAATGATTGGGTGAATCCACAAAAGGTGGCAAAAAAAACCTTTCGGGGGGTTCCTAGGATGTCCTAGGTGACCCACGTCATGGTGACCGCTGTGACCCCTGTGATTGATTCATTCATCAAGAGGTCTCAACCGAAGGTCTCACACACTGAAGACTGACCCAGCCTGATGCGAACCGCCACCTGACAGGCGAAGCGCTCGTCTCAACGGCTTCGGGGCCCCATGAGCCCCACGGTTCAGGGAGGCTCCGCTGATGTTTCATCCTGCGGCCCAGTGGCCAAATGGGACCAATGCGGCAAATGCGTTTTGAACTTCCGGGGAACCCAAAAATGTTCATCCTCAACAGAGGTATGTCATTTCTTAGTCAAATTGTTTGGTTGGACAGGGACTGCGTGGTTCAAGAAATCAGATCACAAAGGACAGCCTGGTGGCCGGCTGCGATGCAACTGAGCTTGCAAAAGAAAGGCCTGGCTTTCATGCTCTTACGTTGGTCTCATGTTCATGCGGCTTGCCAGTGCTGCCCTGCAACCCGGACCTCCTTACCGCACTCTGAAGTTCAAAGCGCAATCATCCAAAGCAGTGGTGGTATGGCCAAATCCCAAGTCAACACCACTTGATCTTGGTGATTCATCAAAGTCCACCAGTCATTGAGTCTTGCGGTATGTATAGTTGTCCTCCTCCCGACAAGCCTAAACACCCACCCAGGGATGTTAGGACAACGTAGGACAACCAGGTTCTTCAATCATATGGGTCCTACAATGTCCTACAAGTGTCTGCGGCATGTCCAAACTACGTGAGGCGGGAGTTTCAGAGTTGCCACTTTAACTGGCTATTGCCGACGACAGACTTCTACTGCATTACATTTTCACCTCATTTCGGCAGCAACTTCGCAGTGGGTGGCCACCCTTCTTACGTCAATAGGTTCCCAAAAGACTCACAAGACAAGGAATCCGAACACACATATTGTTACATAAATGGTATATGATAGAACATGATAGAACACCGACCGTTTGAAGGGGTCCATTTGAAGGGGCGAACTTCGCTCGTTCGCAACGGCCCTGACAGAACTTGTCGAGTTTGAGGGCCCCAGCTGAGACGAAGGGAGCAGACTTCATGGGCAAACCCCTGGCAAATCGACGGAGGGACGGCAGGACATGGGAGGACATGGCAGGACGGCATCACAATGTTGAGTCTGCACCTTATGGGTCATGTGAATCAATCAAGAACCTATTCAGTGGCAAGTGGCAACCTCTTGAAAACGTTATCTGTACGCTGCCATTGTTTCAAATAAGCATGTCCATCTACTAAAAATACCAATCGGAAGCCAATACGTTCACAATCTTTCACAGATTGGAGCAATGTGAAAGTTGAAACGACATGTCTTTCGCGGCTTGATTGTTTGTTCGGGGATGACTTCCACCTCCTCAGAGGCCACAAAGATCCCCTGTCGATCCCCCATGTCGACGACTCGGACAGTAGCACATCTAGAACGCCAGGACGAGAAGGACAAGAATTGTTCATGTTTGAGGTCTAAGAGTCTAAGACTAAGAGTTTAAGAGGGATCTAAAGGGACTCTTCTACCCAACATGCAATATGTTCATCAGCCAGGAGGTCCTCCTAAGGTTCTTCGATGTTCTTCTACAACTCACTTCAGGTTCTGTCATCACATGTCATCACTCAACCCGGTTCGCTGTTGCTTGAGGTTCTTCGCACACATGATTGTTCTTCCAAAAAGGGCCACCAACTTCTTCCAAGAGAAAGGGCAGCAACTCTCGACATGTTTTCCATGTTTTTATGCAGAATCCAACAGCAATCGAACCAAAGTGCACCGACCCACCGACCCCCACTGCATCGAATCTGCAGGAATGAATGAAAAGGACCCGGACCGCCTCACGTCGGCCTGGACCAGCTACGAGCATGCGAGAACATGGAGAAATCGTCCAGCAAAAGCTGCAAAACCACGGGAAACTGAGCAAAGTGTTATAGAATCGAACACCCCCATGGGTTCCATGTTTGGCGTTTTGAGGTGTTGTTGTGAGGCGAAATGATGGAAGGTAGAAGAATCCGGTTAAATGTTTCCAAGTGTCACACCTTTCTGCGGCTTCCTCTGATTTCCGATTGTGCCTCATCTTCCTGAACTCAGCCCAACTGGTTTAGTGATTCTGACAAAACCTTCTCCGTAGCAAACTTTCTCCACAACACGACCAGCCGCAGGCTGCAGCGCTTGCAGCTGCTATGGCTTGAGCAAGCACTTGGATTCATGAATGACGGGACCCATACAAACAACTGGCAAAAGTGAAAATAGAATCAATCCATTGATACGCGTAAATGCAACAATCATGGAAGTGGAGGAAAGCAGAATACATGTTAGTTTTCCGAGGGACCATTTTCGGGTTCCATGATTGTTGGAGGGAGGGCAGCAATTCAAACACATACCCATTCTGATCCGCCGCATCTCTGCAAGCCTCTGCACGAGCCATGGCTCATCAGCGTGCATTGAGTGTACTGGCCATAGGCCGAGCATGCATTTGGACTAAGAAATATAAGTGTACTCCGGTCGATGGCTGGGGCTGTATCAAACCAAAGACATGCCATGCACAGTCACAGTCTATGGCCATCAGTGCACCAAGGAGTCCAAGGACATCTAGACATGCTGCAGAAGGCCAACAAAGTGATACATATTGAAGGTTCGCAGGCAACTTTGCACGGGTCCTTTTTCAACAACCATTGGCTAGCAGTGCGTTTGACCATTGCACAGTTGATCACACATCTCTGGAGTCTCCATATAGACGCATCTTTGATTTGCTTGGAACCTTCCACCTGAGCTCCGCATTTCAAGCTTCTTTAGCTTCTCTGCGGTTATGCTGAGAGAGAGAGAGAGAGCGCGGTCGTACAATAGCTGCTGCTAGCTGATCAACCACTGATGACTTTCCGTTCAGGAAGTCAGGATAGAAGTTTGGAAGTCGCCACCTCTTCTCGCGACCCCGGCGAATTTCGCCACCCCAGGATCGAACCAAAAAACAAGAATCATTGATACACCCAGGAGTATCATCCAAACTGAATCAAATTGGCGGATATTGATGGCGTTTTTTCGTGGTTGGTCGCCAACGGTTTGCCTTCTATTCTGAATGGCCATCCGACTATAGAAGACCTTTATCCACCATTCCTCCCGCCAGTGCTCCATCAAGCCCCCTCCCGCAGCCCCACCCGCGCCCAAAAAAAGAGGCCCAATGAAGATGCAATGAAAAGTCTAAGTTTGAGCCACACGAAGGGTTCTGCATGAGGCTAGGTCAGTAGAGTCTGCATGCGAGTTTACGACCTTAAATTCTCACCTGTGAAGGATGTTGCGCAAGCTCCAACCACTTTTTGTGCTTTGCGTCAATCCACGATCTCTGCATCCAAATGCGCTGAGGCCATGTGCGCCTGGAATTGACTGCTTGGTTTTCTCCATTCAGGATTGCTATGGCATACTGGACTTCAGGAGACTGGGAGCCTGTGACGCACAGCAGAAGACGTTCGCCCTGGGCGTTGCCCCATCGAAATGGCAAGGGCAGAATTCTCGGCCAATACAAAGAGGTTGTTGTCCACTTCCATGATTGGTTCAGGAAAGCGTAGAATTCATGATGATTGTGATTCATTTACTTTCTCATACTTTCCCTGAGTCCTCTGAAAGGGGCCAAGAAAAAAGGGAAAGCATCGAGCAGGAGAAAGAATGGCACTTCGACCAAACGGTGGGAAAACACAGACCCAACGCCAGAGCAAAACATCTCCAGTCAGGTCACGAAACGTCCTTACGCCTCCGAACTGGTGCCCATCAGCACCGCCCCATCACGGGTGCAGAACAAGTCGAACAAGTCACAGGAAGAATCCCTAGCTCCGAGAGCCTTAGATATCTTAGATGAAGTCGAGAGCCCCTCTTGACCCTTACCACTTGGACCGCACCAACCCCACCGACCCCAGCACCAGGGAAGGCCCATGAAGGCCCCAGGGCCCCGCAGGGCCGCAGGCAGTCCTTGCGCGGCACCAGGTTCTCCGCATCGTCCATGTCCTCCTGAAGTTGAGGCAAACATGCCGCACTGTTCGCCATGCATCACAAGAAAAGGCGGATCATCATCTGCTCCCTGAGGGTATAGAAAGATTCTTCCGTCACCCGTCTACCAAAACATGCCTTTCTACATCCTTCTACCCAACTGTCCGCCCGAATTTGTTGCTGTCTCGTTGCACTTTCTTCAGAGATTTCTTCGAAAAAGAAGGGGGCAACTTTGTGGGCTATTCGCATCACGTTCCGAAACAAGGTGATTTCCCCAACTCTTGGTCTCCACCTGCCATCCTCCCGAGCTCCAGTTGCTTCGCCCAGGCGGACAGGTCTTTGGACCTCACCGGCTGATCCATTTGCAGCTCCTGCGCCGGAGCGTCCACCCTTCGGAGCCCGGGTCGGTGGTGGTCCGTGGGTCGGATCGGTCTGAATGGACGAACGGAAGGACCAGAAAGTAGATGGTTTGAATCAGTGATTACTTAGTTCACCTTAGTGAGAAACTGGATTCATCCCAATTCATCCCCAAGTAGATCACAGGTTGGAGATCAGTGAAGAATTGAGTTTCAATTCGATGTCAGGAAGACTCTTCGCCGGCATCAGCTTAGGCCCCTTTTCTCTCTGGTCGCTCAAATGAACGTCTAAAGCTGGATCTCCAAATGGTTCCCTTAACTCCATTGGGCACCAGTATCGGACTTCCCGGACTCCATCCATCCGGTGATTGGAAGGAGCATGTTGAGCCAAGGATGTGACATGTCATCATGCCTTCGCTTCCACATCTTCTACTTCGCTGCCTTCTTCCAAGAGCTTTGCCCACTTCGCACAGTAGCAGGTGTTCTTGCAATTCACCCAGTGCAGGCATGAGCGCTTCTGAGTTCCGTAAACTCAGAGCTTCATGCATGCCTCTTTGATACTCACTGATAAGCCCTGCTTCTTCACCAGTACCTCACCAGTACCAACCAGATTCAGAACCAATGTGGCGTTGCTATTGAATCCCAAACAACCTAAAACGTCTGCACGCACATCTCACTCACATTTACAGTATCTCAGATTCATCTCACAGCACGGAAGCGCGAGCAAGTCACTAGCACAAACCATGCCCTGTGCGTTGCCCTCTTGGCCCAGGTAGTACTTGGAATTGTCGGGGCACCTCAGCAACCAAGAGATTGTTTGGAGAAGAAATAGACTTAGCTAGCTACAACACCGCTTAACAATGTGCTTGATCTTGCTTTTGATTCTTCAAATCCCCACTCCCGCCCACCAATAGACTCGACAAGGCACTTCTTCCACTCGTTGCAATCAGCCTCTTCAAGCCCTAAACCTTCGATCCTGAGGACAGCACAGTGTCATCACGTCAACTACCCGTATTCCCTGCCATCTCCTGCCACTCGCTTATCCAACCCGCTCATGTATAGCAATGTATATATGACACAACAGAAAAAAAATGGTGCTGAACAAATGGACTTCATCTCCACAAGCCGTGTTTAGTGACTTACTGAGAGGCATGCAATGGACTTCACTCTTTTGAAAAGGTATGCAAAGGTATTGTATATTGAATGGAATGAAATGGAATGAATCCAAGTTGAAATCGGTTCGGCGAGCATCTGAAGCAGGTCAAAGAGCACTCACCCTCACAGCTGTCATCCAGCAAGGCATTCACCTCCTCTTCCACCAGGGTACCATAGGCATAAGCCATTGAGACGCAGAAGAGCACTCGCAAGAAGTTTGCCATGACTCAGGGTTCAAGCAATCGATGAGGAAATTTAGACAAAAATAGAGCATTGAGACTTCTCCGTACTTATCCCATGTTCACTCCGCCCAAAAAATCACATTCAAAACTGATGTGATCACCAACCAAGTTCTCGAGGGATTTCGAGTGCTGAAACCGGCTGCGCCAAAGGCTGCGATGCACAACGACGAGTCACCCCCAAATGGTGGTCAAATCCATGCGACAGTTCCCGAAAAGAAGCATTATGCATTGTGCACTCAAACTCAAAAGGTCAAAGAGTCCAGCTCAGCTCAAGCCGTGCTCCGCTTGCTCCCGCTCTCCTCCAGAAGCTTCCGACTCCGAGCTCGCAAGTCTCGTAGCTGAGCCAGTACATACTGGCCGCCCACCGGAACGACGGAACGACGGGAAGGACAACGTCCACGGGGAGGTCCCCAATGGACGAAGCGGAGCAAAGCATGCGGGCCCGGGGTGGTTTCCGAAGCGACGTGGTGGGTGTTTTTTCCCCGAAGCGATTGAAATGCGGAAACACCACCAGAAGCGGAGCAAAGCTTCACCGCCGGAAGCAGAAAAATAGCTTTGAAGATCTTGGAAGCTACCTTTGGGAAAAAACGGATTGTTTGAGGCCCCAACAGGTCCCCCCCCAACGAGGGCGAGAATCTCCGAGCCTGGTCACCATGGCCGTAGCAAGGCCAAAGCCTTACAAAGCCAAGTACAGGAATTTGATTAGTCACCTTAAAGATCTTGAAGTAGTAATTAGGCAGTTAGTTATCCATGCTTTATCTACTGCAAAGCTATTATAAAGCACCAATTCGACTCAACAAAAATCAAAATAAAAAAAAAAAAACATAACAAACTTTAAACATATATATATATAAATAAATAAACAAATAAGGCATAAGAATAGTAATAATCCATACTAGTATCCCTTTGGGTCCCACTAGGCCGTCCCCGACCGACACGGTCCCGCCCCCGGCCTCGTCTTGTCCCGGTAACGTCTCGAGGAACGCCGCGGCCTTCACCGAGAGAAGCACCGAGAGCTGCGGGTCGGTCCGTCCGAGCCGCGTCGATCGGTGAGAGCGTCAAACGAGGAAACCGAGACGGGGCGAATATGTTTGTTTGGTTGGAGAGATATGTTGCAGATATTTGAGGTATATCTCATGGGTATAAAACGATGTAGATATAATATAATATATAAATATGGGGTATAGTATATCATGTGTTTCCTCATCTGCTCCTTTTCGTGTCTTTCATGTTTTGAACAAAACATTGTCTTGTTTCCAAGGTTTGTCCAAAAATTATTCCATGTGTTTGCATGTACACTTCAAAACTGGAAGAACTCGCAGTGCAGTGCGAAGTTTTCCATCAATTGTCATCAATCATACTTTCCAGCTTTTGGTGCACCAATGCACGCAATGTCTAGGCCCACGCAAAGCCACCTTGATACCAGAAAGATCTCAAGAAAACAAACATTTTAAAAAAATGAAAAACAAGACCTAGAAATCCATAGGTGTAGCTGTTTCGCCATCTTGCCAATCGGGCCAATCATACCCAATCATTGAGTATGCCTCATGTAATGTACCATATGTGCCCAAATGTTTGGCTTTGCACAACTCAACTCTGTGTTCAACTCATCACAACCCCACCAGCACACGTTCCGTGTTTTGGTCGAGAATCACCCAAACGACCCATCCACCATCGGCTCGGCGGCGCCCGGACCTCGGGGTGCCCCAAATCTCGTGCTGAGCGCGCCAAGGAGGCGGCCTTGGCGAAGTCTTTGTCGCAGGCAACGCCTGACCGAAGTCAACTGGTGGGATGAAGCCAGGGTCGTCCCCACGAAGTGCAGCGGATGCGCCAACCGAAAATGGCCAAGATATGACTCTGTTGGGCCACTCCTATACATTGCTGCATGCATACTGCAATTGTTAAGTCTCGGATCGTAGACCATGTTGTTCCAATATGTCCAATGCCTTGCAGACCCATCTCAGGTCACCGAGAGTTGAAGAGGTGTCGGTATCAATCGACCCATATATGAGGCCTTTGACATCTTCCATAATCAGAAGCAAAGGACCACAACACCTGGTCACAAAAAAAAGAAAAAACCTGCACATGTCATGCCACGCTCAGACCCGTCACGACCCGAAACAAAAAGAGCACCTTCTGCATAGAGCAAAGCTAAGTTGAAACAACCTTGGAGCTGGGCCCCAAACTTCGGGCGCGACGGGGTTCTGGTGCGATGCGCGGGAGGCGTGGTCCTATGACCCCTACATGACACGACGGGCGGCCCCATGGGGCGTATTCTGTGGGCAGCTCATGCACAAAGGAAGAAAAGGATTCTCTCCAACAGGGTCGCAAAAAGGATGGTTGTCACCTGGGGTTCCAAACTCCCAGGGTCCCCATACCCGATCTGCAAGACCTGTGGCCATCGTCCTCGTGTCCACTTTCCCATCATCATCGACCAGAACTGTTCTCCAACTGTTCCATCGGTTGGCAATCAGACCAAACGATCTCCAGCCATTCGCGGTCGAAGATCCAATCTATTTCCAACCCAGGAACTGAGTCCAGTTTGAAGCACCCGAAGCACGAAAGCTATAACGGTATAGACATGTCTAGACTACAGTATCGCATGCGATACAGCCGACTCTAGCCCTCTTGTTGCCATGCGAGCTGCCATTGGGATCGCCCTGGTTTGCAGAAGCTTCCTCAAATGGCTGAGACTGGCGCTGGTCAAGTTCAGAACTGGCTTAACGGTTTGACCACCAGGTCTACATGTTCTACCAACTCAATGACGGTGTTCAAGGTCCTCAGAAACGGATGAATATCTAAATATCAGTTGTCTCCAATTCTTTGATTGTCTATCATCGCTATTAGCAGGGCACTTGGCCAACATCTTCAAATGCGTCGTTCCTGTGTCAAAGTTCCACATCAACTTTGTGTGTGGTTTTAGTCCTCTGGTCATTGCCTTCAACGGGAAAATGGCGGACACTGCGTCACTTGACTTGCTTACGCAGCGTCCAGATTGATTTGTACTTCGTGACGCCTAGCTCGTTCCGCTTATGGTTCTGCGCTGCGAACATGATGCGACACCGTGCGCACCGCACGGCGCGGTTCGGGTCGCATTGCGACCACGAGACGTGGGGAGAAAAACGGATCAAGGCGGTTGAAACGCGTTTGGGCCAGCCACTTGAGTTAGCTTTTGTAAGCGTTCTTTTTTCTAAATGGATTACAATGTTACAATGACCCAACAGGGTGAGAGTCCTGGAGGAAGTATAGATGGAAATTTTCAACCATAGTCTTAAAGTCTTAGAGTCTAGGACGCTTGGGTTCTATACATTCTAGTTCAAGGACTCCTGTCATCAACCATGAGTTCACAAGCAGCATAGATGGCCAACATGCTTCTCTCTAATTACAGTACTCGGCAAAGAAACTTGGGATTCAATGATGTGTTCATCGGTTTGGCGATGTTCATGTCCCAAACTCGTACACAAAACGTCCAACGACCATGGCTGCCAGGCGCTGCCAGGCGCACGGAGACTCGGTCGTCTGACACGGCGCTTGCGCTTGCGTGACGGAGTTGTGGTGGATCCGGCTACATCGAAACCGCTCGTGAAGCAGCGAAGAAACACCATGCGAGACGCCCAACTTCCCAGTATGCTGAAGTCTAACAGCTCTCAAACCAAATCCGCAATGGTGGCGAAAGGAATTGCCTCGCATAATGAGGCCAACAACTGTCCATCGGGCAGAAGTACCCGAAGATTTGGAAGGCTAACTCCCAAGTCATTGGCAATGCGCTTGTGAGTATCCCAGGCCAGGTCAGACTCGTTTGCACTCAATCGAAATACCGCATGTCCAGCCAAATCCCAGCATGTCAGCACAGCTTGATCATCTTCCAAGGCGACGCCTGCTTGCAAGACGTAGTCTTTACCAAAGTCAGAAACATAGCTACCGGTTGCAAACACGGGAATGCTGCATTGTCCCTCATCGTTCACTCCGCAAGCAACGGCGCTCCATCACTTTGCAAAAGCACTGAATGAAGCCCTCCTGCAGAAACTTGCGTGTAGCGCATTCCCTCCTCCAAAGGTAGAATGTCGCATTGTCCACCATCGTTCATCCCGCAAGCAACAGCGTTCCCATCACTTCGCAGAAGCACT